TGTCACTCTTTCTCTCGAGTAGTGGTTGGTTAAGTATTGCAAATAGATCAATCCGATTATAAATTCTGCTTTAGGTTATTCCCGCACTACTGGTATTTTTCTAACAATTTTGTAAGGGTACACCTAGTTATTATGTATTGTTATTTGATATTAACTTGGTTCACTTAGAGTTTATGTGCTCGTCTTAAAATGTGCTATCAACGATGCTATCTAACAAATGAAGGACCTTCATGAAATAAGACCAATCCCTTACAAAAACTTCAAAATATGTTAATTGTGCGGATAAACGCAACATTGAATCTGGATGTCTCTTGTTCGTGTCTGGAAAGTAAATAAATAAATCTAGTATTATCCTGATATAATATTAACATTAACTTTCACAAGCTCCCATTCAGAAATGTGAAATATAAGAGTAGAGGCTTAGGTCGTAGAATATATCGTGCAACATTTCTACTCGTTTCAATTATATTTACGTGATTTAAACGTACAGAGTTTAATTTGTATAATATAATGTCATAAATAAAAATTGTACTTATTTGTATTTCCAACTGTTTTCTACATAAACACTCTTTCCCGCGGGTTTCACCGACTTCCAGCCAGTACTCCTCTTGCATGCTCAGCGCCAGTTTTATTCCAAAATGGCTGCCATTTCCGATTAATCGTCAGTCGGAAATGCCGTTTGCTCAAGCAGAAGTGGCATAATGACGTGGTTTTCAGTGATTACCTTGTAATTAGTGATTGGAAAGGCAGAGTGCGGCATTCTAGCTGAGATCTTACCTTTAAATGAGCTTAGATAATAGATACAGAGCCTCGATAGTGGACGAACGATGTTATCAGTGTTATATTAACAAGGATATTGAGAAAAGTTCACTCCTGATGGGAAATATTCTACTTGACATTTGGGGGGTTGTATTCGAGCAGTAGCAACTAGACGAGATGTATTCGTGGACAAAAATATGGTGTCGTAGGTACTTTTTAAAACGTTTGTTAGAAAAAAATACACCTCTACTGTTAGTGCATTGTTTTATGTAAAATAGAATAGTTTCAATATAAAATCGTAAAACATAGAATCGGGAAGTCTGAATATATAACATTTTTGTATAATACGCTCAACTAAATTATTTATAGAGCCCACTGAATGTTTTGAAAGTTTTAATGGTTTGGTGTGAAGTAGAAAACGATCATGCAAGCGTTTTCCCCTGTTCGCTTCGGTAAAAAATCACATGAACCAGTTTCAAACTATTGAACCACATTATACAGGGTGTCCATAAAAAACGTTTCAGGACTTTGGGAAATGGATCCCCATACTAAAAGGAAGAAAAAAGTTTATGGGAAGGTATGTCCGAAAATGTATATTTACCCAGATATCCGCCATTTTGTTTTTTATACAAAAATATTTTTATCTGTGAAGTTTTTTATTCGATGATTATGAAATTTGGTAAACATATTAACATACACAAAACCTATAATAGAAAAAATAATAAATTTGTTCCGATTGTAAATTTCAAAATGGTGGCCATTTGAATTTTTCTAACTTAAATAACTCAAAAACGGCTAATTCTATGAAAAAATGTCAAGAATACTTTTTTTAGCATTTTTAATTGCATATCAATCAGTACCAAGATCAAAAAGATCGGACAAAAGATAACTGAAATATTACGTTTTTTCTGTAAAAATAAGACAAAAATTAAGGGTTCCCCGACTAACTTTGCCAATGCGGCCCTTTGCTTATGACTTTAATCTTTAATCCGATATTTAAAATAATTCCCTGTGAGCGCCTGCTCGCCGCGGTCGGCCGGACGCGACACAGGTGCTTGCGGTTACTGCCGCCGCAGGAATGAAGGCGCATAATCACGGCAGTTTTTATCCCCATTGGCCGTATCTTGTCCACCGTAATCTACTAATGAACCCATCGGTTTGTTTCGGAATGGCCACCATTGTTTTTTACAGCGGCCCACATAAATATTTTTATTTCCCGCCGTCGCTGTTTGCGCTTTGATTACGCCGCTTCCAATTTTTATTTTAATTGAGTTTCTTTGATGGACGCGCGGCCAAACGTTTGTTTATTGTACAAGAAACAAACTCTAATTTCGCTCTTTTGTCAATTGGGAAAACCAAACAGGTGAAACCGGAGCGGCCCCTTCACTTTGTTTGGATACAATAACATTGTGTCGGTGCGCTGCGGATAGTTGGCCTGTCTCGCAGGCGCTTTATTACCTGTTTCTTTTCACCGGGCTACATTCACGTTTATTGCTGCTGTTCTGTCCCTAGGTTCATACTTCATGGTCCAGTAGCTCCCCTCGTCAACGTAATGAAAGCTCCGCTTGTAAAACTGTTTATTTTGTTTTTTGAAATAGATCTTCCGTTCTTTGCGCTTTTCACTGAATGCTGACTGATGATTTTTCTTACTCGTTATTGAATCATGAGATAATTTAGTTGAATTTTTTTCAGTAGTATTAAATTTCGGTGTATAAAGTGGCCGAATAATACCAAATCCAACGAAAACACCTTTTAAAAATTATGTAAATACCTACTCATGGTATGATTGCACCGAGCGTCTAGTTTCAGTACCGTACCGAAGTGGTTATCCCCAAGGCTTTGAGATGGTGTATTTGTTCTAAATACGAGTACCTACACAAACGTATGTCTACGCGCACCTGAAGATGGCACCACCTTGTTATCGAAACTAGTTGCTAAGTGTAATCTGAGGATTACTAGAAGCAGGTTACACAATATTCAGTACCTTTCTGCAATGAGGTGGTCATAATACTATATACATGAACAGATTCCAGGTTAAATGTCAACGAAGTGCCAAAAAATCATATTCAATAAATCTACGATTGGTACAATTTTTTTTTTTTTATCCACTGTAATACAGAAATGTATGCGCAAAACGCCTCATCTACAACGTGCTACACACCTCTCCTACACACCGGTAGCACCTCCAACGTTCCCCTCCCCTTCCCCCCTACTTATCCTGAGTCCCGAGACGTTGGTGGGGGAAAGTTCCAAAGTCCAGATTATCCCGTATGCTCCCTAACAAGATCAGCAGCTCTTACTTGTACGACCAAATTGAATGGAGTCGATGGATTGTGTTTAAATGCATGTCTATTAACTCTTGCACCGACAAACCTTATTTATATGTAAATGAACCTCATCCCACGATATTAACGTCCCCCCCAAGTCTTCGGCCGACTCAATAAAGCAATTATACCTACAATGTTCACTGATTGGATCCCCGACATTGAACTTTCTTTTGCGATTTTATTCGTCGCGCGTTCGCAAGGGGAAATGTCAAGTCGTCAAAGGGATGAGCGGATTAGGAATCGCTGTAATGGCTAAAAGATAGTACTGTTCAAAAGAAATAGAAGCATGAACGTACCTTAAGTATTACAAATTGATCCTGTTTTTTTTTCCAAGCGATAAAGATTATTCATGATCTGACGGTAAATCCACGTGTATGTCATCATAATGTCTTCATTGTAGGTACCTAAAAAAAATTATCGACATGCACATTTTTCTGAAGTAACAAATTGTAGAAAATAAATTGTGTGAATTGTGTGATGAATTGTGTGACTCAAGATGGCGACTATCAAAAATAGTAAACTATGAGCACAAACCTACTACAGATAACATGTGCCAATTCTATCTTGTTTGTAAACAACCTATTTATATGTACCTATTATTTTAAAGACAAATCCATAACACAACTCAACAATTTCTGGCTACAATTTTCACCAATCTGTTCCAATTGAAAGATTCAACATTGCTCGAAATATCGTCGATGAATCACGCCAACCCAGTTTAATTCGAGGCCAATTTCCAAACGGACTGTTTATTTGCCAAATCGAAGGTCCCGAATGACGCGTACTTAGGGCAAGAAAACAAACAAGATGGCGGCTATTTTAATTAATATTCACGTGGATTGGGGACGGACTTTTTGTGCCGTCGCATTTATTAACTGAGATCCATCGGCGATCAGTCGGTAAACATTCGTGATTAATTTCTGTCTGTTCGCGGGCTAAAGATTAGCGGACTTTTGATAAGAAGTATCAAATTGAAATTCAGAAATCCAATTGGATTCTGAATTGATGAGTGGACGCTGTCACCCTCGGATAAGGTCAGAGGAGTTTTGTCATTTTTATTCTTCCTCTCCCTCTTTTTCGCGGTGATCGAGGCCAAGTTTTATTGCGGAGTTTCGTATTGAACTTTGATGATTTTGAAGAAGGTTAAACAAAAAAGGGGAATCGTGAAGCATTTATATTTAACCGATAGTGTTCTTGTAATGTTGTAGAATATAGGTACTAATTTATACAAATTCTTGATTTGCTTATGTCCGTAGAAAAGACAATTGTAATGTTGTAGAATATAGGTACTAATTTATACAAATTCTTGATTTGCTTATGTCCGTAGAAAAGACAATGATTGTACTTGTGAATGCAGTAAATTTGAAATATTGTTGAATTGCTTTGTCTGATAATCAAATGCATTTTGACCAGCATGTTTGTGATTTTAGTTTTGTGCCTTTTAAATATTCGTGCTTTTCTATTTTATTGCTCTGCATTATAATGTATTAGATTGTGAAACAATTGGCAAAAACAGAAATAGCTTCAATCAATTATTACATAACCAACTAAATTCTCAGAAAACTCTAATCAATTAAAATTCTTCTATTGATTTAACATCTTAGCAGTTATTTATTCCATTTGAAATAGATTGTAATAAACTATATTTTTGGCTAAATTTATTTCCAAGACCACTGTTTTTTTCCTTTGCACTTATAGCTAAAAAAAATTGCAATTTCTACCTTTTCTCCAAGAAAATTGTTCATTATTATGTACTTCATTATGTAATGTCTAAGGGAGAAGAGATTGGTGGAAGGTCTTCTTCCACTCCTGAAAACAAAGTCCGATAACTATGCATTCATAGTCATGCATAGTTCCTTCTCCGGGTGATCAAACTATGTTATATACTAATAGTTTAAAATATTCTTGTTTCAGGAAAGTGAAGAAGACTCATGTTCCAGTAGTGTTCCTTCTCCGGGTGATCAAACTATGGGAGTTTCCATGAACGACAGTATGATGGCCAACAACCGGTTACACCAGCAACAACAACAACAACACGACAACAACCAAGGGGACCACAGTCCTCAGCACCACTCCAATAACAACCTCCCTCAAGACATCAAACCTCACCTCAATGGCACATGTGAGTATCAAGACAAACTGTGATGAAAAGTACACATTCTTTGAAGACCAAAGTATGCTTCAAGGATCTTTATGTTATAATTTAATGTAAGATTGTTTTGGTCCAATGAAAGTGTCCCCACAGCTTGAGTTTTTGATTAGGTGATGAACCACAGAAGCCACTTCATGTTCATAATAACGAAAATAGCTATACACGAGTGTGTAGGTTGAGCAAAGATGTGCTACATATGAGTTTGATTTTGGGTTGAGCAATGTCAAATACAGTATATAACGCTGATACCATTTATTTGAGGCAATTCGAGTCTACCCCTTGCTACTTAGACCTTTTAGTCATTGTAGCACCCATCAACTCAGTCCATCCCCACACAACACAAGAAGATCCTTGGAATGTCTTGGGGATATCCCAGTGGGATATCCTCTGTAAATCCCTCAAAATCATCATAGTTTCCTGGGGAACTCCCTGGGAGAGCCAAGGAAGGAAACCCCTAAAATGCATTTGTTTGTGTGGGATATGTGCAATATACTTGAGTGATCCTAGGGACATTCTCAAATCCTGGGATCTCTGTGGGATATGTGGGAATATCCTGTGCTGTGTGGGTCTTAGGCTCTTGGTAGATCCTAATAGCTGTTGGACATCCTTCTCCAATTTCATTTGGCCTCATGGTCGACTTTCCTTGGAATTGTACTGGGATCACAGCTGATAAAACATGCTAAATCTCATTGTTGTTCTTGTGATGTTCCAGTGTCTGGTATGATGAACCTACACAACCTGAGTAACTTGTCAGGGGTACCAACTGCTCAGCCAGCTGTTCCACCAATGGCCGCCTCTCAGCTGATCAACACACCGCTCAATCTCAGCGTCAACGCCACCGGTAAACATTGAATCTTAACTCTTTTTTTGTCAAATCCACCTAAAAATACTGGTTTTGGTCGGTTACACTAGTCATCTCACATTATACCCTAAACCTGCAATCATGTATCTATAAGTATGTATTTACACAACACTAATTTTGTCCTCATAAAATAATAACTAAGTGATAAATGGCTATTGGGTGCATCAAAATTAAATGCTTTTAATAACAAACTTGCAGGTAGGTACAAACACCAAATTCTCTGTTACATCATATCCATTACTAAACCCACTAAGAGCAGCAGAAGTGTTATTGCTGCTACAGAATGTATTACATTTTTGTGGAGGATCACATGGTTATTTGCTTCTCTATCGAAAGGCAACGAAAACTCTAAGTTTACCATGGTTTCCATTTTACCAATTAATATGGTTCCGCAACTTGGCTACCTTAGGCCAAATATTAGTGAAGGATGGCTATAGAATAGAGAAAAATTCCTTTTGCTATGCTACTGCTACTGACTATGAATCTTTAGGGAGAATCATTTACTAAAATCCAAATGATCAAAAACAGCTGGTCCAATTTTAGTCCATCAAAAAGCTACAGGCTTTTCTTCCTTCTGAATACTGGGCCAACACTAAAACCACCTAAAATTTCCTGAAACCCAAATTTTCTATATTTCTCAAAACAGCAAATTTTCAACCTCTAAACCGATGATGCGAGTTGTCAATACAGGATTAACCTTTTGTGTTGTAATCGAGTGGTGATGAAGTTTTTCAGAGGCGTGTTGTGTTAGGATAAAAGACAGCTGATTATGTCCTGTGTCAGGCCTTAGCTTGTGTCACCTGTCACGTCATGTCAAACCCCCCACCCCCTCCTGCCTGTCACAACTTGTTGGCATTATTTAATTTTTTGTCTGCGACTCGTAAAATGAGTGTTGACATGATGTCATACCCAGTGACTTCATTCAGTCTTGTTCTTGTGTATTGTTCTCGCTGTATTGTGCTTGAAATTAGGAGGATGATGTTCTGGAAATAGATTTGAAATAGAAAAAAAATTTGTTTTAGCGGTGGCAATTTAAAAAATTAAAATTAAAATCTTTCTGATTATTTAGAGTTTTTCACAATAGGATGATCCCTTTTTGGATTAAAGGAGAGAGAGAGAAATTATTTATTAAAAACAAATTTGTTTGCAGCAATACATATAAAACATACCCCCGCCGCAGCAAACCTGCTGACTTAGCGAATTTCCATTTGCCAGATTGGATTTACACTAAAATGTCTCCTTAAAAATATCACATTTATTCCCTATTTAAATAGAATTAGTTTAACGAGTACTTAGGTTTGCTGCAACAGGGAGGGTAAAGTGTTTTTTTGTTGTAAAATGTTAATACTGTACTGTAGTTTAGTAAGAAATTAATGTTTGTTCCAAATTTTGTCAAAATATGTTCATAAACAAGTTAACTACAACAGTTGACTTATTCTCCATAAGAATAACATAAGAATTTTAAATTTACAATTTTTTGAAATTTTCTCCATAACCATTAGGCATATAATAACGCTTCAATGTACTAAATTAATTGTGTTTTGAATCCCTACAAAATGGTTAGGAAAGAAATTGCAAAATTTTGTGTTTTTAGGGTCAAAAATGGGAAAACCCTATTTTTACCCCATAAAACCCCCCATAAACCCTCGTCATGCTGGTTCACAAACTCGTTCAAATAAATGTAGATTTACACGTTTTTACCAAATTTCAACAAAATCGGATCATTTTTGCTCAAGTTATCGTGCTAACGGACACACATATATATATGAATTTGAACGGATGGTGTTTTTGGCCTCTAGGGACCTTAAAACGAAAAAGTAAATCAGTCCCGGGTCCAGGTCTTAACATGAGTACTACTACAGGGCTTATTCCCTGTATGGGAAATTCGCTAAAATAAAAATATCACATGTGTCACAATGACCTGTGCGTGATCACAGAAAACGTACTACTATAACCCAGAATGCCAACCGCATGGTAAAAAGTATTAAGTGTTTTGAGAGAGCTTTGCCTGTCAATCCGTAGGCAGCGCCACCAGCGTTGCTATGCTATTGCATGGCAACGCTGGTGGCGCTGCCTACGGATTGACAGGCAAAGCTCTCTCAAAACACTTAATGCTTTTTACCATGCGGTTGGCATTCTGGGTTATAGTAGTATGTTTTCTGTGGCGTGATCGAGTCCTTATTTGGCTGCGAAACCAAAATAAAAGTTCTTCGCACTTCACTTCACTGGAGAGGACCTTACAATCAGCACTTTAATTAGAAAGGAAAGCTTACCCATTATGTTAAGTAGATTTCCATTATTTTCTCTAAAAATTTGTTTCATTGCCAGTTAGTAGTGAATACCTTTCTAATAAAGACTAGAGGGATTTAATCACTAACTAACATTTTGTTATATGATACACAATTATGATAGTGTTTGATCATAATCTTATATATTTAGCCCCAATTGTAGTTAAACATGGCAAATTTCATAGGTGAAAGCCAATATGTAATTATTTTAATTATGCTAATTGGGTTTAGTACTGCAGAAGCTTCGGTTGGAGAAAACTCAGTTTATGCTTGATGCAGAACTTTGCACAAAATCAATTATTTTTTTTAATAAGTGTCTAAATCATTTTTGTAAGTAGACTCTACAACACTTTTGATTTCAGTTTGAAAATTTATTCTCAATTTGACTATATTAAAGCTAAGCAATGTATTTAGCATGTTTATTAACCGCTATTGACTATGGCTATGTAGCTATTAAAACCATAGGCTTGTTCATTTAAAAGACATTGTTTTGAATATTTATTGAAAAATATATGGTGTTGAACATGTTTAGGACATTTAAAAAATTTTTGTTTTAAACAGCCACTAAACAATTTCAACCTGAAACAAATCCTTAAAGTGTAATCTAAATGTTATCAAACTGTTAAAAAAAAAAATAATTGTTTTGCTACATTAATTATTTTTCACTAATTATTTTTATAACATACAAAGTGACAAACATTATTGCCAAAAGCCTCGCCATTCACTTTTACTTTGATGTGTGCTTTCAAAGCAGTTGTTTTATTAATTGTAATGATTACTGCATGTATTAGTGTGTATCTTTAGAAGGGGAGCTGTTTTTGTAAAATTATTCAAATGATAAAAAGTGGCTAATCACATTTTAACACTTAACCAGTCTTTTTTCATTGGAGGAACAAAAAACAAATTGTGTTTTGTTTAATGATACACACTACAAACGAAAGTGCAGTTTTGTTTTGTTGTAAAAAAGTAACGATTTTATCTTTGTTAAAATTAATTGCAACTTGTTTTTTTGCTTTCACTGATAATTCATGTGATTATTGAATTATTGTTTCCAGCCTAATGAATAACAATGACAAAGTTGTTTTACAAAACCGATAATTTATTTAATCATATTACCTGTAGATTTAAGAAACAGTTACATTTTAAATTAACTTTAAAACTTGTCTGGCCCTAAATTTATAATTTAACTAATGTCTTCAATATCTAACCATCCAAATAATAACTCTTCATCAAATAAATTCTTTAAAATATTTACCCTAATTAAATCATCAAAACACTATCCCTAAAACACAGTAGGGTAGATATATTTTTGCTGTAGTTCATATAATATTTTGGCAAAATGAAATACAACTTCATAAATATAAATATAAATTACATTGGGAGATTTATAATATTTTTAACCGAGCTGATTTCAAATTTTTCTGCTAAGCCTTGTAACATGATGCTGTTATAAGAGGACGAGGTGGTTGGAATGTATACATGACACGTGACAGAAGGACAAACACACGGACATGTCGTCTGACAGGCTCTGTCACGCAAAAACACAATCCTGGACACTGATAATCAACTGTCATGATGTCTAATGTTGCACTCATCTTTTTAAATACTTTTTTTTTATTATATTAAATTAAATGCTACCGCGAGAAGAGCGGTTAGTTAAATTGTATACAATAAATACAGTGTAGTGTTGTTTAAGTTTTAGATAGGAGATTAAAATTACTTTTAGAAAATAACTACTGCAATATATTCTTATACTGTATTGTAGTGAATCTTATAGTATTGTTATACTCTACGGTACCTAGGTGGGTATGGTATGGTGCCTAAGTGGGTACTGTACCCAACAGTGGGTGCCTAAGTGGTTATAATGGTTGCCTCACAATCAGAAGGTAGCCAGTTTGATTCTGAGAAATGCCAATAACTTTTTAATTTTTAGAAACTGGGCCAAGCAACAAATTCCCAGTAACAAGGGATTGGCTAAATAAAAATGCATCAATCCTAAGAGTCAACCCTAATCATCATACAATCTACATAAGAATCACAATATTTTTAATTGCACTCGTAGAGACAAGCAAGAACTAGGAATCCAAGATGATAATCATTTCAAGTTTTCATTATGTCACCACAGAACTATTACAAAGTCATGTTGATTGTGCAGGTCCTCTGTCCATGGCGGGGATGGTAGGCAGTGCCCCGCAACCCCCACAGTTACTAGCAGCCCCACAGCCAGCAGCCATGCCTCAGTTTATACTTGCTTCAGGTCAGCTGGTGCAAGGCATTCAAGGGGCTCAACTGCTCATACCAACATCTCAAGGTACGTTAATTAACTGGGTTAAGGTTAATACCACGGCTGTATTGGCATTTTGGTATACTGAAGTAGACCTATATGGACTTGTATATATTTTTCAAGCAATAATGTAGTTCAATGGGGCACCCGCAGTAAGAAAATTCAACCGGAGAAGGGCTAAGTGCATTGGTATAGGAAATACAGTGTATTAAAAACATATTGATTTTTACCAAATAAAGTGCCGCAATTTTGAAACGGAAAAAGATGATTCAATTCTGTTTTTGCCCAAATTTTTGTATATTAAATACCTTTAAAATAATGTATAACATGACATAAGTTTACATTTGAAAATTCCGAGATTCAAACTAGTGACCCTCAGTTTTTGGCTCACCCTGTATCGGAAAAAGTTGAAAACATTTATACCTTATATACCTTTTTCCTTGGGGCCGATTTAGCAGGAAATAATTTGATTTCATCCTTGTACGTTAAGCCGTTCTTCCGTAATCAATTTCAGACACCTTCCGTGGGACACCCTGTATATCACTGGAATAGTAGATATCATACTTTGATAACTCTTATACAATAGATTATCCAGGGTAAGTATATTAGCCTATATTTTATGAAACATGAAATAGCATTAAATACAAACGTTTTGTCAAAGGATGAGATATACAGATATAACGTTGGAGTGCATTAACATTATTACCAGTAACTATATATTTTTCAAAAATAGATTGTTATGATTCAAAGTTTTATTTTTGTAACATCATGTTTTCCCTATTTAATACAACATAAAATGTTGATCAATCATTTACTATCTTAACGTTGAACATCGTACGACAATCGTCTTTCCACACCTCAGATATGAAACGAGAGTAAACAGATGTGATCGAGTTATCAACTCCTTCTTGTCGCAACGAGTGGTTCTTACTGCGCGAGACGAATCAGATTCAACGGAGAGTTGACAATCCGGTGTAAGAACATTAACCGACTGACTTGACACAACAAAAAGTGCGGCTGGGAGAGAGGGAGTTAAAGAGGTGGGGAGGGATAAGGAGGGGTAAAGTAGGGGCGGCTAACCCTTCCTTCCCTCCTACAGCACATGTAACAAGCGGCAATAAGACCTACACTCCGAGTAGAGCTCATTGGAATTGCTAATTAGCCTGAAAACCTCCATGCAATTATTGGATTAATGTAAATGATGACGCCAGCTCAGCTCCAAGTACACGGGAGGGGATATAATTAAAATCCGTTGATTAATATGTAAATTTAATAAGATTACAGCGCCGTGTTCATGTATATATAGCGAGAGCTCGCTACTTCTACACTGTTACCAATCACCGCCATTTACAATTCAACATCTTCCACTTCTGACTTTCTAATTGTACTCTTATTAATTAATTGAAACCCCGTCATCCGGAGGACTAAACGAACAAACAGAATTTCCCTAAGAGTGTTATAACTCCGAGATGTCCCCGTCTTTCGCAAAGTTTCGCCGTTTGTTTTCCCGCCTGCTTAGTTTGAGTTATGGTTCTAATTCCCCGATGTAATTAAAAATATTCTAAATTAAATTAGATAGGGTAAGTAATTTATAAGTCAAACAGTTCATAATGAAACTGTCGAGAGACTTTTGTTAGGCTCCCAATAAATTGTTGTCAAAAACACTTTTTCGACTAAACTTTTTTTATGTACCGTAACTATATATTTCTACGTTCATAATATGACTTAACAAAAACTTTCCTCCACCTAAAAATCTGTTTGAAGACAAAATTGTAGAAAGTTCATAGTATCTATACACTGATCAATGGTTAGTATAATCAACATTACTTTCAGGTATCGCCACTCAAACAATTCTGACAATCCCTGTGAACCATGTGACCAGCAACCAGATGGTAAACCTGGCTCTCAGCAACGGACAAGTGATAACAACAACACTGGCAAACCTGCAGACGATGGCTCAACCACACCATTTACTGGCTCCTACTCATAATTCAGGTAAGCAATATATGCCAGAATACAGGATGCAAGGTTGTAGACAAACTCACAATGACTATCTGGAACTAAGGTTTACTATTGCACATGGCCGCTTTTGTAAATGGCGTTCCCAGGGGCGCAGGAGGTTTTACGTGTTTTTAGGGATGAAAAGAGATAAATCTGCCAATGAATGGGTGCAAGAGTGTGCAAACATTTCTCGGGGCCCATAGCGTGTCACATGCAAACCAGGGGCCTGCTATTGCTAAGATGAATAATTAGGGGAAAAAACTAAAACAAGCAATCAAAGTATAATATTAATTGAATAAACTAAAGATTCTAAAAAATACTGGTCTGGTTTTAGTTCCATGCACCAGTCCTACGATGGGAACAACACCTGGACTGAACAACCATATTCCACATCAACTGTTGAGCAATGGACACCAACAACAACAGCTGATCAATGCCATCCAGCAGCAACAACAACAACAGCAGCAACAACAACAGCAACAACAGCAGCAGCAGCAACAACAACAGCATTCTGGCAACCATCAAAACAACCACAGTCAAAAGTCTCCTCTTCAGGTATTTTTTCCCAATACAAAGTTTCTGTCACAAAGATTTCAACTTTTAGTTTCTACTACATTATCAAACAAGGCTTTTTTCCTACTTCATTATCAAATCTATATATTAATAGGCAAGCATGTTTCTTTAAAACCTTTTTTCTCAGCTCGTGTGTATCGTAGGGAAAATCTACGCATACCGTTAGAAAGCTATTTTCCTGTAGGTGTGCAGAATCCCTTTATAAATTAAAATAGGCTCAAAAATAACCACAAAAAATGAATTTGAAATTTTAAAAAGTTAACATGGGTCTTATGGGTTGCTATGGTGATGACGAAATAACAACAAAATATAAACAGAAAATCAAAACAAATGGAAGACATTCCAATCACATGTTTTATTTACAGGGTGGGGTGAAAATAGAGAAGTTTGCACAAAACATACTTTTGGTCGATTTTTCGACCACGGGGCGTGCTCTCGTTAATATTAAATCAATACAATAATTGTACACACCAACATTGGAGACTCTAATAAACAGTTTGCTTTATGGTATTTCTACAGATTGAGATTTATAATATAACATAAATTTCGACTCAGGTTTACTCTGAAAATGTTAGTCATTATTTAGTAGTAAGCTACGAAACATACCGCATAGCCAAGCTAGTTATGCACTATTAGAAGATAATTTGACTGTATTTTTTTTTGAAAAAAAAACTGGCTATAGCCAAACAGATGAGACCAAAGTGTCAAACCCCAAAGCCAATTGTACTGTAGTATGAAATCGCGCCATTCTAATTATAATTTTAAACCCTGTATTCTTTCCAGCATCACAATCACAACCAATACTCGTCGAACCCTGAAAAGTCGCCACCCCACAACGGCATGATGTCCAACGGAGCTGTCACTTCTTCTTCTGCTTCCTCCTCTCCGCTCAACACCATCAACCGTCTTGCAGCCAACAACTCGGACTTGACCATCACAACAACATCAGTGCCAAAGCCATCACAGCCTGGCTATCCCCACAACAACAACAACAATAGCAGTAGCAACAACAACAATATGCAGCACAGTCCTGGGCTCGACTTGCTGGATGACTCGCCAAGTAAGTTGTTGTTTCTTGTGGTTATCACTCATTCTATTGAAATGGTGTCGGGTGTATAACGCCCAGAGAAAAATGAGAGTAAATAGAGCGTGAGAACACCGTATGTTTATTTTATCATAAATTATGCAGGCTGGTTCTTTAACAATAATAAAAGTCATTAGATCAAAACCAAAACCCAATAGTTACAAAATCCTTAAACATTTCCACGTCATTTCTAAACTCCAAATATGTTGAACAAGGTTGAAACGGACGCACACACAGTCGGTTCGAGTGGTGAGAGGTTGCTTTAAAGAGTTAGAAGTACACATCTTCAACCACTTAATTAGTATAATACAATAGTCAACGAGCGCAGCCTTTGTTGACCAGTCTCTTGTCTCTATGGTTGGTCTAATTAGTCCCTTACACCACTCGCCACTCGTGTTGCGCCGTTCTCGATACTTCAAATAGCCTTCACGTGTTCAAGTTCAAAAAGGATAACAGATTTGTTTTTTTTTAATTCAATATAATTAGAGTAAAACAATATGGGGTGACCACTTTATAATCTGTATTAAAAGTTACTGATGTTTGTAAAAAAAAAAAAAATTAAATAGCACTGATACTTTGGATAGCCTATCTAAAGTAGACTAGTCTATTGTGGTTTTTTAGCGAATTTCCCTATAGGGAAGTAGCTATTACCGTAGGTGGCACGGTAAGACTTAGACCCGGGACCGATTTACTTTTTCATTTTGATGTCCCCAGAGGCCAAAAACACCATTCGTTCAAATTTTTATATATGTATATATATATATATATATATATATATATATATATATATATATATAGACTTATATATATATACGTCCGTGAACGCGATAACTTGAGTAATTTTTGTCCGATTTTGATGAAATTTGGTTTAAAGGTGTAAAGCGGGATAAACTTGAATGAGTTCGCGAACCAGCAGGATCGGACCATGGGAACGGGGCTTTGCGGGGGGTTTTATGGGGTAAAAATTGGTTTTTCTCACTTTTGACCCTCAAAACACAAAATTTCCCGATTTCTCTTTAGACCTTTTTAAAGAGCTTAAAAAAACAAATAATTTAATATATAAAAGTATTTTTGTTCGATTATTAGTAACGGAGAAAATTAAAAAAATTGTAAATTTAAAATTCCCATGTTATTCTTATGGAGAATATTGTCAAATGTTGTAGTTTGCTTGTTTATGGATATATTTTGATCAAACTTGGCAAATTTATTTATTTCGTACTAAGCTATCAATATTTTACTCAAAAACACACTTTATTAGTTTCCTTGTAGCAGCAAACCTAGGTACTCGTTAATCCTAATGTTATTAAAATATATTTAACTGAAAATCAATTCAGACAAATGGAAATTCGCTTAGTCGGCAGGTTTGCTGCGGCGGGGGTATTTTATACATATAGCCTACATTTATTTGTTTGTTTGTCCTTCTTTGGTTAATTTTATTTAACCTCATTAGGCTAATTATCCTTCTACAATCTAATTGATGTAGATCTCCTTAATTTAATAAAAGAATAAAAAGTAAATTCATAGCTAGAGGTTTTGAAAAATATCAATAATCAGAAATCATGTAGGCTAAAATGAACATGTATTTCTTTTTAAAATTGGGTCTACATTAAAATTCTTTAAAACATGATTGAAATAATTGTAGGAAATTTCCAAAGCATGTTTTTTAGTAACACTCAAAGAAAAGTAAAAGTAATATAGTTTGTATCGGTTTATTAAGAACAGATACTTTTACATTGGTAATTTGTTTTGTCCTTATAGATCAACCGACTATCAGCCAAAGCAATTGTAACATGGTGGACGGTATCAACTTGGACGAAATCAAGGAGTTTGCGAAGGCGTTCAAGTTACGTCGTCTGTCGCTGGGTCTGACCCAGACACAAGTCGGACAGGCACTCAGCATTACGGAAGGGCCTGCGTACAGTCAAAGCGCAATCTGCAGGTACGTCTACTCACTTATTCTTTATTACCTCTCTTTTTCAAGTAGTTTCTTCACCAAAATCCTATGTAATATATAAACATTGATTCCTCGATGCAATTGTTTTACGATCAATGTCAAATTTGCATCCAAACACCAGTCAAGATTTAGGTCAGTGAAATTAAATTATTTATTTTGGATAATGAAGTTAACGTCCCTACTAATAGACTGGCTGTAGTGATTTGTTAATATAAAAAAAATTAATTGAATAATCCACTCAAAAAATGTACAACAGTTTAAAATGTTAAAGTTTTAGTTGATGTCACATAAAAGATGCTATATTTTACAAAAAGTTGTCATATCAGTTTGGCTTTGTTAAAAACTTGGCGTAGTCAAAAGAGATCAGTTATTTACGTCAGTGAACTTTGTCGGTGGTTCTATTCAGCTATGGTCATTTTAATCTATAACTTGCCACACTTTTAACATTGTGGATGGAATATCTAGTAGGCTGATAGATACTACTCTAAAATATCAAACTTTAATGTGTCCATATGTTCATAAGGAGGGATAACCCAATTTTTGACAAGTACCATGATTATAGATTTGGTCATATGTTTTGTCATTGATTTTGAATGGAACGAATAAACCTAACAACCTATTGAAAAATCTTAAGCATTTTAAGGTGTTTCAAGTTGGTTACGTTTTGGTCAACTGACGTTAAATGATCAATTCTCTCTTATTCAAGGATAAATTTTGCAAGAGTCCTCTACTCAATGTTTGACCACTTGTACAACATTGTAAAATGCGATACCAAACAATTATCATATCTTGGCTAAATTCAATTTATGTACAATGTATTTGAAATCAATATGGTTGCTTGATGATGTATTTCTTTTTGAATTATTATCAAACAACTTATTAATAAATGTATTTCAAATCCTCTTTATGCAGAAACGCTGTCTTAAGGAAGGCTACAGTACAATTATTTTATCTTAGTTATTTTTATTTGACAATAAAGAGATTAAAGTGGATTAAAAATCTGTCTTTTTTGTGGCTTTGAAACTATACTCTTAAGGTTGTTTTGTTTCATTTTAGCAAACAAAATTCCAGAAAACTGGAATTCTGTAATATACCTCAAGGATTAATTTTTAAATTCTTCAAGTAATTAATTTTAAAACTTAACTGCCAGATCGATATAATCATAATATCGATATAATCATGCTAGATGGAATGATCCATTTTGTCATTACATTCCATTTACATTAGAATACATTATACATACATATCTTTTGCACTTTTTATGTTGCTTTTATATTTTGGTATTTATATTGTGACCGGGGTAAAACTAAGTCTCATTTCGGTTTTGTTAATTAAAACAAGTTCAAGATCTCTTTGTAAGGGGCGGTTTGTATTTTATGGTCTTCAAGGTAGCTGACAATCATCATTGCTTCGAGAATATTTACCATTATTCCTTTGGGTCCCAGAACTAAAAAATTTTGGAGGTATTAAACAAGCCAGAAAATGTTTTGAAGATATCAAAACCATCGTACATAATTAATGTTTAGAGAATATTTCATCATCCGTCCATCCAAAACTTGATTTTAAAAGATCTTTATCCCCAAAATCTTTTTGGTCTCAAAAATTATTTCATTAGTATATTACCCGCTCCAATCACCACATTTGTTTTGAGAAGATTTTTTACAGCTCAAATAGGAACCTTTTTATTGACATTCATCTTCCTCGAAAGTAATAATCAGTTTGAATACCTTAACCGTTTCATAGCACTGACGTGTGAGATTTTATATGCCTTCAAAATTAACGTATGTTTTAAGAACATTGCCAGATTTATTTTTTGAGAATGCTTCTACCTTTGTTTTGAGAAAAATTTCTCTGAAAAACTCAATTTTTGTCTTGAATTTGTTTTCCCATCTTTCGGGGCTGAAATTTGAAGAATCAAGAATCCCTGACTCTAAAATGAACCTATATTTTGAGAATGTTTTCTGTCCTCTCAACTAAGAATATTTTGAAGATTTTTATCATACCACATATTTTACCCTGAAAATTAGTGTTTTGATGATATTTACTACCTCCAGTTCTGATATATGTTTGAATGACATTTATCTGAACACTATGTTTACCGCCCCCGTACACTTAGTTTTACGCCGGTCACATCACAATCTGTCTGTAAGTGTATTAACGCCCGGTTTTTCCCCCAGTGCCCTGGCTACACAGATGTATTGCGCGGCCCAACTTGCTTCTCAGCAACACTATATGTACGTCTTACGGTTAATTTTTACTTTATGTTTACTTTTATTTCTTGACTTGGGTGGAATCTACTGTCCTATTATATTTGTGTATAATTTTGCATCTCTTTGTCTGTGTTTATCAAATTTATGTGTACAGTAGTCAATTTTTATGGCATTTTTTCTGAGAATTGGCATTTTTTAAGTTTACATAATATTTAAAGTCAGATTTCTCCTTTTACAATCTGAATGTACATTGTAACTTTAGATTTCCACCCGAGTTTTATTTTATTCTTTTAAGTTATTTTACTTTATGTTAAGTTCCACTGCAAAGCACAGTGCTCTGGCGCTAAACAAATTTTGTCCATGTGAATCACAATTTATGAAGTCTAAATTTACAAAGTTTCATCCAATTATTCTTTTTTCGCTGGTATAATTTAGTTTAGTGAGCCAGGGCATTGTGGCTTTTGTTTTGTATTTGGTGTTTTTGTTAAATTTATCTTTGTTGCCAATAGAACTTATTTTAGCTAGATTTGTTTTAGTTGTTGGACTTATGAAAAATACTGTTGCTAATTTAAATACCTACTTATTTGTCAAAGTATAATTTGTAATGAATCCCTTCATTTTATTACAACTTACAATTTATTCAAAGTAGTAGTATTATAATTTATTGCTGATGCTAATTCACAAATTTTAGTAAATTTGTTTTCAAAAAACTTTCAATTTAGTAAGTTCAGAAATAAGAGTTATTTTTTCATTATTACTTTTCTTTTAGGAAAAAATCTATCAAAGAAACTAAACATAAGCTATAAACTAACCTAAACATTTTTCTAATGTAAAATAAAATCTATTTTCTATTCAAATCGATATCATTGGTTACATTAGTGCATCTAAAACCTAGATAAGTTGCATGACTAAACTTAGTTACGCCTAGTTATCTTTTACTTCATCGCCTACACTCTACCAAAGTAGCTAGCTTTCAACAAACAATTTCTTATTCCTCCCTCAAGTATGCCAATTTTGCTTCTTTTATCTCTAACTTTTTTCCTTGTACTTGATAGCAATTTGCAATATTTTTTTACAAAATTTAAATTTTTTACCTTTATTCCAGGTTTGAAAAGCTGGATATTACCCCTAAAAGTGCACAAAAAATCAAGCCTGTACTTGAAAGGTGGATGAAGGAGGCTGAAGAAAGGTTTGTTGGCAAATTCTCTATTTCTTGCAACTATTTCACTACCTTTTTTCACACATTAAAATTGGATGATTTATTTTTGTTTTTAATTAGTAATATTTCCTCCCCTACAAATTCCATATTTAAAATGTATTTTAGCAAATTAGTCAGTTAAAATTTCATAATAATATAGACATTAAATAATAAGTTTATTATAACACTTTTATAAACAAATCAAACTAAAAAAATCAACATTGTATTGCACATTTTTATACTTGGCATAAGTTATAATAGACCTTTCCTTGGAACAAACTGTCATAATAAACACAACCAATGCTGAATTCATGGCTTTTCTGCGTTTGAATATATTTTAGGAGGTTTAGTAAAAACTTGTGAACTTTAACAGTATGCAACATGTCTCTCTGTAAACGTTTTCAGACAACTAATCTTGGAGTTATAAGCTTAAAATATGCTACTAGTCTTAAAAATAATGAGTATTTTCTTTCAATGGTGGTGGCAATGGTGTTGGTGGTGGGGGTAGACTTAGACGTTCCCGTTGTTACGAGGTTTTCATTGTTTCAGAGCTCAATTTCCCCAGCCAATGCCGGTAGATTCCGAAGCTCCTAGGGGTCTTCCGGATATGTGAGTTCAAAATTAAGTGTTCGATGTTACCTTCCGTTGTTAGATGTTTTAGAATAAGAAATCTCAGGTCTCCCAAAACTATTTTTTAAATCATCACGACAAACACTGACAATGTGTCTTTGGAAAAAGCATAAAATATTTTTTTAATTCCAAATTCTATAAATTTTTCAAATTTCTATATAAGCTCTATTGTTGAATCTTGGTCTTTGGGAAATGACTGTGACATTGAACTTGCCAAAATACTGGATGCAATTTCAGATGCGTTGTAGCAGTTAATCTTCGGAGGAAGCAACATTTTTGTAGCTTGCTTTAAAACGTGGATTGATGCAACACATCCAAAATGGCAGACAGTACTTTCGCTAGATCAACAACACAGTCTTCTCTAGGAGTTCATAGTTTATGTTGTTTGACCAAGGGAACCTGCCTTCTAGTTGACCTGTAATATGTACTTCAGTTTCACCATTTACTCGTACAGTACCGGTACCTGTAAATATTCATAGGCCTATCCGATATAAAAAAATACAAATTTTTCTATTATTAAATCAGTATTGTTGAAAGAATAAACCATTAATTTATTTTACAAATACAGGTGGATATCCGATCCGAATGTAAAAAAAAACTTTCTAAATTTTAATACAGAGTGTTTAAAATTACACCATGAAATAACCAGAAGGCAATCAAGTAAAGTTACTGTTTTTTATCACCCTGGGACGGTAAGTGTTTTTTTACACCCCCACCACCGTTTTCATGAGACTTTGAAATCCTTTAAATTTGTCGAAGTAAGTTTGACAGATGATTTGATGAGCTTGAAAATATATTTAAACCAACTAATCTTAATTTGTTTAATGTTTTAGTGCAAATCTTATAATTTTTATTTACCAACTGTTTGTATATTAACGGATTAAGAAATATGTGTAATGCAGAATACTAGAGAAATATGAAACAAAATTTTAAGTTCCTTACTCTTTAATTTCCACATTTTTCTACATGCATTGATAAATTATATTTTTAGAAATATGCTGCTCCTAATGTGGTTTGTTTTGGTTGTACAGTTAATAAATAAATAATTTACAAAATACTTTATCTACAAACCATTCAGCCTCCTTCATCATACAATGCAGGTTCTTTGATTGGAAAATTTCAGTCTTCTTTTTTTTCAAATGTTTTAAGCATTCATTAATTATACGTTATATTTATTTTTAGAAACATCTATTTTGAAATATCGATTGAGAAGAGGAGTTGAATCAACCACTTGGTTTGTTCCAGGTATAAGAGCGGCCAGAACCACTTGACCGAGTTTATCGGAGTTGAACCGTCCAAGAAAAGAAAAAGAAGAACGTCGTTCACACCTCAAGCTCTAGAACTGCTCAACGCACACTTTGAACGCAACACTCATCCTTCTGGTATGTATTTCAACTAGGGTTCTAAAGCTCTTTATGCTTTTGATAAATCTGTTAATGTTGTCTGTATATATTAAGGTAGCATATATTGTTGGTAAAATAACTTTACAAGTTATGTATTTTTAAAATCTGATGCTTATGGAATCATGTTGTTAGGTAAATCTGTAATAATTGTACATTTGACTATGAATAAGACTTCAGATTTCATTCTCAACTTAAAGTTTTTGCCACTTTGCAATAAAAATTAACGTGATTGAATTGATCCACTGAAAACATGTTTTAATGTAAATGATTGATATCAGTTGAATATGCCAACCTTCAACCAAGCTAAGGGATATGGGAGTATATTATAAATTATAGTACTTTAATGTCATAATGTAAACTAAGGGAAAATATATACTTTTAGACTATAGCACACTCTGGAAATGACTCATTGAACTATAGTATATTTATGTTGATCAAAAATTGGCATACATATTGATAGAATGTCTACTTGCATCCAATAACCAATGGTGTTACCAACCGAGGCTAAATTGACACATTTCTTTCATTTTATTACAGGAACAGAAATAACAACGCTGGCGCATCAGCTGGGCTACGAGAGAGAGGTAATACGCATATGGTTCTGTAACAAGCGCCAGGCACTCAAGAACACTGTGCGGATGATGTCCAAGTCGTGTACTCCCCCCCACCTTGCGCCCCCCGGCGGTCATCTGACCACCTAGCCAGCCGCCGCCGCCGCCAGCCCCTTCTTGTGGGAGTTTGACTAGGCGGCTAGAGCCCGACGTCCGCGCAGTGTACATAAACTCGTAAACTTTGATAGTTTGACTAGACACAATTGTTCTTGGACATAAGTTTTTGTTACCGACAAAGTGAAAGTGGATTCAGTGTTGCTATGTTATTTGTGATAGAGTTTTATTTGAGTTATTATAGAGTTTTGTTCACTAAAGCCGATTAGGATTCTTAAATGGTGTTCCACAAGCTTTGAGTGTGGGATTTGACCTCTTACTGAAAATAACTTTATTTTCAAAATTGGAAACAATAAATGGTGGAGTAAAAGAGATACTGTAGTTTGACAGAATATTTTCTCCGATGAGACACATTTGGAAAATGATAAACATAACCTACCTCAATAGTGCCATTTTCATTTACAGTTTTTTAGTTAATAATTTTCATAAAACCGTAACAGTGTAGACTTACTTTTGTAAAAGTTATTTACCCTGGTATAATTTTTCTACATCTCCAAACAAACAGATCACAGAGAAGAAAACGAACAATTATAAAGAGGAGGATCTATATAAATAACTAAAAGTTAGAGAACTGATCAACAACTAAAAAAATGTTTATTAGTTTATTTGAAAACTATTTATGTTACAATAACAATAATTCTTACTAAAGTTTTATGAATTAGGTTTATAAAAATAATTAAAGTTTTCAAGTTATATTGCTTTACCACCAGATACGTTTGCTTCAAAGACAGTCATGTTAAGCTAAGGAAAAGAATCTCATTTCCTTCTAGATCATGTCTCATTGTGAAACCAGATTGAAGACTTCTTCGGAAGCTTAGTGATAACAGTTTTTGTGATAATCGACAACAATTTTGTAAACTTAGCGTAAGTCAAGTGAATTGGCACAGCTGGGAAACAATCAGCTTTAGACTGTTATTAGTTATTCACTAAACAAAAATGTTCATTTGTGTGACAGCTAATAACAGCCTTGGATGAAAGAGTATAAACTACTATTTTATTTTATTCTGATTTCACTGATTGTTTTGTTAGAAAGTTTGCAGGCTTCTGTACCCTAGCACAAAATAGGCACATAAAAATATAAAAAGTTTGTGAGAGTCAATGAAAACATGTGAGCTACAACTGGTGAAACTGATTTTTTTGCAGCTTTATTTTAATTTAACCAAACGATGAAAAAATGGTCCTTTAAAAGTAGTGAATATAAAATGTTATTTAATTGTGACCAAAGATAGGCCTTATATTGTGTATATTCTTGTAGCTTTATAATTTTTATTTGTCTCAGCTGTCGATAAAGTTGCTAGCCATATAGTCTCGCTTTAAAAGAATCCCCATGGGGCTTTATTTTTCATTGAGTATTCAAGTCAGTATTTAACTGTGTTGATCATGAACATTAAGGTAATTTTAAGTTTCAAAGAGTGTGTAATTAAATCCAACCATATACGTTGTCTTTGTTGGTTAGAGTGCCAAATTAATTTATAGAACCCGATTATGTATGTGCACAATTTAAGACAAAGTCAAAGCCAATCCTAGCCTTATATGTACATTTAGAACCCAATAGGCATTAAAATAGGATAACATTAATTTTCATTCCCATTCCTCCTTAGCATTCCTCTGAATGTCCAGACCAGTTGATACTAAGAATGAGGTTAGATTGTATTTCCATTTATCTTTAATAGGCATATATTACGTTACACACCACACCGTTGTTACTCTGTTACAATAGACCTGTTATATTTATAGTTTATTCTGTAACCGTTGATTTGTACATAAGATGTATTTTGTTCGACATTTACACCACGCTATCTATCTGTTTAAATGTTGTGTAAATATCGACTTTACTTATATAAGTGTATGTATGTAGTGTGTGTATATAAGAGAAGTTGTCTTCTCTCTGTGCAACCAAAGTTCCTACTAAATTTTATACAATTCCTAGGTTATGTACAGTATAAATATATATAAATAGGTAAGAGGCACGTGACTGCCCCTGCACGAACGTTCGTATACTTATTTTTAATGTGTTCTTAGGCTAGGTATTTAACAGTATTCGAATTAAGGTTATGTATTGTAAGTTATAGTTTATGTAAAGTTGTCGTCTAAGTGTCAGTCGTAAATAAATATTTCAATAAATTATGTTGCTGTTTTATTTTACTGTGTCGCTAACATTCATAAATTGTAATTTGTAAGTTGATAAGTTTAGCTCGTGTTAGTGTGTTCTCTAAAAGACAATAATAGGTTTTACATACCATTGTCAAATAGTTCAACGATTAATATTGCTCATCGCGCCATACTAAATCAGTATTATTACGATAGCCCTATCTAAATGTTTGTGTAGGCCTATTCGTACCATTTTAATGTTTTTTATGTTCGAGTTGTCCTTGTTTTTTATTGTGTTTTTTACAAGCTTTGAAAATGTTATCTTCACAACAAAACATGTAAGCTAATGAGCAATATTAATCATTGGACTATTTGACGGAGGTATGTAAAACCTATTATTGTCTTGAACAATATAGTCCAGGGGCCAGAAAAATGAATTTTGATGTTATCTAAAAGTCAACGCCAAATAGATTTAATTCCATATTTCAGATAGCAGTAGCTATGAAGAAAGAAAAAGTTTTTGGTGGCAATATTTTTACCTTTACGTTTTTCTGCGATCATCATCGCTACCACAGATAATAGAACTCGCTACCCAGCAAAATGTAGAGCATCTTTCGCGATTGAAAATAAGACATCAAGTTTTTGGAGCGAACGAATGTTAATCATGAATAACCAAAATTTGGTTTCTTCAAGTGTGATAAGAGTGTAGGAATGTAAAAAGAATTTTAGGACTACTTAAGAAATTATCAATGGCAAAACATAAAAAATTCTGCCCCCTCCAAAACTCAGTGCCACAAGTGCCCCTCTGTGCACCCCTGTATATGACAGAATTCAAGGAATAGAATGCCTAGGTCTAGCCACAGTCAAAGGTATATTCTAAGTGACTCAATCATAAGCATAATTATTTGCCGCCACAGATAAAGCATCAAAATTTCAACAGCTGAATATCAATAGTTAAGATACCCTAAACTACAAGAAATTCGACGATTACTCAAATTATTAGTTTTTAAACTTGATAGGTATTTCTTTCTTTCCCAACGAATCAATTAATTAGTTAGTATTAAAATAACTTTTACATCATAAGTTTGTACAATTTTCTTTTCCATTCAAAATATAAGAATATTAATCCATCAAAAATGCTAGCATCAAAAATGTAACCAAACATTGGATATACACAAGGAAATAAAACATTAAATTGATAATTTCATGGAAAAAATACACCCGGTTTTATTTACAAAATCTTGGTAGATTCTGTGATTACAGCTAATCACATTATAATATTTTACACAGCCATTCTTTGAGAAAATATAATTTTTAAGTTTCTACCCCTTTATATCAATAATTGTTTATAGAATCAGATCTTTAATAGATACACAAGAAATGTTAAACATAAAAGTTATAAAAGGCTAAAAATATGTAGCAAAAAAAAATAAAAGTTAATTTTCTTAACTGCCATTTTTAATATTTTGCAGGGCTTAAGACTTGTATGAGAAAAAATAGAACCAGAGGCTAGTGGATGTTAGTAAATATTTTTATATCACAAAATACTTAATAAGGAACATCATAACTTTACTAACATTATTTACAGTCAAATACTTTACAGTTTGTCATTATTGTGACTATAAACAAAATAAATAACAATTTGAAAGTCAATTTCATGAATACTGGTTTAAGAAAATGTTCAATTATAATAAATTGTATTTGAGGTGAAGTCATCTACTCCACAGTCAAATGACAAATAAATAACAAAAACTAAAACCTAATAAAAAAAAAACATGCAACTAAAATTAACAATCAACATGGTTAGAAATTTACGAAGTAAAAACCAACAAAAACTACATTAGCTAACTACAAATACCATACACGTGTCTTTTAGGACTTCTTGCTACAAAAAATACAATTAAATTAAACTTATTATGAATGGCACTCACTAAAGCATAAATAAACTTCGTTCAGCCACTGCTTACCTTAATTCAACTATATAAACTTTCAAAATTACAACCCGAATAGTAAAGTTACATATAAAGTTTAAAAATAGATTCAAGATTTGCTATATTATTTTAACTATTGTTAAATATATTAAGCATTTAAGACCTTCTTATGAGCAAGCTTTTAGGATATGTGAAATCATTGTTAATTAACCACAAGCTTATCAAAATGAATATTGTTCGTTAATCATTTGGTGTCATTCTTTATTTGGCTGCATTGTATAGAATGTTCCTACAATGACAGTTTATATAGTAACTTTCACAACCCATTCAATTGAAAAAATCTTGTTTTAGCCTACAAGAACGTTTACCAAAGAAAAAACAATTTAAAACTCAAAATATCACAAATAAATTAAAGCCATAAAAAATAAAGCAATGAGACCTCGTAAGAATAAAAGATGTAATAAATGTTTGGTTATTGAAAAATGAAAACCCATTTTTTTGTAGTGTTTAAGGGGGAATGGTTCAAGATGGTATTCCATCCTAAATCAGACAAATAGTCAAATAAGTTACATACAGAAATGTTTAGACAGGTTACATAATCCGTTGTTTATCTGACAAACTTAGTGAAAACAGATGATGGTATGTCTAAAAGTAACTGAACGTTAGCCTCTATTAACACAACCTAACATAATAACTCTGCAGATTCCAAATAACATCCCATGAGTTTAATAACACTCTGCTACCAAATAAATCCCATAGCACTATATATGGAACTATAAAGTTTCTCTTACATTGCCGCAGCAGTAGATCATTCTGCAGTTAGAGCTGTGGCTGAGCATTGCTGGTAGAAGGGGCTGCAGAAGCTTCTGCAGTTTCTGCAGTACTCCCCAAGGAACTACGCAGCTCCTCTTCACATTCCCGCAGCAACAGAGCGTTGTCGAGTCGCGAGATCGTCTCACTCAGTTCGTTCTCCCAAGCTTCCGTTTTGTCTTCTGAACTCATCTGTGACAGCTCCTTGAAGTGGGCTCGCAACACGTCTAGATCCTGTGAGTATTCAAAGCCATGGTTCAAAGCCATAATTTCATAAGTCACAGATTAGGGGGGGAAATTTTTGTTTTGTGTATTGGGGAAATGGTTTAAACAAAAATCTCTAGCATTCAAGGTAAGGTCGATATATACATTTTTTAGAGAACTGAAATTCTAACTTTTGATTTGTGTGACATGAACTAGAATATAAATTATTTTTGACCCCCTTGTCTTTTTAGCCTTGTTACCTAACTTCTAAGTTACCTATGTTAAATATCATACTAAATAGTCCAATAAAGAAACAGAATGAAAAAATATTAAAATAAAAATGAAGTAGTTTGCTTGGTTTATTATTTTAAATAATGTTTATAGAAAATAACTACATACCGTAATTTCATTCTGAATTTTATTCCAAAAGGTTCCTTAGCATAAAGAATTGTTTGTTCTGTCTCAAATTAGTTAATGTAATATAAAAATTCTGAATAGGTACTTGATCTGGTATCAATTTTTTTACAAATTTTCTTAGACATTATAATAATTAAAGGCTCTCTAATTTTAATAATTTTGCATAACTACAATTCAGGTTATTCCTTATTTGGGAAATTTGCTTAAACAACAAAAAGATGAACCCCACAATGATGAAGTATTAATGAAAAATGAAAGAGTTATGATTTATTTTAAAAAGGGTTAGACTTCAGGTAGCTTACCTGAAAATTTAGAATCCATGTATTAGATGTGCAAATGAGATAATTAAACTTTTTTTCCATTATAACTTGTCCTATCCTCTTCAGAGTAGATTGAAGAGAAAATATATTTCAGGACATAATATCAGTGTTACGTTTTATGATATTTTATTAGAGTATGTGGTAGCCCCTAGACTCTATTTTTCTTAGGCTTCAGCTAGCTGAACACCATCCCTTTCAAAATAATAGGCATAACCAGCCACTGAACTTTCCTTTAAAATATGGTGAAATTAATAGTTAGAGAAAATAAAAGCAGGTACAAGTTAGTCGCAGAAAAATGCCATTCATGTACAAAAAAATACCTGAAATAGTTAGAACACAACAATTAAATTTGATGTTTGCAAGGCGAAGGGGCAAGTACATATGATAAGCCTGTTACCCATTCCAGCGTCACAATCGTCACACCCAAACCAGCGTGCACTGCAACATACTCTAGAGTAGACTTACTAGAGGTAGAGGCAGAGGTTACCTCCTCATTGTCCTCACAGTCCGAGACTACAGACGAGGTGGCGCGAGACACACTGCCTAGACTGATGGTGTCGTCCAGTTCCAACACGCAGTCCAACTCCTTAAGGCTAGGGCTGGTGCAGTGCGCTGGGCTCTCCGTAACTGTTAGGTCAATAACTATTTATACTATTTATTTTTTTCAAGTACATTATGTACTCAGAATCGTACAGTAGAACCCCGGTTAACCGAAATAAAGGGGGGAGAGTCGTTTTGGATAACCAATTTTTCGGTTAACCCATCATATGATAAAAATAACCACTGTATCACCACAATGTGTAGGAAAAATGAATTTAAGAGAATGTCTATATAATTCAGAGTTTTATTTCAGCTACAAAATGTTACAATGGGATAGAAAATACTTTAAACAAGACAACTGAAGTTATTAAAGCATTTTACAGCCCTATATTGTTTTATAGAACCATTTCGGTTAGCCCGGGTTTCGTTTAATCCGAATTCGGTTAACAGGGATTCTACTGTATTTAACTTATACTTAACCCTTTGAACTCATACGTCCTATAAACGTCCAACTTTTATTTCACACAGTCCTCTCCCACAAACCAAAGAACTCCTCATTAGTTACACCACAGACCTAAAGATCAGATTCAACCGCTTGATCTATGGTACTGTCTTTTTGCAAAGGAAGCAACACTTAAAGCGATTATACCAAATGGTCAGAAACAAACTTGATTTGATTCACTTGCAACTATCTATGAGTGTAACATAAAAAACTTCAGGAAATGCTATACGCAAGCTTGCAGTCACGTTTGAAATCACACTGAGTCTAGATAGCCTTGCTGTCTAAGACGATGTCTTAGACAACAGTCAGACAACAGTCATCAGTGGTGTCTGATGTGGCCAACAGACACCACCATGGATGCTGTATGAAGGTTAGAATTTGACTTGGGTCAGGTGACTAGGTGAGTATTTGAGGAGGCAGAGCTTGTTGGGAGAAGCCCACCTGAAATAAACGTCTTGTTTGGAAGTTCATGGTACAGGTAAATTCTAAGTGAGTTGTAACTCAAGTCAGGCATTTTACTACTTTTTACTTATTCCTCCTGTGTGTGTCATGATTTGGATTTTATCCCAAGATCAGGGAAAATGTGGTTAGCATAAACATAGTTAAGTTAATAAATAATTGATAGAGAGTGGAAAGGGTTAGTGTGTAGAACACATGTTAACTACCTTTTGTTTAGGCACCTTAGGATTGAGATCCTTTTCAGAACCGAGAAAAGTTTTAATCATCAGAAGTAGGCTAATCAAAAAAATTAGCAGATATATTTAAAACGACAGATCATATAAACAAAATTAATAAACTACCACAACTATACTGAACAATATAGCCCAGTCAAATAAAACAAAAAATTGCCATTAGGGTGAAAAAAATCCCGGAGAGTTGGAAGTTTGTTTAAAAGTTCCTTTTGTTCATTGGATTGAATAAAATAAAAAGTTCTGATGGGTGGGGGTCGAGCTTGACTAAGGGAAGAGCTCGGAATGTGCCTTCTTTTAGTTTTTCGCTTATATATCGGAATCTGTAAGTCATATTGAAAAGTGTTAAATATAAAAGTTGTAGCTGACAAAATTCCCTACAAAAATGACTGTATGCATTTTTTCGTAGGACTTAACCGTTTAAAGCTAAAGGTTAAAGAAAATAACAGTATAATAAAATTGTGTTTTATTTGCATTTCTGTTCTTAAAGTTAATATTACTAAACATAATTTTAATGATTACAAACATGGGTCATATCGTTTAAACTATGAGATCCAGGGTTTCTTCAGTATCATCCACATTCAAGGAATTGTCGTCTACCAGAGGGCCTTTGGTGCACGCTCCCTCACAGTTCCACACATTGTTGAGCAGTGGATCCTCGCTATACGGCACCCACAATGTGTCCCACAACCTTTTGTACATCTTCAAAAGATTATTGTGAGGATAGCGGCCGTAGTATAAGGATCTGGGGTAGTAAGGGGTTGTAGTTGTCCTTCGGTGCCCGTTGTCCAACCCCAATCAGTTAGTGGTAGTTTATCTCCCAGCCATTCTTGCACTTGCAAATATATTCTATACGAAAGCTGCTGGGCAGAGCCTTCCGTTGGTGGCAGAGACGGGAGGTCTGCCTTCAGCCTAGTGGTGGATTTGATGAATGCGATGTATCGGTATCTACCCAGATATTTTGTTCGGGATTTGAACATCACTAGGATCATCCACTCGCCGGCTATCGAGACTTCCTTTTGGGCCGAAGTTGGTAAAGTACGTTGGTGATGGTATCGAGACTATTTTCAAAATTAATGACTTGCCTTTTCTGTAAAAGGACGAGAAGGTATCACACCCACTAACAAAGTTTCAATTCATCGTCACATTTCTGTAATCCAACGTAGGAATAACTAACTTTAGGCTACATTTTTTCTGGTTCGAAGAAGATAATTTCTTGCTCAAGTGAAGCTAATGCAATCAGCAAGACCAGCAAATTTATATCCTCTAAAGGAGTAAGAGTAAGTAAGTAAAAACGATAGCAACATGACCACTGAATGCTGCTTTTTTCACTGCACAACGCACAATTGTTGTATCAGCATCATCCTAAGAACGTCTGACTTGTATACCCTCAGAGATCATTTTTTGAGAAAGCATTTTGATCAACCTGGTTTTATTTTTGTTTTTACAAAGAACATTTCTTGCTGTACTGTCACTGTAATTTCTTCAGTGAAATCAATGTCGACTGATACGGTCTTGGTGGTGGCTCCTGATTGGCCTTTTTTGTTCTTTTGACAGTATCTCAGGAACCATTAAACACAACAGTGCAGAATTCACCATAGTGTTTCTTTATGTACGTCATATATTGGTTGATTACAACTGAGAAAGTTAGGACTACGATCCACTTAACGCGATGTAACAAAAAGCCACCATCAATAACATAAATTTAGAGCTTAAGGTCTGGAGTTAACTAATGAACATGGAAAAATCATATAAAGAAGAATTATGTCTATCTCATATATTTTTCATCAATTATCAATTAATAATTAATTATCAATTATCAATTAATCAAACAGAGCTATAAGGGGAAAGGCGCAGCTCGTAGCACAGAATGTCCTCTAGATCCTCGTCGTTTTTCTTTCAAATTGCAACTCGTTGAAATTGCACTACGTTATTAATTTTGCTAGTGCTGCTCATTGAGGCCAATGATAAGACTTTGTCTTTTCGAGCCTGTTTCATCTTCCATGCAAATAAAACACCATTTTAATTTACTGTTATTTTCTTTAACCTTCAGCTTTAAATGGTTAAGTCCTACAAAAAAAAGCATATGGTCATTTTTGTAGGGTATTTTGTCAGCTACAACTTTTGTATTTAACACTTTTCAATATGACTTACAGATTCCGATATATAAGCGAAACACTAAAAAAAGTTACATTCAGAGCCCTTCCCTTAGTCAAGCTCGACCCCCACCCATCAGGACTTTTTATTTTCTTCAATCTAATGAACAAAAGGAACGTTTAAAAAAAATTCCAGCTCTCCGGGAATTATTTCACCCGATTAGTCTAATTTAACTGGGCTAATAACTAAAAAAGCAATAATGTGTGTACATACCGAGTGCTAGCCAAATAGAATGGCTTGATTGTCAACGTGCTTATTGATACAGCACTGTGTGCTCTATAAGGCACTTGCATTTGTCCAAAAGCATCAGATGACAAAACTAAACGAGTCTGAACAATAGGGAATATACTGAATGCATAAGTGAAAAGAAATACTTTAAGCACTCACAGTTCTGCAGCTTATTGTTCAGCTGAGGTAATCATAAACAATAGCATTGTATAATAAGTTATGTGTTGTTGATTCTATACCTGCAGGTCTGTTGAGAGGCACCTCGTCAGGAGGGGGAGGGACCAATTCAGCCCCTACTCCTGGCTCTCTCGGTCCTCTAGGCAAACTCTGAAAAATGCACTCAAAGATAAAAATGCAAACTTAAAATTAATTTTATCTATGATGTTTAGGCTTCCAAATCAGTTTCATGAGAAAATTAGAGTCCACAGGCTGATTGATACACCACAAAACATGGTTATGATGTTTTGTCATTGTCCCAAAATAAGACTTCTTCAGGGAGTGCATTGAAGAGAAATGTCAGTTTAAGTTAAAAAAAGTTAAAAAAATGTGAAAAAAAGGTATGGGAGAGGAATATAACTTCCTTTAAAGCGGAAATACGAGAAAACTTAGCAAAAAAGCCAATATACTCGCTGAAAGGAGCTAATTCAAGATTCTCTTGAAATAACATGCTAACCATTTTTAAGCTGCTCAATATGTTTTTTTTTGTTTTGTTTTTTTTGACAGCCTCGTATTAATTGAACTTGAATTAGGTATTTGTATATGTGTGTGTAAATAGTACTGTATGTTTTGAAACAATTATAAGGGAAGTTATCAACTGTGGCTACTTCAGAATAAAATACTAGTCACTGATATAACAAAGGCTATAGTTAGGACTAGTTAACTTATTACAAGATTTGATTCTCAAATCCAGCCAATCCCTTGAATTTCGGATTTGACTACCTACCTTCTCTTTCCGCCGCCTGTGTATATCCTCGGATATAGCCTCCAACTGATGTAGGGACGCAGAATACGCAGCCTTGGTCTTAGCTATGGCTGTCTGTAGCTCTGTGATCCGCTGTTTCTGCGCATTCAGGCTACTCTCACACAACGCCTTCTCATCAAAGTAAGGGCGGGACTTGACAATGTTTCTCTTTAGCTTTTGCTCCAGCATCTGGACCTGATCCAAAAGTTGAGTTTTAGTTTAAATTGTTGATGACAGTTGAAAGAAACAGTGTTTCATAATGATGGAGGTAAACTTGCGGCACATATAAATAGTGCTGTAATGAGAGTAAGAATGAATGAAAAAGAACTTGTATTACCTTTAGAAAGGTTTTTAATAACTTGAACAATACTGCATTTTGAATTATAATGGACTTGTTTACAAACACAACAAAACAATAATAAAGAATTGAAGACACATGTTTTTTACTACATTCTTCCTCCCTAATGTTAATGAACGTAGTCATTTAAATAATTAGGAGGCCTTCTGCTTCTGAAACTTCTTCTCGGATATGTGTTATGGTTCTCTCCTCTAGAAGCTTCTTGTCTAGGTTGTAAATTCTCTGCAGTAGTATTCATTTCATCTTCTTGGTTCTGTGTTAATGATGGACTAGGAAAGTATTCAGGTTCAGGTTGAGAAGTGGGTAATAGAATATTTTCATCACTCTCAAAATCGGTTTGCTCTATGTCGGTTTGGTACTCACCAACCGGAGCAAGATGACGTGTAGACACGGTAGTTTCTCTTCCGTCAGGCAACTTGAGCAACATGAGCATACTCGGCATTCCCGTGAAGAAGTTGGACCTCTTCAACAAGTGGCTCATACTTGGACATACGATTGAATCTCTTCAAGTAGACAGGGCCGGAATTGAGAAGCCATGAAGGAGCTGAAACACCATTGTTCCCAGATCTACGTGGATGTAAGAACATACGCTCGTGAGGAGTTTGATTTGTGGCTGTGCAAAGTAATGATCTCACTGAGCTGAGAGCATCCTCTAAAACTGTCTCCCATTGGTTTATTTCTAAGTTAAGTGATTTCAACGCTAGTTCAATTGTTTTCCATAGAATGCCGTTATACCTTTCTACTTGCCCATTACCTGCTGGATTGTACGCAGTGGTTCTACTAGTTGAGATTCCAAGTAAGTTCAAGTAGCTTTTTAAGTCTTGGCTCAGAAATGATGTTCCTCTGTCCGAATGTATGTAACTAGGAACCCCAAAAGTAGAAAATAATGTTTTTAGTTTCGACTTAACTGTTGACGATGACATGTCTGAACAAGGGAAAGCGAAAGGGAACCGTGAAAACTCGTCTACTATTACTAATAAGTAACGGTTTCGACTTGATGAAGGCAGCGGGCCTTTGAAATCGATATTCAACCGTTCAAATGCAGAAGTGGCTTTAATCAAAATCCCTTTGTGTTTGAAGAATCTAGGCTTCACAGCAGCACACACATTGCAGGAGTTTGTTATTCGTCTGATTTCATCAATCGAGTAGGGCAAGTTTTTACTTCGAACCCAGTGGTACAAACGTGTCACACCTGGATGACATAGATTCACATGTAAATCAATCAACAGTTTTTCTTGATTTTGGATTGAAGAACATACTCTAGTCAGGGCATCTGCAGCCATATTATCTTTACCGGGTCTATATACAATATCATAATGAAAGCACGACAATTCCAGTTTCCACCTCATTATCTTTTCATTTTTCACTTTGCCATGACGGTTGTTATCGAACATAAAAGAAACCGACCTCTGGTCAGTAATCAGCTTGAAATGTTTACCAACCAAATAGTGACGCCATTTCCGCAGTGCTTCCACAATAGCTTGTGCTTCTTTTTCGACACTTGAATGTCTTTGTTCTGCTGGAGAAAGTATCCTTGAGAAGAATGCGACTGGACGGTTCGATTGAGTCAAAGTAGCAGCAATGGTACTCTCAGATGCATCAGTTTCTACGATGAACTGTGCTTCAGGGTCAATGCAGCTTACTACAGATCCGATGATTTCACTTTTTATAGTTTCGAAAGACTGGAGCCCTGCTCCACAGGCTGGAGTTGACCACAGGCCTCAAAAGCTGTGTAGTGCTTTTCTTCATTTCTTATCTTTACTTGGTGGTACGCACTTTTCAAATCGATAGTACTGAAAAACTCATAATTTGCAACTTTGTTAACGATATCATCGATTCTAGGCAGTGGGTAAGCGTCCAGTAATGTAAAACGATTTATAGTCCTGGAGTAGTCAATGACCATTCTTTTTCTATGATTTTCAGTAGTAACTACTAATGCTTGAGCCCTCCATGGAGACATACTAGGCTCTATAACATCGTCTTTAAGCAATTTACTTACTTCGTTTTCAATAAAATTTAAATCATCGGTGCTATGGCGATGATACTTGATTGCGATTGGCTTACATTCCGGTTTTAAATTAGAAAACAAAGATACCGGTTCTACAGTTGAGGCTGCCACGCTACATACGGTTAGTTGTGACTTGTTGCCACCAAAGACTACTTTAATACTTGCATGGTTTTTAAAAAAAAATTGTTTTAAGTAAAATTGTAATGAGAGTAAGAATGAATGAAAAAGAACTTGTATTACCTTTAGAAAGGTTTTTAATAACTTGAACAATACTGCATTGAATTATAATGGACTTGTTTACAAACACAACAAAACAATAATAAAGAATTGAAGACACATGTTTTTTACTACAAGTGCATACAATGAAAGAGCAACCCAAAACAGTTTACTCTAAGAGCCACAGAGTCAGTTGCTTTAAATAAAAATTTGTGAAAAAATTATGCTAAATAAAAATGGTTTTAAGTTTCTTGGCGGGTAAACCAACTACTATTTTATTCAAGCAGGAGCAGTTAATCCGAGTGGCAAGTGATCCTTGGTCAGTTTAGAAAGGGTCTTGAGGGTCTGTAAATTAAGTACCGTACTTCAAGACTACTGATAAAATATATACTTTTAACATACAATAACAGAGAACAATACTCCATTGTCACAAGAGCATAGTTTTTGAATGATTATCAATCAGAATAATTACCTTCTGCTCAGCGGCTTGGTAGAGTGTCGCTCTCTTTTGGTGTTCTCTACCACTCTCCGATTTGTTATGTTCAGCCTCCATCACCTACATTATAACATGGATGCTAACATTGTAACTTTCTGCAATAATACTGATGGTAAGATAAGATATTTAACACAAAATAATATATGTTAAATAAATACCCTAGGTACTCTGATGATTTTAAAACATGGATCCAGTAAAACTCCAATCATCCTCCGGTAGACATCATCATCGTCTCTGGAGGTCATGCGAGCACACATTAGGAACACACTGGAGGTGAAGCTTGTACTTATTAGGCTGGGTCAATTTCATTTCTTATGCCTCAACCTCAAAATAGCTTAAAAATTGCTCATTTAAGCACATAATTAAAACCAATTTCATACCCCCCAGGCCCCCCCCCCAAAAAAAAATATCTAGGTCTAGGACCGCCCTTGATAACTAAACTAGAAAGTCTACCTTCTTGGTGGCATGGTTGAGCATCTCTTGCCAAGCAGTGTCAAATTGCCATTCGTCCTGTTTGCTGAAATACCTTGCCTCGGCCAGGGCTACGGTTTCCTTAGCAGCAGCATGGATCTCTGTATCGAGTCAGAAGAATGCAATGACAATGAAAAAAAAATCAAAAATATGAATTCCAAATCACTGTATTAGCCATAAAACTGCAACAATGACTGACATGGATTTACGATGTCTGGTCAGCAGTTCCAATAGTAACGAATACGGAAATGCATTCGTTTTAGTTACTGAGATAAATTGTAGTGAATTTAATGTATTTTGTGTGTAACTGAGGTGTTTGAAAATTGTAAGCAGATAAAACATTTGACACCCTGCTTCTGTTACTATTGGAAATTGCTTCCGCTAACTGATCATGATAAGTTTAAAATGTGATTAAATAATTTTAAAAAAACACACATAAATTTGTGCATAAATTGCTTGAAAATACCATAAGTTTCTGTAGGATGCCATTTTCATACATCTCAGTTCTGGAAATGCATTCGTTTTAGTTACTGAGATAAATTGTAATGAATTTAATGTATTTTGTGTGTAACTGAGGTGTTTGAAAATTGTAAGCAGATAAAACATTTGACACCCTGCTTCTGTTACTATTGGAAATTGCTTCCGCTAACTGATCATGATAAGTTTAAAATGTGATTAAATAATTTTAAAAAAACACACATAAATTTGTGCATAAATTGCTTGAAAATACCATATTTGATGCTGAGCAAAATTCAAAACTGGGAACAAACATAGTAATTGATGGCATACAGCCTACTATATAAAACCATTGATCTCAGAAAACAGTATTATGGCGTTATGGAATACTATTTTCTGCAGCATTCTATCTAAAAGTGGACGATAAATGTATTAGTGTGTCAAACTAGAAGGCCTAACTGTCTTTGTAGTTCTTAGATGTTGCAAAGACCAGATTTTTTTACAACAACCTAGAATATACAACAAAAATCATTTTGCTCACTATAGAAGACTTTATAAACATTTTCCAATGAAACTCCTATTTATCTCTATGAAACAGAGTACAATTTCAATGGCTCATTTTCTTGCAAATATGCGAGTTTATGCTAGGTTTTATTCCCTAATGCAAGAGTCCATGTAAATAATTTTACAAAGATTACTAAAATAAACTTTTTATTCCAATACAGCAGTTATACCTACATAATAAACTCATTACTAATTCATTGTTCAAATATTATTCCTATCCCCCATTTTTTCCTATTCAATCAATTTTTACCTCAGTAACTATTGTGTACATGCTGGATAACTATTCGAGTAGAAGTGAATCTTATCATGCTAAAGGAAGGAAGTGGCATAACCCTGGCTATAAAATGTTAAATGATACTCCAACATGGTTCAATGCTTGTACGCTCATTGACACTGAGTCAAGGCTGATGACTCATCAGATAGGGGAACATCTGCTTGTTATTCATCACTGTTTGGTCTTTAAATAAGTCCTATGCTGTTTGACCTCGAGCACACATCACAACTTCCAACAATGTGAATTGAAGATTAATTATGTTTGGGTTATAAAATAAATAACAATAGTTGTACAAAATGTATATGAAAATGAAGGGAAAACTATACTTGTAGGACTTATCAATTGCATAAGGGTATTCTGTTGGAATTAATAAATAATGAAATAAGAGATCAATCAGTTTTTATATTTGTGGGATAAAACTGTTTTTAGCATAAATTTAATCACTTTTACAGATTAGTAACACCAATAAATGAAATGAGAAGTAATATAGAATTAGAATCCAAGGAATTTTAGGGAATTTTTATTAGTTATAGTTTTTAGGAAAGGCATGGATAATTTTATATCGGGGATCCCCAATAGTGTCACACCTGATCATGAAGTTGCCATAATCATGGGAGATGATCAAAATGTTGCTTTCTGGCATACAGAAACATTTTTCAAAAACATTAAAAAATTTTCAAGTTGATTCAAATGTTTGTGTAACAATGCAAATCAATTTTAGTATTAAATTCTCTACATGTTTAACTTTATTCTAAATCTGAGTTTTAAGTCTCAACTTTTAGGACTCACGTTCGGATATAAAATTCCTCGTTTTGACTGCTAAAGAATACATTAGGGTGCTATCTTAATCGATTTTAAGAGAAACTTGGATATGAAACACAAGTTTGTATCAAATATGGCTTACCACTTGCTCGTTGGAACTTCCTCGCGGCCTGTTGACATTCGGTCTGAGCCCGTCTACAGATCTCCTGGGCCTCGTAGTAAGGCCGGGCCTTGTCTACACAGGAGCCTAGCTTGTGGTGGTACAATGTCATGCGGCGCTTCGAGTCATTCATCAGTATGCGGAACGTCCCCTGAGCTTCCTAAAGACACACACTCTTAATTAACACACTTAAACTTTATGGCACTCTGGTCTCTGTTAGTTGCATAATAGGAGACTTCCAAAAGATGTTTACCAGCCACACTAACTATGAAACTAAGTTAGTACTATTATTGACAATTGGTAGCACTAGAAATCCCATTGCAAAGTTGATGCCAGATTTAGATTAAAAGTTGATGTAGTTGAATTCAACCACCAATAGAGTGTGCTAATGTCTATTAGGCTACGGTACCTGATTTCTGTCAAATACAAAAACTTTAAACAAGGTTAAATTGAAGGCTAAACTACACTTTTATGTCAAATAAAATATACTCTGCTACAAAAATAAGTTAAAAATCCAATTTTGACAGCTGTCCACTCTGAAAATGACTTATTTAACTGTGTTCTGTTCAATAAGACTTGGCAACAGCTGTCTCATATGCTTTGGATAAAGACATATACTTGAGAATTCAAAATTAAGGCTACTTTACATTTAAACTTACATCAAGCTCCATTTCAAGTTTATTGATTTCATCAGTTGCATTGTTCAATCGCTCCAGTTCAATCTGTAACAAAGAGTAGTTCGCATTTAGTTTTTGCTTAAAACTGTTCCATACAATAGCGTAGTATACAGAAAACTATCATAGTTTTGAATATGATAAACTAAAAAACTTGCTTAAAACTGATGCTCATTGGATTAGCATTTTTTTTTTATCAATAACTAAGATTTTCCGGGATTAACGCAAATTTCTTTGTGACAGTTTTTGTCGGGTCACGGGTACTTCCGGGTCTTTTTCAATAGAATAGGGAAGGCCGCCAGCCCGGACTGTCTGTACTCTCCCGGCATTGCAGACACGGCTGAGCAACCTTCTTCTTTTGGAACAGGTGTCATGTCCGCCAAGCCTCCTTAATCTCTGAGATCTGCGTCGTCATTACTCCCAACATCGTTGGAGCAGTGCTCCAGGGGGAGGACACCTGGAACTGTGTCAAACAGTTCACCGAAACCATACTTCGGGCTAAAAAGGTTGATCTTGATCGGTCTTAGCCACCAGAAAAAATAAGAAGGAAAGCCCTAGTGGCATAGTTTTAAAGTCCTAGCTCGAATTAATGTGCTAAACAGTTCCAGGCTAGTGTCCTAGGAGATGAGGGGGGTTTTCTAGCTGGTAATCTGGGGATATTGAACCCGCAGGAGTCCAGCACTACTGAGAGGCCATTGAGCATCTCAGTGTGCGTAAATGCATTTTTACCTCCCGCCCCAAAAAAATTATTAAAAATGCAGATTTCTAAGTATGAAAACAAAAAATCTGCAGGGCTGAACATAATTCATTAGGGTCTACAAAACAAACACAGAATAGTATATTACGTTACTAGCACGGTAAGTGGTGTTTTACCATGCGAGCACAACAGTCCCCGTGCAAGTACGTTAAAGCTTACTGGGCAAGTAACGTACGATACTTTACATCATAATACACAGAATGTCGACAAACAAATAAATAAGAGCACCTTGTGCCTATTTTTGATTTCAATTGAGCTTTTTTTGAAACCTGACAAACTAGCAAGTTATGTAACTTAGAAGTATCTGTATTTTAACATTGATAACTCATCACATTACTCACTAATTTAGTGTAGTTTCCGATGAAGTGCCATATGACTCTCTAATTATACATCAACGTGTAATTTATAATGTCTTTGTTAGTCAGAAGAATCAAACTACAGATAATTGTTTATCAAAGGTACATGTTCAGTAAAGAGCCGAGTGTACATAATAACTCATATGTTTACTTATAACGAGTAACCTACACCGATGAATTGTGCATAGTTCCTTACATTCCCAAACAAATAAACCATAATTTTAGTGATTGTTGATGATTCCAGGTTATCGTTGTATGATACGGTAAATGTTCTGATGAACATTGCAAATATTATTTAGGAATAGGCCTAACTTGTTTAAAAAATCTAAGAAACTCGTTTGCTTTTGGAGCTGGTTCCTAGTGACTACTATAAATACAAATACTTGTGTTTATTATAAGTTAAATACTGTATTAAAAACTTAAAAATAGAAAAATTCTAGCCCCAACGATACCATTTTTATAGAAAACTCAATTGTCAATAAATTATTAACTAACATTTTGACACCTATTTGTGGTTTAGAATAGTTCTTAAAAATAGTTAAAAATAGAAAAATAGTTTTTTTCTAAGTTCATAAATATGATATAGGTTTGCATTGAGTTCTAACTTGATTAAAACCGCAAAGCTTAGCCGCAAGGTGAGCAAAGTTAAGTTAGGTGTTAAGCACAGTAGGCCTACAGATTAACCCAATGAAACTGAAAATTTAGCCTATGACATCAGAGATATTTTTATGGTGTCACACTCTCAGTTACTTAATAAAGACAGAGCTTCTACCGTTTTTTTTACAGGCCAAGGACTGCTGTTTTCCTTTGTCAGGATTTTGCAACTGAAATTTCAATGTCAAATGACAGCAGAATCGAGTTTTGTACCCAGATGTTGAGAAAAACGGTTTGAGTGCTTGGATCAGAATTAAGTAAAAAAAGTAAAAATTTTAATGGATTCTCCAGGTAAAGGAAACTGTTTTAACTTGGATTATACAATCATTACCGTACTTAAAACATAAAAAAAATATAAATTTACAATTTAAAACAAAACAAAAATAGCACCACTGTAAGGGGCTATATCTTAAGTAAAAAAAATTTGAATTTGGCCTAAAAATTAACTATAGGTACATACTTTTTAATTGAAAAATAAAAATGTTTGTATGTAACCTACTTGTGATCCATGGTACAACACCATCTTGTACCATGGATCATACCCTCTTGTACCTTGGATCGAGAGGAAAAAGTAGCCTAGAAAAAGTACCTTGAAGTTGAAGAGGATACAATAGCTAAAAAACACAAAAATGGAAAGAAAAATATTTATTGCATTATATTAAAACACTTGTTACATGTCAAACCAAATAAAATTAAGTACGGTAATAAATGTACCGGTAGTTAATCTGTAACAATATGTAACGGGTCAAAAATTACCGTGGGGTAATATTTTACGGTCATCCCAAATACATTGAATTATTTCACGAAAAGGCCACGACGATCGCTGGACATAAATCAAATCAAATCAAATATGCTTTATTCATAAAGTACAGTTTTGTACATTGAATGGCGTCAACTAAATCTAGGCTACCTATCTTAAATTAATAATTTACAAATTTGCATATCTTGGATCATTATGTACTTTAAAAACCAAGAACCAGGAAATGAAAATAATCAAAACTGAATTAATTACTAACACTAAGAGGGGAGGTTTTTTTTTCTACTAGGGTAAATAAAGTTTTAGTTTTCTCATGAAATTCTTCCTGCTTTGTTCATTTCTGATTTCATTAGGAAGATGCTTAAAATATTTTAAACCTATATAGGATGGTTTTTTCCATTGAATTTTAATTTGTGTTTACTTGAAATAGGATTTTTTTATGCCGAGTGTTGTATGGGTGATAATTTGTCTCAGAGGTGCTCAAGCAGTTTTTTGCTAGAATAATTGTGTCGTAAATAAATGGGCCATGTACCAGGTCCGTGAAGTTGGCGTACCCATATTAGCGTATCCACTTTTGATCATTCCAATCGTTAGTTCTCGATAGTTCCTAAGTTTTTTCGTTAGTTCTCAAAAAATAAAAAAGTTATAGCCGATAATAAGTGGGTACGCTAACTTAACACTTCCGGGTTCTAGCGCGCGCCGTTTTCTGATGAGAAATGTTTACATCTATACATCAATCGTTAGTTCTTCGTTAGTTCTCGAAAGTTCTCCAATATTTACGTTAGTTCTCAAAAAATAAAAAAGTTACGAGGCATACAAAGTGGGTACGCTAACTTCACAACTATACAATTTCCAGCGGGCACCGTTTTCTGACTATAAATGCTTATATCTATACACCAATCGTTAGTTCTTCGTTAGTTCTCGATAGATCTCCAAAATTTACGTTAGTTCTCTAAAAATAAAAAAGTTACGAGGCATAAAAAGTGGGTACGCTAACTTCACAATTATACAATTTCCAACAGGCACCGTTTTCTGACTATGAATGCCTATATCTATATACCAATCGTTAGTTCTTCGTTAGTTCTCGATAGTTCTCCAATATTTACATTAGTTCTCAAAAAATAAAAAAGTTACGAGTGAAAATTTAAAAACGTACGTTTTCATGTCCCTGGCCTTTTACTTCGTAGATACTGGATTTTTAGTTTATTATTATGTGTTTTAATATTTTTGGGACGGGGGCAACATGTTACACACATTTATTTGGTTTTAAATAGGTTCTAGGTATTTTTTTCGTATTTTTAAAGTCTCGAATCTCACAATCATGACGTGTCCCTAGGGTACATTTTCCAACTTTCACGCTGTTTTTAGACTAATTATTCATGCCGAAATATATAAAGCCATATTTTTATGTCATCAATGGTTATTAAACTTACAAAAAAGGAGCATATTATAATTTTCTTGTCATTGCAAACTGACTACCATGACAAAATAAGTCTGTCCCTCGATTTGGCGTCACGACCATTTGGGAAAAATTTTCAACTTTGGAGCACGACAGTGGCAAGCCTGGCGTCGATGGAGTCAGTTGGTTTTAGAGACAAGTTCGGGGTGTACGTCAGGATTGTAGTGCCGGTCGTTTCGAGTTGAAAGGAGGAATTACAAGATTAATAAAGGGAAAATTGTGTTTTTTGTAATTTTGGTGTGTCCATGACCGTACGTAGTCATTCAATGAAGTAGACATGTTGTTAATTTTTGTTTATAAGATATTTCAATTGCTAGATTAACCTAGAAGTCCACTTTGTATCCTCGAACATGAGGTGCAGGGCTACCACCAGAACAGAGCCAAATAACACGTAATTTCACGACCAAAGTTTCACGACCATCGCGGGTTTTTTCACGACCAATCCAGCCTTATGGATTATAGTGTGTTTGGTCGTGGCAATAACCTTAATATAATTGTAATTTAAACAGTTTAGTTAAATTGAAACACTTATTTTTATTATAACTAACAGTATAATTGAAGGATTGTTGAACATCACGTTTATGATTTCTATCATAAAAATTTCAAAAATTAAAATATCGTCATATTTCAATGTTTTATACACAAAAGAAGCACACCTCTATACAAACATAACGATTTTTCGGGTCTCAGGTAAGTTTCTTTGGAGTTATACAAACTTAAAAATATTTTATTGGCTTTTTTCAATTTTTTGAGTTTTTTATTTTTTTCTAGAAAGACCAAATATACCAAAAGCTCAGTGACCTTTTTATTGTATAATGGTCATAAAAGTAAATTAGTTTATAGCAAAACATAGTTATAAAAATAATATTAACTATTTTTAACATTCATTTAAACGTCTGTTATGGTCGTGACAGGATTTTGTGTTTTTCCACTAAAGATGCTCTTTTTTTTTAAAAAATACCAAAGATATTGCGTTACCATGGACATTTTATGAAACTTCAAATGTTAATGAAATAAAAATAATAATACAAGTTTTGAAAAAAGGGGAAAAAAATTTGCAAAGTGCTTTTCCTGAAAACGTACGTTTTTAAATTTTCACTCTTACGTATAAAAGTTAGTAAGCATTTTTATTCAGAAAACTATGCCTGCTGGAAATTCTATAATTGTGAAGTTGGCGTACCCACTTTCGTAACTTTTTTTTCTTTAGAACTAACGTAAATATTGGGGAACTATTGAGAACTAACGAAGAACTAACGATTGGTATATAGATATAGGCATTTATAGTCAGAAAACTGTGCCCGCTGGAAATTGTACAATTGTGAAGTTAGCGTACCCACTTTGTATGCCTCGTAACTTTTTTATTTTTTGAGAACTAACGATAAAATTTGGGAACTATCGAGGACTAACGAAGAACTAACGATTGATATATAGATGTAAACATTTCTCATCAGAAAACGGCGCGCGCTAGAACCCGGAAGTGTGAAGTTAGCGTACCCACTTATTATCGGCTATAACTTTTTTATTTATTGAGAACTAACGAAAAAATTTGGGAACTATTGAGAACTAACGATGAACTAACGATTGGTATGATCAAAAGTGGATACGCTAATATGGGTACGCCAACTTCACGGGCCTCCATATACCTTTAAAATTTTCAGTTCTTTGAATTTGTTTTTTGTTGTTTCGATGTGTTCTAATTTCAAAATTATTCTTATTGCTATTTTTTGAAGTTTAAGTAACTTATTTTATCCAAATTTTCTATTGTAGGTGAGTTGAACCATAAAGGCACAAACCATAGGATAAATGCGAATGGACATTAACATAATATGTGTTTTTTAATGTTTTATGGTTACAAAAATAAGACATTCTAGAGAGTGAATATAGTTCTGAACATAATTTTGAAAGGAGTTTCAACATGTTCATCCCAGTTTAAATTTTGGTCCACAATTAGACCTAGAAACTGTGTACTGTGTTTATGTTCAATTTCTTCTGCATTATAGGCTACATGATATTTGGTTTAATTACCTTTTTGTTTTTATTTGTTTTAAAAGATAAAAATTTTTTTTGGGATTAAGCTTCAATTTGTTTTGCTCTAGAAAGTTTCCAATGTTTGCCAATTCAACAAAACTTAAAATTTCAACTTGTTGCACTGACTCAGCCGATACTTTGAGATTTGTATCGTCTGCATAAAAACAAAGATTGTTCTGAAGCAAACATGAGAGTGCACCACCAGCATGATTTATAGGCCCTAACATAAAAACAACAGGGGGCCAAGGATTGACCCCTAGGGAACACCACATTTAACCCTTCCAGTTTCAGAAGAAAATGTTGTAATTCTATTATCATGATTATGTGTGATTTCTACAAACTGACAACAATTATTTAGGTATGACTGAAACCATTTTATTGATTTTTTTGTAACCCCTAAAATGAGCAATTTATCTATCAGTTGAGTGTGGTTGACACTATCAAATGCCTTAGTTAGGTCCATGAAAATTCCAATTGTGAACTCCCCTTTATCAACCGATTCAATTATAGATTCTATAATACACCACATTTTATAATAGGCATAGATTAGATAATACACCACGTATATCACTACTTTTGATTTTTAACACTAAAACAATGATAAACGTAATAAAACACATCAGTCATCGGTGCAAGGTTGACCAAGTTGTTTAAACAAATACGCATGTCAGCTGTCTGCTACAATATTTTCGGAACTTAAATGAAAAGCGTCTAGAAACAGACATCAGGAGAAAGCTCAGAATCCGCCGAAAACGATAGCAATCTCAATCCAGTTCAATCTGATTCAGTCAGTCCCAGAGCCTACGCCGTTTAAACGATATTTGTGTGTCGCTTAAGCGACGCATAACACCACGGCGGGTGTGTGTTGTGCGTCGATTACGCAACGCTTAACACTCGGATGGTTAACAATGGGGGTGGAATGTCTAGAACTTAGTTGTGTATTAATAGTCAAAGGTGATATATCTTCAGTAATAAGTTACCTACTCATTTGCAGCTGATGGTGAGTATACAGTATTTGGATTCAGGAGTTAAAAAACTACCTAACTTTAAGTATAGGCCTAAAGTAGGGCCTATGATATCAAAATTTAAAAATTTTCTGGAGGCACTATGTCGAATACTTGATACTTACTTATACTTGATACTTGTAGGTATCCCATTAGTAGCACGGGTGTGCCATGGTCGTCAAAGTTTTGGCCTATTCTTGATTTAAGAACTCTTCTACTGAGTAGTAAGGCTGAGTCGTTAAATATTCTTTAAACTTGGATTTAAATTCTCCGCATCTTCAATTTCCCTTATGGCAGCTGGAATTTTATTGTAAATTCTTATGCATGTAGGTCTTGGTCCATCTCTCACTAAACTGGATGAAACTTGTGGTAGGCCTCCATGTAACATTTCCTTCTGCCTCGTTGAATAGTTATGGATTTGTTGATTTTTTTTAGAAAATGTTCTGGCTTCCTTTTAACTGTCACTGCAGACTCAAGAATGAACAGAGCAGGCAGTGTGAGTATATTCAGTTGTATAAAGATTGGTTTACAATGTGATAAGTAGGGTTCTCTCGCAATTGTTCTTACTAAGCGTTTTTGAAGCAAAAATATACACTCCGCCAAGGGACTATTCCCCCAAAATATCACACCATAATTCATTATACTATGGAAGCATCCACAATAAACTTTCAACAGTACAGCTTGATCAACTATCGATTGCAGCCTACGTACCATGTGGCACACAGCTTTCAGTCTTGCTGCTGTGGCGTTTCTTGGTTCTGCCATTTTAAGTCACTGGTTATTGTCAGACCAAGATACTTAATAGAGTTATCTACAACGATACTAGCTGCCTCAAGGCGAAGTAGTGGTGTGCTTTCAGGCTTCTTACAGTTGTAGAATTGTATTGTATAGCCTTAGTTTTACTCCTATTTAGTATAAGATCGTTTTCTTTACACCATCCGCTCATTTCATTTAGGCCAGTTTGTGCCTTGTCTCTTAGCCTACCCAGGTCACTGTCCTGAACTAAGTGACTCACGTCATCAGCAAAGAGCCACACTTTCCCTTCAGATAAAGAGTCGGGTAAATCGTTGACATAGAATAGTTACTTAAATGAACTCTGTAACCACTAAGTTAAAACTCAATGGAACTAACAAACGGTAAGTTAGGTACCTAAGTTACCTAGTATAAAAATGTTGTAGCCTAAGTTACAAGTTGATAAGTTAATACCACAGAGAAGGAAGGAACAGAGGAACACTCATTAATGCATTTATACATTCTTTTACTTGTTTTTAATAAAGAATTTTTAATTAAGAATGTATTTACTTGTTAAATGTTGTTTAGGCCAAGGGCAAAGTCCATCACTGTCCCCCTCGACCTCTGTATGGTAATAAGTTACAACGCCAAAGGGTGGAGGAAGACCCTCTGCCCTGTGTGATAGAAATTTCCGCACAGTGCTCACCACTCTGGCTCTTCCTTGCAAGTCAAAAGTTTATTTCCGGCACAACAAAGCGCACGGTTGTCCCATAAGTTTTAAAGTGTGTTCCCTCTGTATTTTCCATATCTCTGTGATAAGACCAAGGACTGACCTGTATTCTGGGGTCCAATTCATCATCCGAGTTTTCATCAGTTGCTGTTCTTATACAAGCCATAACCACTAGACTTGATATCTTAAGGTAGGCCTATCCTTTAAAAGAACACCAACCTCTTATACGGTATTTGTAATATAGCCTAGGCTATGTGAAAGTTAACAACTAACTCAAAGCTCACTATAAACCTAGAAACAACACAACGCTTCACATACACAAGACAAAACAAACTTTGAATATACAGGCGAGTCCCAAGATCACTCCCGATTTTTATCAAGCAAGCAAGACTCACTAAAACAAACTCAAACAAAATGTGATGATATGAGTAGATGTGACATGACTTCTGAGTTCTGACATCTACATCATCAACATACAAAAATAAACATCTGTTTCTGTTTATTTTTTATTACTGTTTTCGTTGTCTATTCCCTTTGTGTTCAATGGTTCAGTTCAGTTCCAGTTCACTCAGGCTAAGTCTGGCCATTGACTATATAGCACTACGTGTTGCTAGGTGTTTTATACTGTACTTTGATGGGTGCTAGCATAGATAAAACATACTCCTTGAGGAGTATGTTTTATCTATGGTGCTAGTCAAGTCAATGGTCTGGCATATCGAATACATAATACATCGATGGTCAGGCATGGAGGCATGCAGGTTTAGCATTAGCAGAAATAGCGGTAGTGGCATAATTTGTATTGTATTCAGACTTCAGAGTTTTTCATGAGAACTCTGACAGACAAACTTCGGGAAATGGTTCCGATCAAAGGAATTTTGATTTAGAAGTAGTCTGATAGTAAATTTCTAATCAATATAGGTTCATCATAGCAACGTTAGCATAGTTGCCAAATGGCTGAATCATTATAAAATACCCCCGCCCCGCCACAACGATCGTCCCGCCAAAGCAAACTTGCAGACTAAGCGAATTTCCATTTGCCTGATTGGATTTACACTAAAATGTCACCTTAAAATATTACATTTATTCCCTATCTAAATAACATTAGTTTAACGAGTACTTAGGTGTGCTACAACAGGGAGGGTAAAAAGGTGTTTTTGTAAAATGTTAGTAGTTTATAGTATGAAATGAATCAATGCATTTCCCAAATTTGATCAAAATATGATCATAAACAAGCAAACTACAACAGTTTACTTATTCTCCATAAGAATAACATGGGAATTTTAAATTTACAGTTTTTTTGGAATTTTCTCCGTAACCATTAGGCGCATTGTAACGCTTCAATATACTAAATTATTTGTTTTTTAAGCTCTACAAAATGGTTTGGAAAGAAAATGCTAAATTTTAAGTTTTTAGGGTCAAAAATGGGAAAAACCAATTTTTGTCCCATAAAACCCTGTTCCCATAGTCCGATCATGCTGGTTCGCATAACTCGTTCAAATAAACGTAGGTTCACACGTTTGTACCAAATTTAATCAAAATCGGATGATTTTTGCAACAACATAGATACCCCATAATGTTTTATTGTACTCTGATTAACATTAGTATTTAGAACGACACACATATATATGAATTTGAACGGATGGTGTTTTTGGTCTCTAGGGACCTCAAAACGAATAAGTAAATCGGTCCCGGGTCCAGGTCTTACTATGAGTACTACGGTACTAGCTTATTCCCTATAATATGGGAAATTCGCTAAAATAAACCATTCACACACTTTTAACAAAATAAGTGTTGAAAAATGTTCAACATTTCAGACGGGTACGTCACGGCCACCTTTAACTACAGGCCGCGGCCTGTAACAAAATATGAATATAATTTTTTTTTATTGAAAATAAAACATACAGAATTGAAAACCTAAACAATATGAATTAAAAATCTATATCTGTGCATCATTTTAAGCGGAGTCAATATTGTCATAGTCTCCAGTAACCAATCTTTCGTAAATACACAAATACCATTAGCTGCTTCCAAACAAAACAGCTGTTACAACACCACTTGCGATGCTGCCACTTCGAAGGCCGCGGCCTGGAGTTAAAGGTGGCCGTGGGTAAACTCAATGCACTCTGTCAGGGATCGACTTTGTGCATGAAAAATCTGTGTTGGCACTACTGAAAGCTAATTACTTATTTGTGGAAAAAAAACATTGAAATTGTTAAGTTAAGTTAAGTAAAAGTAATGGCTTCTGTTTGTCATAAGGTAAAATATTGTTATTTTGTGTAATACGGGACATAATCCTCTGACTTTGTTTACATATGTAAGTTTTTCCATTGAAACTATTACCATAAATGTTATAAATCTGCAATATTGCTTTTAAATGCACCAGTTTATTGTAAATAATTAAAATGCATCCTTTTCAATATTGTTCTGATTTGACAGTTGAACTTGTTTCTAGAACCAATCTTGTTTTGGTACTTGAAAAAGGACATTGTGGTTTAAAATAATCTTCTATGAAGCAAATTTATTCATAGCTTAGGGCTAGCCTTACTTCTTAACTTGTCTTCCTACACTACTTTGAGGTAATACATGGGAAACGTTTGTCATAACCTTATAATAACAATGCCATAAGATTACATTCCAAAATTAATGCTTGAATATTTCGCCTTTTAGTTGCATCTTTTTAGGTTAACCCTCCGAGTGTCCATAGTTTAGGCCTTAATGTCCACCCATTTTTGGCCCCTTTGCAAGGTTTTATTAAAACGGATCTGAGAAGCTTAAAACAATGTTAATTCTAATGTTCTATATACCATTTTGTTTGGAAAATCATGGGCTTCAATATTATATATAAAACATAAGGAACATTTTTTCAAAAAAAAAATTTTTAGGTAAAAAAAAATATAATTTCGAAAATTTTCAAAAAAAAAATAAGTTCGCGCTCAATGAAATTGTATAAATTATAGGACTATAAATATTTGAAAATAGCCACTTTGTTCTAAATTTAATGAGGATTACAAATATATAATCATATAGCGAGGTAAGTTATCAAATAAATAAGTTATGAGCGAAAAACGTATTTCAGTACATAGCGTTTAGCTAAGAATGCATAGCCTAACCATAGCTAGGAATCTGGCTGATAATTTACATCAATATCACTACCTACTTCTTCAGGATCATCAACCAGCACTTCAAAACCACTTAAATCTTCTTATAATGCACCACGTATATCACTACTTTTGATTTTTAACACTAAAACAATGATAAACGTAATAAAACACATCAGTCATCGGTCCGGGGGAACTTAGCTGTTTACAAATACACGCACGTCAGCTGTCGGCTACAATATTTTCGGAACTAAAATGACTAGCGCTTAGAGACAGACCTCTTGAGAAAGCTTAGAATATTACGGAAAGAACGATACCTAACTCGATCCAGTTCAATCCGATTCAGTCAGTCATAGAGCCTTCGCCGTAAACGATGTTTGTGCGTCTTAAAAGCGACGCGTGACCCTACACAAAGTGTGTTGTGCGTCGTTTTTATGACGCGTGACACTCGGAGGGTTAACCTGATATGATACTAATCCAAATATTACTGAAGGCTACTTATTTAAATATCCATTTTAACCCTTAGAGTGCCAGGCGAGAAATAAAAGTAACGCTCAAAAAATGCCGATGATTTTTCCCGAAGGTCGCGCTAAAAATGCCGAGCGCGATCTGGCGATTTTTAGGTTAAAATTTCGTAAAAATCGAATTTTCGATATTTCGACCAACGAAAATCGATGTATCGCATCTAGCAACTTTCGACTCAATGTTAATATATGGGTTAAAAGAATCCGAGTATTTATTCGGTTGTTATGACAGCTGTTCGATCATTACGAAACGTCCGGTCAGCCGGACGTTGGCACTTTTGGCTCGTTCTAAAAACGTCCGGTCAGCCGGACGTTGGCACTTTTGGCTCGTTTTAAAAACGTCCGGTTCCCCGGACGTTGGCACTCAAAGGGTTAATAGATAGGTTGGTTATCTTACTCTTTTAAGTTATATACTCGGTCTAGATAGGCTAATTATAATATGCAGCTACTTAATAAGTTAAGTTAGCATTGTATTGTTATTAGTAAGTTACCATATTGTTGCATTGTTTTATCTGCTAGGGGCAGTCAGAGCTTTATTCCAAATGTTTTCCCCTAACATTACATTTAGGGACAACCCCAATAACTTACAACATTCTGTTGCTGGATTTCAGTTTTTTTTTATTTGATCATTCCTCTCACATACTGAACTAACTTAGGCCTATTTGTTTTAGTGAGACGAAGTGTGAGATGTAAAGAGAGCTGCAAGATGGTGCACAGCCCGAGCTCATATGCTCACGATTTTTGGCAACACAATAGTGATCAGCAAGTGGAACTAAGCTGTCTTATGCCCAATGGAGTATTTATTCCACTTGAGGCCAACAAAAAGGCCACACTTCATGAAATCAAAGAGGTAAGGACCATTATAATAACTTAAACTATTTTAAAAACCAATTAATTCACTAAAACGTTGCCAGCAACATTGTCATTGTCATCATCTCTTGCACAGGCTGCAAAATCATAATAATCTATTATGATTGTGTCCATAATGCCAACATCTTATAAGATAGGCCTATAAATGCAATAACTTAAAGGAGAAAATCAACACAATCACACACCCGTTGATCTACACAAAGATCAACCACGATCATGATGATTTTGCCATCATCTTGTTGATGTTATTTACCCTTCAAGTGTCTATGGTAAGGATCTTAATGTTGGCCTATTTATTACGCATTCACAGGATTTTATTATGTGTCTGAGAAACTTGAAAATAAACTTACCACTCTAAAGTAGGCCTAGCCTATTGTTAACTTTATCATGTTTTGGAAAAATGTGGGGCTTCAATATCAAAAATTGTGACCACTGGGGGCTTAACCCTCTGAGTGTTAAGCAACGTTCAACACACCCGCTGTGGTGTTATGCGTCGCTTTTGCGACTCACAAACATCGTATGGCGAAGGCTCTGGGGCTGACTGAATCAATTGAACTGGATTGAGATTGGTATCGTTGTTTTCGGCAGATTTAAGCTTTTTCCTGATGTCTGTTTCTAGACGCTTTTCATTTTAGTTCCGATCATATTGTAGCAGAAAGATGACATCATATTTGTAAACAACTTGGTTAACCTCACATCGATGACTGAAGTGTTTCATGAAACTTACGTTAATCATTGTTTTAGTGTTAAAAATAAAAAGTTGGATATACATAGGTAGTGTATTATAAGAAAATTTAAGTGATTTTTAAGGACTGGTTGATGATCCTGAAGAAGTAGGTAGTGATATTGATGTAAATTATCTGCCAGATTCCTAGCTATGGTTAGGCTACAGTATGCATTCTTAGCTTTCGCTAAATATACGAAATCTGTTTTTCACCCATAACTTATTTATTTGCAAATTTACTTCCTTAGGGCCTATAGCATATTAGCCTACTATATTTTTGGAATCCTCATAAAATTTAGAACAAAGTGGCTTTTTTCTAATTTTTGTAGACTTATAATTATAAAAATTTATTGAGCGCAAACATAATTTTTTTAAAATTTATTTTACAATTTTTAGAAATGTTAACTCCACAAAATTTGTTGACAAGTTTTTTTTTTGTAATGTTTTATATGTTACATTGAAGCCCATAATTTTCCAAAGAAAATTATTAAAACAGTATACCTACTTTAGAGTGTTTTTAAGTTTCAAAGATACATTTTAATAAAACCATGTGATTGCGCAATAAATGGGCCAACATTAAAACCATTACTATGGACACATGGAGGGTTAATATTCTAACTATTGGGAGCTAAAAATAATACAACTAAGTTTTATGACCAATCAATTAACTGGCATCTGGATCTTTCTTTTTATTAATAAACCAGATCCATTCTAACAAATCCTGGGGTGTCCATATCAAAGGAGCTTCCCATAAAATATATGTTTTGGAGAGGATCGTCACATCATTACCACATCATTATTGTCTTATGTAAATAATTCTACATAAAACATTAGGCTTACCGGTACATAAAAAAAATTCTGAAAATGTTTTGAGGTTAGCAATTTTTTAAAGATTATAAAAATAACTGATTAAGTTTAAATTAGCACTCAATCAAATTGTATAGCTTATCTAGGCAGGCCTATTTGATAAATATTTGAAAATAAGTAGCCACTCTGGTCAAAATTGTATGAGGATTTCAAATATAGGCCCATAACTTAATCATATTGGGTAAAGAGGTAAGTTTGCAAAAAAATTAATTAGCCTATGGGTGAAAAACACATTTTGCACATTTAAAAATAAGTGAATTTGTCCAATGGCGTTACAGTTTATTAAAACAATAAAAACATATATTTAACCTACTTAAGTATTTTATGTTGAATGTAATTTTATTTACAATTATCTTGGATAAATGTGTAAAATTACAACATGCTTTTAGCTTTATTTTGAGGGTCCAGAAACATTTGCTGAACGTGAAGTAGGAACCTACTTTTAAGAAGAACCTACATCAGAACCTAAAATCCAAAACACTTTTCATACAAAAACCTTACAACTAACAAGAACAAAAATAAAACAAAAACTGTGCAACAACAATTTTTGGTACCGGTATCAATAGTTTTCGACACTTGTAACTAAAAACTGATAGTAAAATGATATACTGAAGAATGAATCGTATGTACAACACTTGGGCTAACTTGGGGTCTTCTGCTGGTATAGGGTCACTCGATTCCTTTTCCTTTTTTTTGTCTCCAAAAGTGTTGCATTTTATGGAAGCACTCTCTCTGCACACCAACATTACCTACACCAAAATCGTGATCTGCCTCAATTTTTTGTGTGACTACAAACAATACACTTTCTTTTCCTGTCTTTGAGGCAATTTTTCAAATTGATGGTCTCCTCAATTTCCGCTGGGACCAGGAACTGGTCTAGGTAAGGCAACACAGTTAGCTTGGCCTACTAGGGATTCAACAATATGTCTTTGGAAGTCCCGCCTTAATACTGGGTTGTCACATCACAATGTTTTCTTATATCAGAATCAGAATCATCATTCAGAATCAGAATCAGAATCATCATGTGTTATAAATAGTTTATAAATATAAAATATAGTGATATACCTTAATACTAGGTTCTATGTCTTGCTGTATTGTCCTAGGCGCATCTTCATTAACGTCTTGTTCCTTATCAAGATTATGGTCTATATCTTACGTCAGTCTAGCAACGATAGCTCGAAATCTGAGAGATAATTTACATCAATATTGCCTTTTTGTCCTGACTATTGCCGTGATCACAGGAAATCATGACAAATTTCGCCCCAAATAGCAAGATGATTTTAGATGTAGCCACAATCGCAAAAACTAATCACAGGAGTTGAAACGATTGTGGATGTTGCCATGATCGCGTGAAATCATCAAAGGTGTTATCATGATCGCGGTATATTATACAGTTATTGCCGCAATCATTATAATCAAAGGTGTTGACATGATCACGAGAAGTAATCACAGATGTTGCTGCAATTGAAGGAAATTTTCACAGATGTTGTCGTGATCAAAAGATATTATCAGCAATGTTGCTTTGATAGCAAAACAATGTTGATGGAGTTCATTGAAGGGGGGTTTCAATCCGTAAAATCTGGTATTGTCCTTGAATTTTGTTTTGATGGTAAGCTAGACAATGGTCATACTAGTTTTCATAACTTTTCTTCAGCCCTCACATTGTTATTCTTCCTCTGGAGGCGTCACTGACAATATCCCACATCCGGAAGAAGTTTTATAACCTAGTTGTGACAGTTCAGCACCCCACAATTTATGCAATGTTACCAACTGCCAGGATCTGTGGGAGGAGGCTACCAAGTTTCCGTTGCACTGGATGCTTCACGATGCCTCGTCGTACGTGTTCTCCTGTCTCAACAGCATGCTGGAGATGGAGGAGCTGTTGGATGAAAGCAAGAGACTCTGCGATGTTAAACCCTTCGTCGCAACACTCAAGGTCATTGAACGACTGGGCGACAAGGCGGAGAAGACACTCAACGCAAACATTAGTCATCTAATTGGCAAAGGTGAGAATTAGTAACTTATGGATAAAGTATGGGCGGTTAACCTCAGTTAGTCATATTATATGCTATAGGCCAACTCCAGTAGACTTCATGGATATTAATCAAGGTTTCTGAATGATGACTTTCTTTGATTATATACTCTGTTCTATATGTTATTAGAACGAATTAAATGTATTTATCAAAGTACAATTCTAACCAACTTTATTCAACAAAAATTATAAACAAAGTGAACAAGTAAACATTATAACCAGCTGATAATAGTTATAAAATAAATAAGCAACAAGTAAATGTAGACATTTAGCATGTAACATATTCGATTCCACAATAACTGTACAGTAAAATTTAGGAGGCTGGTGCTAAAAATATTTCTGGGAACTGCATGATAATGATTTGAATTTTGACTTTAAATTCATAAGTAATCACTGCGTTGTGCGAGCTATGTCTAAGTACAAGTGTTTTCACTTGGAGGTGATTTGGCGACCCGACAAGTAACTTATGACTATGTGAATCGATAGAAGGACTTACTTAATACTAAATGTTAGTATGGTAAGTCCTTAGGCGTGAAAAGATGTTATAGTTAATTCATCAGAAGGTTATCTTTGTTGTATAGGTGGTCCAGTGTTTATAATTGTTTTTGATCTTCCAAACTCTTATCTTCCTAAATTTGGTCAAAGTGTCCAAAGGCCTAGTTTTCAAGGTCTTGAGGTTTTTGCTAAATCAACTTTGTGAAAACTAATAGAAAACATTAACTGTGTCATAGGATTGCACGAGTTTGACTCACTGAAGAATTCAGAGGTGAACTACTTCCGCAGCAAGATGAAGGCCCTGGCCGATGAGATGGCAAAGAGCAGACAAAATAAGGCTTGGCTTGAGAGGTTGTACTACCAGTATCCTCCAAGGGTAGCGCTAACAGACCAGCTGCCTGAGACAGTCAAGTGCGGCCTGCGTGATGGCAACTACAAACTCACCGTGAAGAACATTGCTTTTGAGAACACTGCGGTAAGTAAATGTGGGGTTTGATTATTTTATCCTCTGAGTTCGCTGAGAAGTTTCATAAATTGATTATGTATGTTAGTCAGAATCATCTAACAATTAAGCTGTCATTTAAACAACCTATATCAGAAATCTGAGTTCATATCTGGTGTATTTTATAAATGCACTGTTTTAAACAATTCTCAATCCTTCATAATCTCTGTTACCAGTAGTAGCCTATCGAATGCATTTTGATACACTCAGAATTTCCAAGCCCAAGCTGAGGGCAGGCCAATTTGGAACACACAGTAGGTCCTAATTTAATGTTTTGTGGACAGAAATCTATAATTCGAAGGGACGGAAGTGAATTTACAGGCTAGATTTTTTCCAGTCATAACCAAAAACTACATCCTGTTTGGCACATTAGCATTTGTTTTTAGTTAGAGCACTAATTGAATCATATGGCTGGCAGAAAGCCGCAAAGCCCAGGTGTTATAAAGTCATTCCCTAAACAAAAAAGGCTTGAATAACAACTAATCTATTCAATAAGTGGCTAGTATTATTAAATAAGAATATGAAATGCCAAAATCTTAAATTTATCTTAGTTTCCTGACAATTGTTTGGACCGCAACTAGACGCTTGTCATTTTTAAAACTTCAATGCAAAACTTCAATTTTTTTCTGTCAAACATGACGTCCAAGTTGCAGCTGCTTGACCAAGGTATCACACAAAATTAATGAGGAACTTTGCACAAAATTTAAAAGATGAACTCTTAACACCTAATTTGAATGGTTTTTTTTCTCTCAGTAAACCGAACATCTTGATAATTCAAATCTCTTGATTCAAATTTACTTGCTTGATCACTCCTATTTCGAATGATCAAGAGTCTTCTGTATTTCAACTTGCAGACTGCGTTCACGTTCAGCGTAGCGCTGCAGACCAAACCTGTCCAGCTTATATCGCAGATTCTCACCAAGAAGGCGTTGAACCTGAACACCAAGGGGGAACACGTCAGTGAGTACGTGCTGAAGGTGTGTGGCCAGGAAGAGTACCTGGTGGGAGACTATCCCCTTATACGCTTTGTCTACATACAGGAGGCCCTTAGTAGAGAGACCATCCCTACACTGGTGGCTGTGCCCAAGGAGTACGTCAACAGTGAGTAGAGGAACGAGATAATATCAGTTGGTTGGATAAGTAGTTATTGTGCTTGCTTGGTAATAACAATAAACATTTTTTTTATGTTAAAAATTAAGTAAGGTTTGATCCTGAGAAAATTTAAGTGTTTGAAAATGGCCCTAGCTGTCTTTATCATTTGACTTTCAATAAATGGTCCTGGCTTAGTAGGTTTTATCATAATACTCATCTTCTTGCTTTCTTTTTGTTTGGCCTCAAGAGCTCAAAAACGCCCAGTACATCTTCATCAATTGTATTAATATTCGCTCATTTTATTGAAGCTCACTTTCCCTCACATTGTAACTTCTTTGTAAGAGCATCAGAATGTAATGGCTTGACCAATTGATATGAAATTTGGCCAACAGCTAAAGAATACTGAGCACAATGTTTTGGTAAAAAATATTTGCAAATTTCCTTCTGGATTTTATTTTACGGGTCACGCAATTTCGCTTGTTATTTTAATGTAAGTTGAAAGAAAAATTCTATTGGGTTTATGACATATGGGTTTATCTCGTTTCATTTAAATAAGATAAACATATGTTAATTGTTTGTAACTGTTTTGTTTACATTTCAATGTTTACTTTCATCCTAGGTTAAAGTTGGAATGTAACAGTTTATCAATGGAAGTAACAGTTTTGCTATATTTGTTTTGAGCATGACTGTGGATCAAGCTGTTGTGGACATTGGATCTTCAGAATTTGGCTTAGGTTTGTCCTACGTAGGCCTATCAAGAGTTAAGACATTTGAAGGCCTGCTTCTGGATCCACCATTTTCACTAGACCGATTGATGTCAATTAACAGACACGGATCTTGGGCAAAGAAGAAAGAGGCTCTTGACCGTTTAAACGAAATGTCAAATACACATGTCTAATAACCTTTTATCAATTTTTATTCTTAACTAAATAAATGAACTATCAGATAAATTTGTCATTCTTTAGAGCTTAAATAATATCGGGCAAACAAACGGTGAATCTGTTGAAAGGGAACATATTGTAGGTTGTTAGCTGCTTTAGCCATTGACAATCTTTAAATAATGCTTCGCTCATTTATGCGTCTAAAGTGTAACAGCAGACCACCCTAGTTTTACTATGATAAAATTCAGAAACCTCACATCACCATTTAACATGAAAACCTGTACAGTTGAAGTAGACCATGTATACGAGAACCCAGACTCATTAGACGAGCTGAAGAGGCCGCGCCCCTCATTCAACACCCTCACTCTGCGCAAGAAGGGCAAGTACATGTCTGCGTGGAACATCTACGACAGATTCACCTTCCGTGTGTCTGCCATCTGCCGGCTCAACTGTGACACAAACCGCAGCGTGGAGGTGGGTTGTCCAAAAATGCTACAATCTTACTGACTTACTTACTCCCATGGCCATTGATGCCCTAGAAAGATTTTTGCCTCGCCAACAATTGCTCGCCATCTTTCCCGGTCATAAGCATCATCTACTCCTCCTGCTCCTGCAATCTACTGCTCGCTCCTGATCTTTCAATGTCAGTCCTCACACTGTCCCACCATCTTCTTTTAGGCCTTCCAGGTGGTCTTCTCCCGCTCGGCTACCCTTCTCCTTTTTCCTTTAATAGTGTTCCTGTATCCCTTCTCAAGACATGTCCAACCCATCTTAGCTGTCTAACTCTCGCATGTGCTGTAAATCTGTAATATCATAATCGTAGTCTCTGCATAAATTTTGTATTTCTTCATTATGCCTGATTCTCCACTCTGATAAATTCTACCATCAGCTGTGTTAAATCGATATAAGTAAAGAGAAACACCGTGATATATCAAACTCTTGATACTAAGCAATTTAAGAAGAAAAACATTAGTTTTAGTGCAAATTGTGTAACGGCTACTATCAAGAAGATGTTAACCATTTCCCTGCAACAGCAGATGATGATCATAATCTCGCCATGATCGCAGGAGATGTTCACGATTTCATCACGACCACTGGAGACATTTTGTGAACCCTCGCTGAACACTGGGGAACTTCACGATTACACCACAACCACAGGAGACGTTCACAATATGATGGAAATTGCATGATATAATGTACAGTACTTGATACCCTAATTCTAGTGGTACAGTTAATATTTCTGAAAATGTTCAGTTTCCAAAATAACCAATTTTGGATTGAGACTTGAAGGTCAACCGGACCCGACCCTAAGTAAAAGTCTGGTCTGCACTGCTACCACCATCTTATTAATGTTACATTCCTTTTCTTTAAAGGTTGGAGTGCAAGCGGGGCTGTTTCACGGAGGCAAGTCATTGTGCGAGACTCAAAAGACTGCAGAGAAACTGGTGTCCAAAGACGGCAATGTTGAGTGGGAAGAAGACTTGACGTTTGATTTGAAAGTCTGTGATATTCCGAGGATGACAAGACTTTGTTTTGTCGTTTACGAAATCCTCAAAAGCTCCAAGGGCGTCAGAGCTAGGCGACTGAAAGATTCCAAACAAGTAAGTAGCAGTTTGGTTTTGATGTTTGAAAGGGATGCTGTCGTATGATAATTAGAGCTTTTAATTTTCATCAAAGTCTAAAGTCACACATTAGAGAGCCAATAAAGTCACTGATTTTAATTTAAAGGATTTTTAAGTCAGGAATTTTATTTGGACCTCAAAATGAAATTGTTATAAAACACTAATTTAAAAAAAAATTTATAATTAGTCTATAATTCTCAAAAATAAAAGAAACAATTGGAAAGTAACATAGTATATAGTAATATAAATTTTGTACTTAGTCAAAACAGAGAAGAAATGGAAAGTGCTATTATTCTGTCTCAAAATTTACTTAGTGATCATAGTTTCAAGAGTTTTCTCCATTATGACAGGAAAACTGTGCATATTATTAATAATTCTTCTTGTCAAAAGGTTACTCATAGGTTAGTCATAATTTCTCCTGGTAGACATCCTCCTTGTTTTATCTGTTCTACAGTAGATTTAAAAACTTATTTTTGTTTTTAGCTAATTTCCCTATTAGGCTAGCCAATCTAGAGTCAAAATAAGCATAACATCAAACTTAAGGTAAAAAAACACAAACAGTTGACAATAGCCCAATTGAGTATTTTTGGTATTTTTTAGGTCTATTCCATTATATTGGATGTTTGAGTTTTTACTCTAAAATATTTAGTTTCTCAATATTACCTAATCGTGACATTTTTAATTTTTTAAGGTTGAGTAAGGTATTTTGTGCGAGGTCTCAGTTACCAACTATGATTTTCAACTAATGGAGTGATTCAAACAGTCTTCTCTAAAAAGGAGAAGATTTCAGCTAGTTTTTCTAAAAATATAAGACCCTGGACTAAAAGATGTTATTATTGTTGTTGAAAGAAATTACCTAGTTTTATATACTTACTTGGATATACAAAATTAAGTCATATAATGATTATTTTTGTGTTTTGTTATTAAACTTACTTTTCACTTTTCACTCTTCTTTTTTATCATTTTCACCCTAGTTTTTTAAAATAATTTTTTTAGTTTTTAAATAGGCAAATAAGCTTGCTAATTTGGTAGGAATTGGTGCTATTTTGTCTAAACACATTGTAAGGGATGGACATTCTCTCTAATCATCAGGATGTGACTATCAGGTTTCACTATTGATAGAAAGCATCTAAAAGTCAATACTGCAGTCATACAATGAATCATAGTTATCATGTTCCAAATATTACCCATCTGATAAGCTTGTTACTGTTTTGGATTGTAAATCATTTCTAAGTTTATTCTGACCTAACTGATGATAATAAAAAACTAGAGTAAAAATTATTTTTTTAAACTAGGGTGCAAATGATGAAAAAGAAGAGTGAAAAGTGAAAAGCAAATTTAATAACAAAACACAAAAATAATCATTATATGACTTAATTAATTTGTATATCCAGGTATATAAAACTAATTTCTTTCAACAACAATAATAACATCTATTAGTCCAGGGTCTTATATTTTTAGAAAAACTAGCTGAAATCTTCTCCTTTTTAGAGAAGACTTCTTCGACTCAAATAAGTTCAAGTTTGGGAATGAAAATGGGAGTTAAGTAAAAAGTTTAAATACCCTGTAATTGTTTATGGATTTTTTAAATATTGAACAACCTGTTTGCGAAACAACAGTCTTTCCTAATTCCGTGAAATGTCCGATTCTCCATAATTATTGGACGATGTTGCAGGAGCTGTATGTAAACCCCATGGTATGGGTGAACACAACGGTTTACGACTTCAAGACCCAGCTGAAGACAGGAGCGATGACGCTGTACATGTGGACGTATGCGGAGGACACACAGACGGACGACCTGTTGCACCCTCTAGGCACAGTGGTCAGCAACCCTTACGTGGATCACTCTGCAGCCCTCACCATAACATTCCACAAGTCAGTACACATTGTCTCTGTATACTATATGTTTTTCTTACATCTGTGTCTGTTTGTAAGAGGTCTGTGGGTCTTGGATTTTGGGTCCCGAGCCAAAAGTTGGCCCATAAGATCGGTTTGAGCCAGAAATAATTTTTGGAGCAAGCTCGGATCACGTTATTCATTCGGTACTAGAGCAGTTTGAGTCACATTTGTAATCTCACGGTCGTAGAAAGCTAATAATATTCACGATTTCAATGCGACTGCAGGGAACGTTGACAAATTTGCTGCAACAGTTATATAGATGTTCACAATAATTGAGCAGTTGTAAACATTTCTTGTGACTGCTAGGAAATCCTGAACTTTTGATTGGGCAATCTTTGCAGACACTTTTTGCAATCTTTGTCAGGAGAATGTAAACTTGACTCAAAAAAGATATTTTTATTTTTAAATTGTTTTTGGGTGATCATTTTTTAATGTTATGTTTCAAAATAAAGCTAATCTCATCAAGAATTTGGAATGTTAATGGTAGTAGTGATAGAAATTTTTAATTAAATCATTTCTTGCACAGGTCTCTTAATGACCAATGTGATTTTTTTCTCTAAAAAGTACGTGTATGATTATTTGTACACTTTTTGGAAATAAATTTGATTTAGATTTATTTAGCATTTATTTTATTTATCCATAATATGTTTCTGTTATCAGGTACCATGCAGAACACACAGTGATCTACCCTTCCATAGACAAAGTGCTGGAGTATGCAGACAAACAAGACAGTATTGAGAGCATGGAGGAGAAACCAGCTCCACCTATGAAGTATATTGACCACATCAAGTGAGTAACTTTTACATTAACAAAAATACAATCACAATCCAAATGTCTATGTAAAAGTTGTTTGGAATTGGTCCGAGAGCAATTAATTGTAACAGCTGTTTTGTTGCTGATGAGGTGCCTTACACCAAACCATAAATTATCAATGAATAAGGGTGATGTGGGATGTACATGTAGAATCAAGATGTGATCTGTTTGTATCCTATTAACCATTGTTTATGTTTTCAGAATGATTGCTGAACGAGACCCGCTACACGAGATGCATGAACAAGAACGGAAGGTGATCTGGTCAATGAGGCATGAACTGGTCAATCGGGTCCCTAATTTGTTGCCCAAACTACTGGACTGTGTGGAGTGGAATGATCACAAAGAGGTACAGTATAATAATCATACATTTTTTGTCTGGATAAGAACAAACCTGTTGACAATTTTGTAGGATAAGTTGTAGTTGTATATAAAAGTGTTGAGTATTGTGCTGGAAATTGTTTGGTCGCCAAGAGATGTAATACTGGATGTATCCTTTGTTACATTTCCAGTCTGAAATATTTGTTGTTCTGTGATCAGTACAAGAACTAAAGATTAGAATGTGGTGTGCTATTGACCGATTATCTGTATTGATCTGTTTGGTTGTCATGATTTCATAGGGTTTAGTTATTCAATCTATTCTTCGATTATTTATTCGTTTGGTTATTTTTTTTTATTTTTTTTTTTTATTTTTTTTTTTTTTAATAGAGGGCCAGGCTTACAAGTTACCATGGGATTGCATCGCAGCTAGAACAGCTTATTGTGCACCCTCGTTCACAGATCCTCATTCTCCGTCAAATCCCAGGTCTTTGGTGAACCGTGAGAGCCTTTTGACTATGGTGACCTGTTTTTCCCTTTGATCTCCCATCAATAGGCCAAGGGATCTCATACGCAGACCTTGTAGGGCTGGGCACATAAATATACCTTCACAGCTTTCACAAGGTCTCTGGCTGGGGCAAGCCGTAGCGAGATTTCCCCGAAAGGACTCAGCTCCTGAACTTGCTTGACCAGCCAATCCTTTGTGGCTGCGTCAGCACAACCTCCACCTTTCTTCCTGGAGGCTTCAGTAGAGTCAGCTTTGGGGGTACCACCCTTGCCCTGCTTTTTCCCAGCATCCTAGTTCCCAGAGGAACTGGCTTTGCAGGCAGCAGAGTTAGGGTGCTTGGCAGCCCACACCAGCCTCCTCTCACTTCTGGATAGCACCTTTTGCCTTTGGCTAAAGCATCCGCTATCCTCCGTCTTTGCAACTCACCCCTGGAAAGTCAATTTTCATACGAGGGATCTCATACACAGACCTTGTAGGGCTGGGCACATAAATATACCTTCACAGCTTTCACAAGGTCTCTGGCTGGGGCAAGCCGAAGCGAGATTTTCCTGAAAGGACTCAGCTCCTGAACTTGCTTGACCAGCCAATCCTTTGTGACTGCGTCAGCACAGCCTCCACCTTTCTTCCGGGAGGCTTCATTAGAGTCAGCTTTGGGGGTACCACCCTTGCTCTGCTTTTTCCCAGCATCCTAGTTCCCGGAGGAACTGGCTTTGCAGGCAGCAGAGTCAGGGTGCTTGGCAGCCCACACCAGCCTCCTCTCACTTCTGGATAGCATCTTTTCGCCTTTGGCTTAAGCATCCGCTATCCTCCATCTTTGCAACTCGCCCCTGGAAAGTCGTTTTTCGTTCCTTTCCGGTTTCTGCGAGCTTGTCGTCATTGTCAGATTTCAGTAGACCTTCCTCCTCCATTTGGGTCAGATTGTCTACATTGTTCTCACGAATAGCGGGTATTTAAGTCCACCTCCCCAGTGACCCGATTAGAGAGGTAAGGGGTGCGTACGACTGGGTTACCCCTGGTTCCCAGAAGGCTCCGTTAAGACACTGAATATTAGGCCCCCAGTGCCACAAGACTCTTGGCACGGATCGCATTACACCTTAGTCTAGGGCCCCCCTCACTTGGTTCTGTAGGTGGACCAACACCCAGTGGCAGAAGGTAGCTCTCCGCAGCTAACAAGTGAGAGTTGGGGTTTGGTTGTGGCCAATCTGCCGAACCAACCCCGCATGCGAGGTTTGGCCGGAACGGCGCGAAATTTTCTCCCACTCACTAAACCCCCATACCTTCCCGTTTGGTTATTTGGTTAACCTATTGTGTGTTTTTGGAATCAGGAAATATTTAGGTTTTCTGATGTAATTTGTGTTCCCGGCTGAATAATATGCCAAATTCTGCTGAAAGTGCTTAGAAGGCTTATTTAGTATGAAAAACCAATAAATCCAGATTTATGCCAAATTACTGAATATGCAAATTGCATACTTAGTAGGGGTCTGCGGGTCAGACTTTTTTGGTTCGGGTCGGATCGGGCCGATAATTTTGGTCCTCGGGTTTCGGGCCAAAATCAGGTCGGGCCAAAAATTATTAATTACCGGATTTTTTTTATTTTTTTAACTCCTATCTGTGTTTATAATATTACTTGAAAATAACATATGGAAAAAGATTGTATTTATGTATATTATTTCATGTTCATAACTTATTTACAGCTTAGGAGTTGCCTCAACTCCAAGAAAGAAGAAAATAATTTTTTTGTATCAAGCCATTCTTTCCCATTTTCATAACTGTTGAAATATCTAAACAGCTATATTACAACAAGTTTGTAATGGAACTTAATATAAATGGATCATAAACAAATCAATTAACCTTATCACAAGTTTAGGGCCTGTGGACTGGCTTCAAGACTGCAAGCAAGAAGAAAATAAAAATTCTATGTTTCCACCATGCAATATGAATCATTCATTCCCTGCCTCCTAACCTCCTAAGTACAAAAACCTCACACTTACAATAGCATTATTAGTTACATCATCATAAATAAAGAATTGTCTATTATTGGCATTAGTAGGCATACAGCTTTACATAGGAATTATTTTTTATATGGCCTAAAATAGTAATAGACTAAGCAACATGACAAGTGGAGAACTCATTGAAGAAAAGATATTGTGTAAACTAATTTACTATAAAACTCTAAAACAATCAATAACACACATACATTGTTTATGGTATAGTTATAGTAAAGACTGTAAAAATTGCATATCATGTCATACACAGTTATAGATACACAGTTATAGGCACAGTTATAGGTATTGCAAGAGATTAAAATCCTAAAACAACTGATTTTAGCTAATAAATGAAAAGAATTAAAAATCCATAAACTCAAGTCAAACAATATCACAATTATTAGGTACCCGAAAAGGAACTCTTAATATATAGAAAATTATATTAAATCAAGAGAAAAGAAAGTTAAATGCTAATTTGGCAACATAAGCAGACAGCAGAGACATTATAGTGCCCTAATTAGCAACACAACAAAATTTTTTTATACTGTAAGTCAATTTTTTTGAAACTGTAGGGTCTTTTTCTCGGAAGGAAGGGTAATAGAATGTAAACAAAAAACCATGAATCACTCTCACAGCCGGGCCCGGGGACACTCAAGGTTACATACCCTCCCCCTCCCCTCCCCCCCCATCTTACACAACCCGAGCCAGGCGGCCGTAGAACGATTGGCACACATTTTTAGCCGATTTGGAATAGCACGACTGGCACAATCATTAGAGGGGATTAAGAAGGGTCAAACTGGAAGGTTCGGAAAGGCACGATTGGCACAACAGACCGGTAAGGAAGTAGTAGGCAGGTAGCCAGAATGAGGGTAAATGGAAATTGTTTTGTCCCCACAAAGTCCCCGCTGTAGTGCTTATTAGAGTTAGCAATTACTTCATTCATGGTGTAAGTTTGAGCGACAAATCTGCTGCTACGGTCACTGTCCCTGCTGGACCCAAATAAAACTACACTAACCCAACCTAACTTAACTAAACCTAACCTAACTTAACTTAACTAACCTAACCTAACTTAACCTGACCTAACTTAACCTAACCTAACCTAGCCTAACCTAACCTAAGCTAACATAACCTAACCTAACCATTGAAAATACGCGATATTACTGGCAAATGACTGTCGTAGCAGAGTTGACGGGGAATTAATTTTAAACCTCCCGTTTTCCCTCGTTCGATGGCGTTTACCTGGTCGAGCGGTTGTGCCAATCGTGCCTTTTCCAAGCAGGCGAGTTGACCATACTTATTCCGCTCAAATGATTGTGCCAATACTGCCATGGGCAGAAGATCCAAAAATGTGTGCCAATCGTCCCGTTCCCAGCCAGGCCCGGGGACACTCAAGGTCATAGACCCTCCCCCTCCCACGCCCCTATTACACCACCCGGTTGTTCCAATTGCTGACAAAATACAAGTAACAAAACAAGGAAGTAGAGACAAAAAGATATATTTTCTTTATTCAAAAATATAAAACTGTTACAGATAATTTCCAAAGAAATTAATTCATGGTAGTTTGTGTCTTGTAAATATTGTATTGGATCTTAGAAATATCTTTTTTGAAACTCAATCTAACTTAAGAAAAAAATAATTTTACTGATGAAAACTTTCATAAAATTATAAAATATTTAGGCCTAACCTCTTTGTAGACTTGTTGATACTTGATACTTTAAAAAAAAATTAAATGGTGACCATAAAATGCCGAACCAGACGATCAGAAGTGTTGTTTTGTTTTGTTACTGAATGACAAAAAGGACAAGATACAGATCTGTACACTATATCAGATATTTCTTTTTGTTTATAATTTATTATGTAAATAAAATACTAAAATATAATTTAAACTAGGTATGGAATAAACAATAAATAATTAAACTGGTACCTCTGGATAAATAGTCTTTCTTTTGACTTCGTTTTCTTTGCACTGTTGCGTCACGGCTTTTGTTTTGTCAGTAGACGACTGGCTCTGGCTAGTGACAGTAAGGCAATAATTGCTCTGCTGTGTCTTTGTCTTGTGTCTTTCTTAAACGTGAGTTTATAGGGATGGACGGGATTGAATTTTTAGTTCGGGACGGGACGGGACGGGATTTTTATTTCCTTCCCAATTTTTGGGACGGGACGGGATTTTTTCTGTGCATAAAAAGAAAGTCTTGAGTATTGCAGTTACCAAAAAAAAGCTTACAAAATCAATTTTTACCGTTTGTGGTACTGATCTATAAAAACAAAAAAAATGGGTAACAATATACAGGTACCTATGGAAACTTGTGACTCGCGGTCACGGTGCAATCGTCAAAATGACCGAGGTCACGGGGTGATCGTCGGTATGACTCGCGGTCACGGCATGTTCGTCAGTATGACTCATTGTCACGGCGCGTTCGTGGGTGGGACTCCACGGTCACGTCGTGATCGTCGGTATGACTCCGCGGTCACGGAGCTATCGCCGGTATGCCTCGCAGTCACCGCATGATCGTAGGCATGACTCCGTGGTCACGACGTGATCGTCGGCATGACTCCGCGGTTACGGCGCGATCGTCGGTATGACTCGCGGTCACGGGGTGATCGCCGGTATGACTCGCGGTCACGGCATGATCGTCGGTAGGACTCCACAGTCACGGCGCGATCGTCGGTATGACTCGCGGTCACGGCGCGATCGTTGGTAGGACTCCACGGTCACGTCGTGATCGTCGGCATGACTCGCGATTACGGCATGATCGTCGGTAGGACTCCACGGTCACGGCGCGATCGTCGATAGGACTCCGCGGTCACGGCGCGATCGTCGGTATGACTCGCGGTCACGGCGCGATCGTTGGTAGGACTCCACGGTCACGTCGTGATCGTCGGTATGACTCCGCGGTCACGGGGTGATCGCCGGTATGACTCAGGGTCACGGCGCGATCGTTGGTAGGACTCCACGGTCACGGCGCGATCGTCTGTATGACTCCGCGGTCACGGGGTGATCGCCGGTATGACTCGTGGTCACGGCATCAAAATATCGTATGACTCACGGTCACGGCGCGATCGTCGGTAGGACTCCACGGTCACGGCGCGATCGTCGGTATGACTCGCGGTCACGGCGCGATCGTCGGTAAGACTCGCGGTCACGGCGCGATCGTCGGTAAGACTCGCGGTCACGGCGCGATCGTCGGTAGGACTCCACGGTCACGTCGTGATCATCGGTATGACTCAGTGACGTAGCCAGGATTTCAAAATAGGGGGGGTCGACCGACCAGGGAGTCCGGGTAAAGGGGGGGTCCGGGAAAATTTTTATAAATATAGACCCTAAAACGGTCTAGTTTAGCTCTCTTGGCATTGAAAATAATCAACCCCAACGCCAATACAGTACGATTATATAATTCTACATTTAATTTAACAATAAATATTATATTTAAGACCAGAAGGGGGGGGGGTCCGGACCCCCAGGACCGCCCCCTGGCTACGTCACTGTATGACTCCGCGGTCACGGGGTGATCGCCGGTATGACTCGCGGCACGGCATGATCGTCGGTAGGACTCCACGGTCACGGCGCGATCGTCGATGGGACTCCGCGGTCACGGCGCGATCGTCGGTATGACTCGCGGTCACGGCATGATCGTCGGTAGGACTCCGCGGTCACGGTGCGATCGTCGAAATGACTTCGTCTCCTGCGTTCGCGGACCTATCGCTCGCAATAGCGGCGTCATCGGCACTCGCGAAGCGGTAAAATTGCCTACGATCGGACCAAATCCCGTCCCGAAAAATTCCCGATTAAAATGTAATCCCGTCCCGATAATCGGGAATATTTTTTTCCCGAAAAATTCCCGAAATTTCGGGACCCGTCCATCCCTAAAACTTAATATTTAATTCTAATTTTAACATTTTAATTCCTCTGTAATAATGTATATAAGAGTGTTTTTTTGAAAATTACTTATTATAACTTTAAAAATAGCCTAATAATTATTTTTTTTGGCCCGACCCGATCTTGGCCGGAACAAATCTCTGACCCGACCCGGTCTCTCGGGCCTTCCACTGGCCCGACCCGACCCGAAAAAATCGGGGACCCGCAGACCCCTAATACTTAGCAAAGTTGTACTGTATCACAGGTATAGGTTAATTTAAATGATCGTCCTAACCACTTGGTAGCCTTGCTATCTTGAAGACTGTTCTCCAAGTTAGTAATATGTTTAGTAAGTTTAAAATCCTGTGAAAATTCTCCTACACAATCTTTAAACAACTGATTTGTTAGATTACCATTACCTCGTGAACTGTTATGTGCATAAAATTTTACTGAGTAAACTATGTTTGTTATTGTAATGATTGCAGGTTGCACAAGCCCTGTCCCTCATCAAAACATGGCCTAAGCTTCCAGTTGAGAAAGCTTTGGAATTGCTAGATTACGCTTACGCAGACCAATCAGTTAGGAGTTTCGCTGTCCGATGCTTGATGGATGTTAGGTAGGCTGCAACCTAACATTTATCTCTTATTGTATCACTAATTGCAAAAACATTCCTATCTAATCTATATGTTAAGCTAACTAATTTTTCTACAAGCAAGAAGTTTCTTCTTGAGGACCATTGATAATTTGTTCAAACCATGTATGTTTGTAAGAGACTCATGAGATTGTGTGTTACAGTGATGAAGTATTATCCCTGTTCCTACTGCAGCTGGTACAAGCACTGAAACATGAGTCTTACCTGTACTGCGACTTGGTGGAGTTCCTGCTAAGGAGAGCTTTCATCAACCAGAAAATCGGCCACTTCCTCTTCTGGCATCTCAGGTTTGATTATTTACATTATTTAGTTTAGATTATCAAAAGCCACACTTTCCTTGTTCCTAACCAATTTTCTGGGTTGGGTGGAATGAAGCTTCCAAGCAAACAGTGGTCTCTTCTTTGCGGTTGGTTAAAAACCATTCGGGTAATTTTTTTTATTGGTGTGAAAATGAGCATGAGAGCTTTCACGCTAACTTATACGGTTCAAAGCGACAACAGAAACCAGGGCCATATTGCAGCCGTCCAATGCCACTAAACCGGTTGGTTGTCGCGCCTTGGCCGTGTGTCATTGGCATATATATAGTTAACAGCAAGCATTAACTAACCAACGTGGCCCCATTAGCCAATGCAAATAAATTAGCTGTTGGAATGTTTATTGTTTACAATCTGACCTCTTAATTGGACCCTGTTTATGTTTATAGTAACATTGTAACATTCATCTCGCTGTACAATCAGAAACCGTGTAATGTAAAAGAAACTTAGAAACGGCATAAAATCATACTGTTTTCAATTGGTCGGGGAAACCGTATAGTGTGAAAGGAGCAAACGGATCATCCCGTCTTCATAAGATGAGAGAAAGTTGACTTCAATGGCAGCACCTTGGATTTTGCTTTATGGAGAGTAGATTGATCCTAGGTTTCGGTTAAATTCTATTTTAAGATAAATAACACAAGTACATTTGTATTGAAGGATTTTTACAACTCAAATGAAGCCATAGAACCTACGTTTAGTCACCTAAATAAGCATTTGAGTGTGTTAATCTTTGATTGACAGGTTGTAACCCTACTATGCCACCAAATTTAACAAGCTTGGACGAATTAAAAAACTATGTGTAGTCTTGTGGTTAGTGTTTGGACTTAAAGATAAAAGGGGCAGGTTTTGTTTGACCCCAGGACTAAAGAAATATCTACACAAATTTTATGGGGTTTGGAAAGCTTTTTTTCTAACTCAGTTTTTTTCTTGCAAAATATCAAGTAGTACTGAAACTGACAAAAATAAAGCTGTTACTACACTCCTGTTCCATTTTATTTTTACGTTCAACAGTTTCAATTGCATGTCCCTAGACTAAACTGGTAAGTGCAGCATAGTGACCCAATAACAGTGAAGTACTGCTACGGTGTAAGTTACATGAGCAAGCAAGTGGTAACTGCAAAGATAAGATGTGTATAGCCCCGTTCACACGGGGCGAGTTTACAAGCTACACGCCGGCTTTTTTACACGCAGCTAGTAAAATAGCTCAGTGTGAACGACGTAGCGAGTAAAAAGCTGCTTGTAAAAAAGCTCTGGAAAAAGTTGACGGTGCCGCTACTTTACACGCCAACTCGCCAGCTTTTGAGCGAGTAGGCGTGTAAAGTAGCCCAGTGTGAACACAGTTGCTTGTGCTTGTGCGCATGTTATTCGAAGATGTCGGAGGATTTAGTTCAAGCCGCTACTGAGCGAGTAGAAAAAGCATCGTGTGAACGAATACAAGCACACTCGCCAACTTGCCGGCTTCTTACACTCCGGCGAGTAGCGTGTAAACTCGCCCCGTGTGAACGAGGCTTAAGTGTCAAACCAGCAAAGTTTGGCTTATCATCCCAAGACAGTGACATTGAGCTACTGTCTTAGCTTAGGTACCTACTTATTCTACCTCCCTGTTGAGTTCCAACTGTGTTTGACACACAGGTCAGAGATGCACGTGGCCTCCGTCTCAGTGAGGTTTGGTCTGATCCTGGAGGCGTACTGTCGTGGCAGTCAGGAGCACATGCGGACTCTGGAGCGACAGATCAAGTTCCTGGACAGGCTGAAGACTACCTCGGAGCAGGTGCGACTACGCAAGGACAAGGAGAAGGCTAAACATTACCTGCAAGAGATGCTGTTGGACATGGAGAGTCTGACTAGTGTACAGAGCCCACTAGACCCTAGCTACCGCATCAAGAGAGTTAGGTAGGTCATTGTGCCCAAGGTGGGGGGTTCAAATACTGCCAATCACCAACTTCTTTTATGTGACTATGCCGTAGCTCACTGTACACCTAGCCTGAAGTGATATGTAAAACAGTTCCAGACTAGAGCATAGTTACCACATCAAAGTTCATATTCACTGAGGCGCCAGGTTCAAATCCTGCTATTCACTAATGGGTGAGGGAACGGTGTATCCGTAATTGTCCATTTTTACTTTTAACTTTAGAGAAGCTCACTCTTGCAGGATTGTAAGAGATTTTGAGCCCCTCCTTTGCTGGTTTTCCCCAAAATATTTAAATTAAAATCTATTGTAAATAGCATTTTTAGGATTAAGCAAGATATTTTTGTTATGTAAGTTGCCATTGCACACATTACACATCCAATAAAAAAGCTTTTTTGCTTGTGTTTTCTTGTGTAAGATCATGAGATGGTCTTTTTTCAGGTGAAGTTATTTTTTCCCCTTGTGAAACACTATCATAACCAATATTTGCTTAACGCTTCCAGAGCGGAGAAGTGCCGTGTGATGGACAGTAAGATGCGGCCGTTGTGGGTCGTGTTTGAGAATGAAGATATCTACGGTGATGACATTTATATCATCTTCAAAAACGGAGATGATCTACGTCAAGACATGCTTACTTTACAAATGATCAGAATCATGGATCGTCTGTGGAAGGACGAGGGATTAGATCTGAGGTAAGCAATTCTAATCTACAATATTTGAAAAAAGTTGTATTTTATTTTTTAAACAAACCTGATTTATATTTTTAACCAGAACAACCTAGTTTTTGACCCTTGTCTTAAAGTAGCCACAGATTTTCTTGAGTAAAGTTATTAATTCAGTTAATAACCATGAGAAAGATTCCTGTCCACCATTCATTTCATGACATTTTTCTTTCTGACCCAAAACTTTCTTGCTTGAAAATGCTGCCAGTGACAGTGAACATTTTATATGGGCTTTCTTACCTCATCCTGTAGTCCAAAGTTTTGTCAAGAAAATGTTCTGGTAGGCAGAATAGATTATTCAACAACACCTGCCATTCATTACAAATATTCCTTTGTATTCAATGTTTTTGTTTCTGATTTTATAATGTTCTTTTGTAGGATGAATCCGTATGACTGTATATCTACTGACAACAAAGTAGGACTGATAGAAGTGGTCCTCAATGCTGAGACTATTGCCAACATTCAGAAGGAGAAGGGAATGTTCTCAGCAACATCGGCATTCAAGAAAGGATCCTTGTTATGTTAGTAGAGAATTTGAAATTCAATTTAAGTCAAACATACTAGGATACATTATGTGGTACATTGTGTTGGTTACAAAGAGATTAAGAAAATGAAAAACCCAAAATGCATCTTAGACAAAGGAAAAATTTCATCAAAATCGGATCATTTTTGCTCGAGTTATCGCGCTAACGGACACATATATAAATATATATATATATATATATATGAATTTGAACGGATGGTGTTTTTGGCCTCTGGGGACCTCAAAACGAAAAAGTAAATCGGTCCCGGGTCTAGGTCTTACCATGAGACCTACGGTAATAGCTTATTCCCTATATGGGAAATTCGCTAAAAGTAAGGTGTCACACATATATGATAGTGCGTGGAACAAGTGTAAAAATCTTTCACTTCCGGAGACCAACACCATACTTTGGGAATCGACTAAATACATGTAAAAGAGTGAAAATCAGCCGGGAGGCAAGCTGTAAAATAATTAGGTCACGGGCAGTGACGTCATCAAAATGGCCGCTCAGCCAATAACAATAATGTCACATATCTCGTAAACCGCGTAACCGATTTTGACGTATGACATCTTATTTGAAAGGTCTAATTATTATCTATAAAAAAGGTTATTACACCTTTAGCGGTTAAACCAACGGTTTCTTTGTATTTTAGAAAATATTAATTTTTTACGCCCCACAAAATGGATTTTTGCATTTATCATTTGGAAAAATTAAAATAATCAAAATTTACTTTCCACCGTTGAATCCAGCTTTAAAAGGTGAACAATTTAGTATTTTGAATCATCACTCTATGTATATTGGTTACCGAGATATTGTAAGTAGTAAACACAGAACACTCTGTCCCCCATGTTATCCTTATGGGAAAAATAACATTCTATATCTCAGTTATTTTTTAACGTATCTTAATACAACTTGGTATGTGATTTCACCTAGTTGAGCTACTTGATAATTACTATAAAATATTTATATTTTACATTTACACGACAGCAAACCTACATACTCATTTCCCATGTTATTCGTATCGCGAATTTTTATGCATGATTATTTATGAACATTGTACTGTACTTTCTCAGCTTTTCCTTGCTTTACAGCTTTAGACCTTTTCGGGAGTTTTCAGGACTCAGATTTACTGAAAACTTGTAGGAATTATATGATACATTTATTATTCTCAGAACCGTTTACAAAAACTATTGACAAATGACTTCTACTTCGAAACCCCATAGACCAGCGCAATCTATTAGGCGGTCCCTTGACCTCTTGGTCGATCGGCTCGAGACCCCTCTGTCCTGGGTTCCCCACGTTGGTTCTCCGTAGCGACTCACAGAAATCCTATCGACACGGCTCCTGCAGTCCTCCAACTGGCTCCGTCTCGGAAAATACTGAGTGGGTTACTATCCTAAACGCAGCAGCTACAGTCGGTTTTGCCCGTTCCGTTGGCAGATGCAGACTGCCGTCTCTCCCAGACAACTCTTTCTCTTCTTAAATAGTGGAGGTGGGCCTCTTCATCCCCCTCCAGACGGATCCATGGTCCCGGGAGGCAGCTTTTTTGGCCACCGGGGACTTAAACTGAAATAAAACGGATGCCGGGGCTCAACACGCCAAACAGCTGCACCGGGCTCAACACGCCTCTAGTGCAGGGTGTACCGAACTCAACACGCGTCGAGTGCGAAGTGTACCGGGCTCAGCACGCCTCTAGTACTGGGGTGTACCGGGCTCAGCACGCCTCTAGTGCGGGGGTGCCAGGGCTCAACACGCTTCTAGTGCATACCCCACCGGTGGCTCCTACCGACGGGGTCGGGCCCGGAGCACAAAAGACGTCAAACCCTATATGAAAATTATTAGAAAAATGTAAACTCAAAAGAACAAAAACAACACATTAATAAGGATTTTATCACGTTTCTTATTCAACAATTGCGACAAATTGCTATCAGATATCTTTTCGGTTATCAGTCTGACCAACCCAGGAAAAAAATATTTCCCAAAATAAAATTACTAATATTCATAAAACCCCCGTTGCAGTAGACCTGCATACTTAGTGAATTTCAAATGCTTAGATAATTAATTATTAAGCTCAATGTCAAGTTTTTGTCAACATATGTTCATAAATAATCATGCATAAAAATTCGCGATACGAATAACATGGGAAATGAGTATGTAGGTTTGCTGTCGTGTAAATGTAAAATATAAATATTTTATAGTAATTATCAAGTAGCTCAACTAGGTGAAATCACATACCAAGTTGTATTAAGATACGTTAAAAAATAACTGAGATATAGAATGTTATTTTTCCCATAAGGATAACATGGGGGACAGAGTGTTCTGTGTTTACTACTTACAATATCTCGGTAACCAATATACATAGAGTGATGATTCAAAATACTAAATTGTTCACCTTTTAAAGCTGGATTCAACGGTGGAAAGTAAATTTTGATTATTTTAATTTTTCCAAATGATAAATGCAAAAATCCATTTTGTGGGGCGTAAAAAATTAATATTTTCTAAAATACAAAGAAACCGTTGGTTTAACCGCTAAAGATGTAATAACCTTTTTTATAGATAATGATTAGACCTTTCAAATAAGATGTCATACGTCAAAATCGGTTACGCGGTTTACGAGATATGCGACATTATTGTTATTGGCCGAGCGGCCATTTTGATGACGTCACTGCCCGTGACCTAATTATTTTAAAGCTTGCCTCCCGGCTGATTTTCACTCTTTTACATGTATTTAGTCGATTCCTAAAGTATGGTGCTGGTCTCCGGAAGTGAAAGATTAATAGGTAATATGTTGCTTGTTCCACGCACTATGAGTCCAGGGTTACGTTTGATGACTACTTCACAATGCAAACTACAAACACACTATCCTACAATACATACCTACACTATCATTTACAATATCTGTCTGATAGAAGTAGACAGAAACAGCTACACTAGTATGTGATATTCAGGAGGAAAAAACAGGAGAACGTTAGTAGTAGTGCAAAAGCAATCTTCTTTTGTATATTAGGCCATAAAGATTATTTAAAAAGCCTACATAAGTATTTCAGTTAAATTATTGACTTGTTCTCGTCACTTAAAGTGCTGAAAAATGCCTTTTGTTTTTACAAAATTATCCCTCTCTCCTGTTTTTTGATTATGACAGGTGATACTGTGTATCTATTTAGAACTCAAACCTTTAATGTTATTAGCTGTTTTCTGAGTGATGTATTTCTTTTAACACTCAATACTAACCATAATTATTGATGCTTTTCAGTGTGGCTGAAAGACCATAACCCGACGGAGGCGACGCTTAATAAGGCAATCGAGGAGTTTACATTCTCGTGTGCTGGATACTGTGTGGCCACTTACGTTCTAGGTGTGGCGGACAGACACAGTGACAACATCATGGTCAAAAAGACGGGCCAGGTACTGTAAACATATTTAACTCTAATCTTATCTTTTAAAGAGTCTAAAATAATATAGCCTACAGCTTGTTGTTAACTGTTTAACAAATACATGGTTGGTGCTTGGTGAGCAATTTTACATCTGCAACTACAAACCTTAGCTATCCTGTCAATAAATCAAATTCACCAATACCCAGAATTTTTATGGATCCAGATTTCAGTTATTAGGCTATCAATATCAATTAATTAATGAAGCTATCTAACAGAAGGTTGACAATAATTATAGGAACAAGCGTTTTAACAGTTTCCTAAAAAAAACATAAAAATCTCTATGACATTGACAAACACAAAATACAAGGTAAGAAGAAAAATCTCATCAGAGGCATTCATCAGACTAACTTAAATACCATATAAAATGTTTTATTTTACTCTAGCAAAGACAGTTGTTTTGAAAACGTGCGTAATGGTACTAAAGTAGTTATTCTTATCCCTAAGGTAAAAATTTAACTCTGAAGTGGAGGACATGAGCTGTCATTTTTCTTCATTATAAAATTTGTTCTTTGTTTATCCCAGGAAAAATAGTTCCAATTACTGTACTAACTATTTGATCATGTGGAGTATTATGTACAAGAATATGAATAAATTTTAGTAACACATGACACAAATATGATATTTTGTCCGTGTTAGAGACCTCATCAGAAGGGAGAAAAATGAAGACTGGCAGTTTTGAACTGTAACTGCCAGTCATATTTTCTCCCTTCTGATAAAGTTTTATTTTCGTGTTACTAAAGCTAATCTGGACTCTATCTACCAGTGAAACTAGCTGATTCCTATCCCTGTACATAATACTCCTAATCAGCCAATAAGCTTTTCCGTAATTTTTAACCTATTTGATCATTTGGTTGTATAATTTTGTATGTGTATATAGTTATCATTGTGTCATGTAGTATTTTTCACTGCAATAAGTACCACAATAACAACATATCACTGTTTTAGACAACCATCTTTTAATATTACTAGTGTCCCTGTTGCTCGAATTCGAGCAATTGCTAAGTATTACAGGTGTTATTTTAAAACGAATAACAGTCATAATTTCTGATGACTTTATAAGATTTGACTCAAAGAATATGGAATGCTTAAGATGTACCGGTCCGGTATATAACAGATTATATCAATTTATCCTGGCTCTCTCGCTTTTTTCCATTGTAATATTACGCCAACCCAAGTTCAAATAGTAAATATTTCATTTCAACCAAGTCAGTAAATGTTTGTAGCAAACTGTCAAATTATCAAACTTATTGACTGTTTACAATTAACATATGTTCTTCTTCTCACTTTTAATTTCTGACAACAGCTGGAGTTTCATAACACTTTTTGTTTCCCATGTTAATCTTATGGAGGAATACGAAACTTTAAAGGGCCCCAGGGCCTCACTCTCTAATTATTTCCCTAAATAGAAGGTTTCCTGCACAACTTCACGTTACGCTCTTTCCAATGACACCAAAAACATGCCAATCGGTTCAGTAGTCTCGGAGGAGTAGTTGTCACAAAAATCCTGCTTGCGTATTAAATAAGTAATAGATTTATAACATTTGTGGGAAATTATCTTTTTTTATTTAAAAAAATCCTAGCTCCAGCATAGGATAGTTTTAGCGAACTTTCCATATAGGGAATAAACTATTTTGCATTAATTCAGTCTTGGCCCAGAGGCTGGGGCTTTATATTTATAATTTAAATAAAATCCATTGGTGATTGATGGAATTTGAATCGGTAACCTTGGGGACGGAAGTTCTGTGCTCTACCACTAAATCAGCTCGCTCCCCTGCTGTTTGTGCTGGGAACTGATCATGAATGTTTTTGGTGAAAAATGCACTTTGATTTAAATTTTGGGACTCGATTCTTCATAAGATTCTGGCACAAGATGTTTAACTTTTAACATGACATTACTTTTCTTCACTATAAACATTACAACTTATCCATGCCTTTCTGTTTGTCAGCTGTTTCACATAGACTTTGGCCATATCCTGGGGCACTTCAAGGAAAAATTTGGGTTTCGGAGGGAGAGAGTGCCCTTTGTTCTCACCCATGATTTTGTCTACGTTATCAACAAAGGACAGAACAAGAAAGAGGCCTTGGAGTTTCAGACGTTCCAGCAAACTTGTGAACGGGTATGATATATTTTTACAAATATAGTCAAGTCAAAATATACTTAATTTGATGGCAAAATCCAATTACTTTTTTAACGATCCTTTTCTTTGAAACTAAATTGATTATTCAGTAATTTAACTATGCTTACTTTTATCATGTTTCCCGTATCGTATAAAAACAATCCAAATTGTAAAAAAAATTATTTTGGTAAACACACATAGTTAGAATAAGCATTAAGTATCAAAATGCCTGATTCAAGGTGCAAGTTAAAAATAATCCACCTATACTTTCAACTTTTACTTTATTACTCCCCTATTTATTTGAATAACTCCTTTAGCTCTAGTATTAAAATTGATTTAAGTATTCTTATCAAATTTTTCATAATCTTAAAAACAAACTAAAAAAACTCCATTCTTATTTAACTAGTTTTGGGTGAGCAAGAAAAAAGGTAGCGAAATGACAAGCAACTTACAGGAAGTGCATTGTTTTCCTCAATATATCAAGAATTAATTTTAGGTTGGCTTCTCACTGTCTGTTTTAAAACTTAATAACTGTAAACTAACTTGATTTTTTTATTTTATTCTGTTTGCTAATCTCATACAAAGTCAGTATGCTGTTTGGGAATCAGTAATCCAATAATTGGCTAGTGTCAATTGTTAGAACATAGCTAAAACTGTGATGTAATGTTGTTGCAGGCTTTCTTGATCTTGAGGAAGCATGGTTGTCTGATTCTGTCTCTATTTGCAATGATGATCTCCACTGGCCTGCCTGAGTTATCATCAGAGAAGGATCTTAACTACCTTAGAGATACTTTGGTAAAGTTTAACTTATAAACTCTTTTAGCTGTCTTTTGAAATTGCTATTATCGAATGGAATTGAATATTGATTACTACCATTTAGCCTTTGTTAATTTTATGTGAAATTTACCTTTATTACCCCACATTTTAAAGGGATTATGTTATGATTTGTAATTTTACTATGTTTTAACTATAAGAATTTATATAATGAGACAATACTGTAGGTATCAGATGGATACCTGTATCCCTCTGTAGACTGACTTCATCGTGATGTTCGCTAGAGTAGTTGGGGGTTTCAAACTGTTTGATTATTGGTTGTTGTAATTTCTAAATCTTGACTTAAACACAGTATTGTTCTGAATTCTAACTTCAAGTAATAGCTTTCTTGATTGATAAAAACAAATAAATATTTACTTTATAATAATATTGAATCAAAATTTACATTTTGGCTGTTTAAAAATATTTTCTATACTTTATCGTACTAAACTTCCCTAAAGCTTTTAAATAGTTTTACCTACGACCTTTAAAAAAAAACCGTTTCAGTTCAGTTCAGAATTGAAAAGTTTCACATAACAGCACTGTTTCCTTACATAACAGCATAGTTATACTTATCAATACGTGTAACGAACCAATGAGGTACAAGGGTTGAGAGAGAAAAAGTAAAATTGTAATGCTTTGAACTTCAGCTAATCAGCTGTTTACCAATTTAATTGTTAACGATTGGTCCAATTAGTGATTGGTGCAATGAGTCATTACATCAATGTCAGTGGCAATGAGAGGTTATAAACGAAATCATAACCTCTCTTAGAAGTTTTGAGTAGTGATTATTTGTAATAAAAAACTGGTCGTAGGTAAAGTAGTGTACGCAACTCACGTAAATACTAAATAGTGTTAACGACACTCGTACAAGTTTTTAAGGCACTCGCCAGGGCTTGTACCTTAAATTTTCTACTCTTGTCGTTAACATTATCTTTTTCGCGATCGTTGCGTAAACTACTACAACATTTATACAAACTCTTTGACAATCGCTTTTCTAGGTGCTGGACATGTCGGAACAAGAGGCTTTGTCACACTTCAAGTCCAAGTTTGACGAAGCGTTGTGCAACTCGTGGAAAACTTCGCTCAACTGGGCGTCTCACAACCTGGCGAAGAACAACAAGCAATGACGTCCGGACACGGCTAGACTGCTGTACTCGCTCACTGGTGCTGTCTAACCCTAACCTAACTTTCCACAAGCTGCAGTAGGAAATTCATTGGTAAAGTATTAAGTATTGGAATCATGTCAGTACTGTTGACCTTGGATAGAACTAGACTTTTCATTCCCATTCAGTTGTAGTTTTGAAAAAAAAATGAACAATGTTGAATTGAGCTATCAACAGAGTGAAATTAGGTAAATGTTTGATTTCTGTTGTGTATGCCATCTTTTGAACCAACTTAAAACGAGTGGACACGTTAAGATATGTTCTTCAGCTTTAATGCTGACTGGGAGGTTATTGTAGATTTCCTACCCAGACACAATAGCAAAGGTTTATTAAGAGCCGTTCTATTCACAGGAAATTGCAGATCGCTTCTGTGTCGAGTGTTGTATTGGTGGCTATGTAAATTAAAACCAGTTCTTCATACTTTATTTTTACAAAATACATCGTTGAGAAATGTAAACCGCATAAATTGTAATTACAACAGTAACTCACTCTAAAGGTGGCTCATTCATCTACGTTCTTATCTAATTGCAAATTGTTGAATCATTTGGTCCATGTAGATTAGATGTACTTCAGTATCCACAAGTCAATGGTAAAGGGTATTTTCACAACTGTAATCCTAAATGTTGGTAAAGTGTAAGACTTTACCAGACATTGTAGTGGTGGACAATTTTCTTGTTGGAAAGAAAGATGTATTGCGATTAAGGAATTCAACTTGAGACGAGAATGTCCCTAACAAAGAACACTGGAATGTGGAACCTAAAGAATTAAAGACTATGTAATTCATTAAGCCTTTAAGAATGATTAGGAAACTCTAAGGCTGAAATAGTCTGATGATGTAGATGATTTAACATAAGCTATGCGGTATTTTACTAAATGATCGCCCTAAGCTTAATCGCTCGTATGTAATTAATAGTCAAATTGATTAATAGTTAAATGTTAAGAAATCGTTATACTACCAGTGCCAGCATCAATGTGTGTAAAATAGTCTACTTCTTTTTATTGTTTTTTAATTTTGGTTTTTAATCGTGTGTATGTCTTATGATCATCTCAATTTTGTTAGAGAATAATGTTTTCCTTTTAATCATTTTAAAATAGAATCTAATATTTTAACATTGAATCATGTAATTTATTTTATTTATTCAACAAGATCATATTTTTTATTACTATACTGTACATAATACATTTTATCATTTGAGTTAAATTTTAATTTTATTTTATAGGAAATATTTTTTTATGTATACACTTGTTATAAACATATTTTATCCAGATGACAAAAAAATGTGATTTTTCTTTAAGAAAGGTTTTACAATTACTTTCTTTGTGGTTTATGAACTACATTTTAACTATTTTAAGCTTTTAAATCAAAGATTAATAGTTTAATTCTAATTGAAAAGAATCACTGTACAGTTGTCAGTAGAAGTAAGTAATGTGTACATATTAGAGCTAAGGTAAGACTAAGCAATACGACTGTGTGCAATACCTTAGTGTATATGAGTATATAATAATTATATAGTGTAATGGACACTAACAGTAATCTACTTCTATGACAGTTGTGTAATTTTTATTGTTTGTTGTCAACACTATTCATAGGCTATTCAGACTTTTGTCCAGGGCTATTGAGATTTCTTGGGAAACCTAACTGTATTTTTAATGGAACAAACTAATTCGGTTTACTTTGTTTGTTTCAATTAGACAGTATGCAGTCTATGGATACAAAATTTGTAAAATAACAAATGCTGTAAATCTATTCCTGGATGTGAAGTTACTAATCGTCGTAAATCTACTCACACTTCTGATGTGCCCAAACCAATATTCAAACCACCAAAACCTTGAAAAGTAGATCGTGCCAACATTCATGAGCAACATTAGTGATCATGGCGACGTTGTAACCAGTTCTCAAGATCATAACAACATCTTTGATTGTACTTCTTAAGCTCAGTAAAATTGTCACACTAGTATGCTAACTTTCTTGCTTGAATTACGATAAAAAAAATAGAACACCGGCAATGACTGAACGCTCAGTCATTGCTATTGGTAGAAATTAATTAACAGTTAAAATTTATTAATACTTTAGAAAATGCATAGACTTTTCCCAGTCATTAAAATTCATCAACAAATCCCAGTTTCCAAGTTTGCTGGTCACTCTGGATTGTAATAAATTTAATTCTGTTAAATTACAAACTGCAATGCTTGTCTCAGAGCATTCAATTTCATTTAACTTAAGATTTGCTGATAAAACGGAAACAGACAAAATTTCCATCCCAATTAACCTATACTTACCTACCTCTTAAATTACAATTACAAATCGTAACTTTCACCTTTTACAATTTCTTGTATATAACCAACATATTTTCACCATATTAGTACTTGCTTGTACCTTTACGTGGACAATGTTTGGATGCCAAGGATAGTGTTGACAACTGTTCCTAGATTAGTTTAGTTCCTAGAAGGAGAGAGTGCAATTACAATATTCTCTCAGACAATCTAAAATATTTTATTTATCCTGTAAATAGTTTTACTTTATATGTTTGTTCTTTTCTAAAGAACCAATTTAAAAACCAATTGTTACCACAAAAAATCTCTTTTGTGCTTCAATAAAGATGTGATCCTTTAAAAACTCGTGCATTTGGGTTTATAAAAAACATGATCAGAAAAAAATGCAAGTTTATAGGATGTAATTCCTATAAATTTTCAATCCCCATTAACTCAGCGCCGTTGGTGCTCCATGTAACAAGGATTCAATTTTATATTTTTTATTGGTATCTTTAAATTTATTTCTTTGATTCATCCTAAAACATTTAAAAGCAGTTTCTCCTCAAAATTGTTCACATTAAAGACGAGGGTCAGATAAATTACTAACATACTATATTAAAGAGTTCCATGTACAGTAGGCAGTCGATGATCCTAAATAATAGGGACTAGGGTTGTTCGGATAGCGGATTTTTTCAGATTGGTCATTAAGAGTAAAAATGAGATACCGGTACATAATTTTAATCTCTTTTGATAACATTAAAGTACAATATGAATTTTTTACTGGTTTAAATCCTCCCATGATTTTGGCAAAACACAAAAACATATATTGCAGTCTCGGTGACAGCAGCTATCGTCTCCTGCCATTTCGGCATCTCCCATTAATATACGTTGGGTATGAACATATTTACTGGGCTTTGGATAATTGGGGCTCTACTGTAGTTGATAACACAGAAGAAGATCACAAAACATACAACTTAATATGTAACCAAGAAGTCTTCCTCAGACTAGAGATATTCTAAGTGAATTACTGTAAGCCTATGTGTTGTATCTGCCCCTTCAATGCTTTTTAAGTCAAATATTTTTTTCTCCAAGCTAATCTTCCAAATTCATTCAAAAACTGTAATTGTCCCTTTTTTAAGTTTAACAGATTTCAATTCTGTTTTTAAAACCTCCTAGGTAGTTATAGGTTTTTTTAAGTCTAGTTCCCCAAATATTACCTAATGGTTATTACAATTTTTTTACACGTTCAATGCGGTTGCGCGATACCCGGCCGCCCCCGGTGGCGGGAACAGCTAATGTGCTGCGTGGATGAATGTGTGAAAACGTTTAAATCTAGTTTCAAACGTTAGTGTTGACAAATGAGAGGCATATACTGTGTCCCAGTCATTGTGGACGTAGTTTTACAAGAACCTAGTAAATAACAGGGATCAGCACTAAACAATACTGCTAGCTGGCCCTCAGTATTGCCAAATGGAGTGAAAAATCAGGGGCGAAGGACCCGGATACACCATAAGAAAATACCACAAAAAAGCGGTCAAGCACAATTAATTATGAGGTTAGGTTCCTTCCACAATGCTACAGTAAATTCATTATCATTATTAAATTGCATGTCATTACATCCAAGCTTAAACCCCACACTATAATAAATAATTTGTAACAACCCCTACCATTGATTAAATAGTCAGATCTGAAAACGAATTTACCAGATTGAAGTATAAAACTGGCACAATAAGCAGCAAGCGAAACAACGTCTCACGGCAGAGACTAACCTTGCATTGGAACAATAGTTTTTAAATGGCGCTTTTACAAGTACACTCGTCGCATTTAATTTTCTCATTGAATTGTTAACTCTGTTACGAATATCCAAATCTGAAATATCTTAAATTTAATTGATAGTGGTTTTATTGAAGAGAATATTTTAGATCTCCTGGTTATATTTTAGGTAAAAAATGTATGTTTTTAAAAATTAAGAATGGTTTAATTTTTTGTTCATTACAGTAATACTTTTATCTTTATGCTATGGTTATAACTATCCTAATAAATCAATGTTGTATGTTACAGTTTAAATAGATTTTAAAACATTCAATATAACTTGCTAGAGTATTTAACTGACTGTGTGCTCTTTTAAAAGAAAACTCAACTGCCATATTCAAGTATTGTAAAAAAAAACTGTTTTTATTATAATCAACCTTGCATTGATAATTGATATATTAACATTATCAATTTTTTGACTGTACACATTCTCACATATTTTTACATAATGTTAGATACAAGCTCAAGATATAAGCTGCCGCGCTGCCATTTACTCATAACAAGTATTTATTAATTTTCAAATTGTATACGTTAGGGTCACAAGTTCTGAGGATTTCAATAACAATTTCAGGAATTTGATCAAGTATTTCATTATTAGAGGACTTTTACTTTTGAACTTTTATCTATAAAATGCATACGTTGTAGGTACATTTTCTGATCCTATCTTATATTTTTTTTAATATTTAACCATATAGTTTTTTTTGTTCAGGTGAGATTTTGTAAATTGTAAAAGATCTCTAAAATTTTTATTTAAATTGCCGCTACTGTTAAACCAAGTGAGAATGCTGTAACCCCTAGGTCTAGCCTGAAGTAATGTGAAAAACAGTCTGGGCTCGTGCCCAGCGTAATAGGACAAAAAAAAAACAACAACAAAACTTTTAAACCAAGGAGGAGCGAGCTGGTCTAGTGATTAGAGCGCGGGACTGAAGTCCCTGAGGTCCCGGGTTCAAATCCCGCCTAATCACCAATGGATTTTATCCAAGTGATAGTGCCGCAACCCCTAGGTCTGGCCTGAAGTAAGCTGCAAAACAATCCCAGGCTCGTGCCTAGCGTCTTAGGACAAAAAATAAATTGTTGAACCAAGGCAGGGATGTCATGGGTTTGCATTCAGATGCCACCACTGTGAAACCAAGGCAGGGATGTCATGGGTTTGCATTCAGATGCCACCACTGTGAAACAAAGGCAGGGATGTCATGGTTTTGCGCTCAGGTGCCACCACTGTGAAACCAAGGCAGGGATGTCATGGTTTTGCGCTCAGGTGCCACCACTGTGAAACCAAGGCAGTGATGTCATGGGTTTGCGCTCAGGTGCCACCACTGTGAAACCAAGGCAGTGATGTCATGGTTTTGCGCTCAGGTGCCACCACTGTGAAACCAAGGCAGGGATGTCATGGTTTTGCGCTCAGGTGCCACCACTGTGAAACCAAGGCAGTGATGTCATGGGTTTGCGTTCAGATGCCACCACTGTGAAACCAAGGCAGGGATGTCATGGTTTTGCGTTCAGATGCCACCACTGTGAAACCAAGGCAGGGATGTCATGGTTTTGCGCTCAGATGCTACCACTGTGAAACCAAGGCAGGGATGTCATGGTTTTGCGTTCAGATGCCACCACTGTGAAACCAAGGCAGGGATGTCATGGGTTTGCGTTCAGATGCCACCACTGTGAAACCAAGGCAGGGATGTCATGGTTTTGCGTTCAGATGCCACCACTGTGAAACCAAGGCAGTGATGTCATGGGTTTGCGCTCAGGTGCCACCACTGTGAAACCAAGGCAGTGATGTCATGGGTTTGCGTTCAGATGCCACCACTGTGAAACCAAGGCAGGGATGTCATGGTTTTGCGCTCAGGTGCCACCACTGTGAAACCAAGGCAGGGATGTCATGGGTTTGCGCTCAGGTGCCACCACTGTGAAACCAAGGCAGTGATGTCATGGTTTTGCGCTCAGGTGCCACCACTGTGAAACCAAGGCAGGGATGTCATGGTTTTGCGCTCAGGTGCCACCACTGTGAAACCAAGGCAGTGATGTCATGGGTTTGCGTTCAGATGCCACCACTGTGAAACCAAGGCAGGGATGTCATGGTTTTGCGCTCAGGTGCCACCACTGTGAAACCAAGGCAGTGATGTCATGGGTTTGCGCTGAGGTGTTGCCACTGTGAAACCAAGGCAGCGATGTCATGGTTTTGCGCTCAGGTGCCACCACTGTGAAACCAAGGCAGCGATGTCATGGGTTTGCACTCAGGTGCCACCACTGTGAAACCAAGGCAGCGATGTCATGGATTTGCGCTCAGGTGCCACAATTGTGAAACTAAGGCAGGGATGGCTTGGGTTCGCGCTTAGGTGCCGCCTCCTAAATTTTACCAGTACAGTTCATTCTTGTACTATAACAGCTCTATGGTTTCATGTGTCCTTAATATCTTGCAGATACAGTAAAACAACTAACTTGACAGTTTGTGGACCCCAAGGCTGTCGAGTTTAGGGGTTGTCGAGTTATTCAGAACATAAATGAATATTAATCTATATCTATAAAAGAGGAAGTAGGTCTGTAAGTATGTATGTATATACCCTATGGACTCTGAAACTGCTCAACAGATTGAAATGAAACTTTCAGACATTATTAAGCATTGTTCAAGGATGGTTTTGGTGCAGATCCGTCATAAGGGCTCTTCCCCAGAAGGTTTTAAGGGGTCTAATGTCAGAAAATTAATTCATAAGAGACCAATCTATACATATAAATTTACCACTGACATGAGTATTTTTACATTTTGAGTTAACTACTTTCAAAGAAATTTAGAATATTTAACAATTAAAACTAAACATTCTGAACAAAATGCCTGAAAAGCCAATGACTAGCTAGACTTGCACCATGTCAGCTGTTGGATGTCGAGTTAGCGAGGTTTTACTGTACATGCAATATCAATGGAATATCTGTAGAGAAATTGACTGTAGATAGTAGTTTTTTAATAGCATGTACAAAACAATTCTGCAATTATGCCCTCTCTTAAAAGTGTATATGTTAATAATATTTTACAATCTAGTTAATATTTTTAATGTCTTTCTTAAAGACTGAATCACTCGTGGTAAAATTTCATAACCAGTGGAATACAACTAAACATGATATTAGTCAAATTTTGGAAATTATTTTTGTAGGTAACCTAATTTATATTTAAGGTTGTCAATGATGTTATATACTGGTATTTTTAATTTACATTAGGTTTATTTATTGTTTTGAGGTATAATTTATTTTTTAAATACAAATGGTTAAATGTATTGTATTGAGCTGTTATTTAATAAAATTAAAGTGTTATTTTATTTTCTGATCACATAATCAATGTATAAAATAATAATTATAATAAAAGTAAGTTTGAATAATAATTTGTATGGATATATTTTTATTCCTTCTATATATATACTTCATACTTTTCTCTTTATCGTTGACCAGTATTACTGGATAGATGACGTCAATACTATTTCTAAAATTGAAAACATATATTTACCAAAGTACTTGTAAATTTAAATAACATTTTCTTGGATTTAGATTGAATTTGGGCGGCAGGTCACTTATTGAAGAGTAGTCGGCTTCTAGATATTGATTGAGTATGTGGAAGGGGTTGTTCTTAAGCAAAGTCCCAATTTTACTTTCAAATGTATTCTAGGTCTTTGGTGGCAGCGGGGAGTAAGTTGAAAAATGTCATAGCCAAGACATGGTAGCAGGACCGCTTATTTAACCAGGGGTATTTAACAGGACCGCTTACATAAATGAGCCCAGGTGCGCAAGAGGTTTTAGGTTTGTTGGGGAAAATGGGTAGAGAAAATTCCCCACACGGTGGTGGAGAGGGGCACAATTATCTCTCACGGCCGTCCCCTGTGGAGCATCACATGCAAACTGCAGGCCTGTAACCATGTTGACAACTGTTTTGGGTACATAGTTAAGGAGTTATCTTGTCAAAAAGAACCAAAGATATGAGAACACATGTATTTTTATACATTTACAAACTTTTTAAAGTGAATAATGCAAAATCTATACAAGATATTGAAAAAAATACGGATTCAAATTTTTGTAAATATAAACTTGCATTTTGCGTGGAACAGATTTAAGCAGAAAATTTAAAAATGGTACCTTGTCAAATTTCACTCCACTCCCGCTCAAAGGCTAATGACGGAATGTTGTCATGTTCAATCTCCTAAATACCAAAGAAAGTTATGAAGTCAAAAATTGTATTCCAAACATTTCCCTCTATACCTTGTACTATTACCTGGACTAATTAGGTTTCAGCCAGGCTAGTCAAAGGATCCATTTTCATGTTGTAGCCTAGTAGGAATAAATTATCATTTTAACAAAACTATGCAAGCTTCCAAATAATTTCTATGGAACATATTATCACTTAAAATAAACCCCAGCAAACTTACACATACTTTCTCCCATTAGCTAGTCAACAACCCTTAAACTGGTAACTATGATATTTGCTGGGTAGAGTCACAAAAAATGGAAAAAATTGTTGAACCCTAGTTATTGCGGCATACAGTAGTTGTATTCTAAGTTTACTTTTAAAAGGGCCACAACATACTAAATTTAAATCAAAATTGTTCAAGCAGTTTTTGTGAAAATCCTATTTTTCCGTTTTATGGGAAAATCACCGTTTAAAATCTAAATCCAAACAAAATTTAAACGCCTGGAGATACCATGGATGTGTAAACATTACCAAATTTCATAAAAATCGGACCACAGGTGTAGTCTGTACAGTTATCTTGCACACAACACAGTCACACACACACAGGCATAACTTGAAAACAATTGTTTGGGGTCACAAAACTGATATTTCTACTCAAATAAGATATTTCCAATTTCCACACAAAACCCAAACTCGAATATTTTGACGAAAACATGCTTTCTCTATTTTACACAATGTATTGGGGAAGAAAGCAAAAAATTGAGAACCGAAAACATATTCATAATTTTCGAAAATCTTCCCAACTAAATTAGAAACAACAGTATCGACGTGTAAGCGCTCTAGGTCCGTCGCGCAGACATATTGAAAAACCAGAAATGTGTGACATCTTTGGCGATTAAAGTTTTGGACAGCATTCGCATCGCTTCCCAAACCAATCCAGACAAGAGCGGCAATTCTAATCAAATTCCTAAATGCGACAACCGAATAAGGTGTCTTGAAGAGATGCGCCTCCAAAAATGGAGTCCGGCTCCAGTAATTTATTAAAGTACAGTATCTGGTACAGTTTAGCCAATGCACTATAATCAATAAGTTTAGTCAATGGCCAGTTTAATGTTTAAGTACCGGGAGACCGAGCCATGGCTCGGTATAGTTTATTTCTATTGTAAAAGCAATATAGGAAACCCACATTTTATTTACAACTATTTTGGCTTTTATTATTTAGGTTTCAGTTGAATTTCAATTTATAATTATGGAGATGCTTACCTGGCAATCCACAACCTATTAATTTATTTTACAGTCAATGTTAAAAATCACTCATTTATAATAGCAGAACCAGGAGACCGAGCTTTGCTAGGATTGAATTAAACATTAAATATATAGGCCTAAGTTCATTAGCTAAATTAAGGATATTTATTCTGTACGGTATCAATATATGAACACATTTTAGATGATACATAGAACACATTTCATTAAACCTTTATAAAAATTCATAGATTACAATGTTATCAGCTGTTTTATTAACTGCAGACAAAAACGCATTGACGATAACATGGGCACTTTAAAGGACTGTAGGGCTGAAACTGGATTTATCCCAGCCTTGTGACCATGTCCAATCGATTTCTCGCTGATCTTGATCTTAAAATGAAACATAAAGCCCATAAGGCTCAGTGTACGAAGATTATTTGTGGAAGATCTTAACTCTGATACAGTGGTTCTTGAAAAAATAAACAGATGACTCTTTACTTTTCTATTTAGCAGCAATAATTATTTACAATACATTTTCTCTTTTGATTTCAATATTTTTAAAAACAACAAGGTAACAATGTCCAAAAAGCACAATATTGAGTAGGCTATAATTAAATTAAAATGATTGCAATATATTACACTTTTATAGTTTGTTATTTTACGAAGCAAAATTCAATAAAATAGTGCTGGAAAATAGGTTGAATTGTAGGATTTATTAAAGCCTATTATTTAGGGTGCAAGGCAATCATCAAGTTTTACATGTTTACCGGTACTTTGGTATTATACCGACCACACCTAAACTATAGGTTTTAGTAGTCATTGTTATAACCTAACCTAAGGATGGACTGTGTTTAAGGCTAGGTTAGGAAGATATTGTCATTTAAACGAATTAAAATCTTATTTGGAAGTCGACTTAGAGGTGTCGTCGGTATGATACCAAAGTAGGCCACCTTTTTACCTATTAGTAAAAAAAAATTATTCTAGAAAATTAATAAAAAGTTAATAATTTTCTTGAACTTTACAACGCCTAGTTTGATCAGGATGGTTAAATAAAGTTAAAGAACTTATGTTTTGACTGTACGTGAAGTCCTGGATGTATGAAGTAGCTTATGATCTTTGACATTTCCAATCGAACCGTTAACTTCAGTAAAGAAACATTCACAATATAATGATATACTGTAACTGGCTTTTATAACATTGTAATGTAGCCTCCACAGTTCCGGAGGTATAACCATCTTTTCTTCCTCCACAAGCGCAGAAGAAGAATAAATTGCTAGAAATCAGGCAATAAAATAGTCCAGCTTTCTGAGAATGGAAGTATAAATTTATGCATACCATTGTTGGACAAAGCAACTACCTTCTAGTGACTGTTATTTGCTTGAAAATAGCTGTGTTTAGGAGACCAAGAAAATGCATGAAGAAGAGAAAAAGAAAATGAAGGCCATAAACTTGGCAAATGTGTCGGAAGAGAATACTAAACCAATTATCTAGACTATCTATAGAGGACAGAGCACATTTTTCACACAGCTCCGATTTGGAAGGCTGGTGATAGTAAAAAGTACCTTCAAACAACCCATTTATTAATTTGATCAATTTTATAGGACTTATTATGGTTTTACAGCCAACCTTTAGCTAATAGTGCATCAATTACTTTTGTCTAGACTTTGTAGACCATTTTGCTATGATGAAGCTTGTTAACAAAAGTTAAACATGATATGTACATCATTTTATCATACAATTAATTGCATATCATTTATTATATGTATATACAGTATTATATAGGTAAGATTCGTTTTGATGATTCCAATAATTGTAATGTATACAATTAAGAAAAATTAAATATTATCATATTATTATTGAATAAAATACCATTTTTGACATGGGAAGGGTCGATAGGGTCTATAAACCATTCTTTCAGTTTCATAGTTATGGTTAAAATGAAAGATTACTTGGAATGGAGGATCGAATATCGTTATTTCTCTTTTACGAATTGATAAGTCTGGACCAAAAACGCAAAAATCCCCATTCTTATAAAGGTTTTGTGTGTTCTGGTCACAGAAAACGTTCTGGTGTGGTCGCAGTATGAAAAAGAAGATGAGTTTCAAACATTTCCCTCTACCTTTTTAGCAATCATTTCGTTGCCTGGACTTATAGTGCAAGTTTTATTACACCCTACCCACATGTTAAGGATCGTCTGACGAGTCATTCTTTAGCTATTATTTGTCAATTACATTCCTGCTGCTATAAAAATGTATTTTCCTACAGTCACCTGACAAAGTGGTCTTCCTTGCACTGATTCTAGCACAGAAAGTTGCTAATTGCTGCATCTACTTACTTTTATGAGGATGTGTAAGAGCTACAGAATACACATGTGGTCCATGTTTTGATACAATTTGGTTTGTGAGTGTGCCTACTATTCCATGGTATCTCCAGGCGTTTTTTTATTTTTTTTAAATTTTGTTGTTTATGGCGATTTTTTTTTCGTAAAAACGGAAACATCAGATTTTAGGGAAAACTGCTCCACAGATGTTGATTAATATTTACTACATTATGTTGTTACAACTAATAAAATGGTATATCCCCTATCATTGGAAAAAGTACGGTTCAAAAATTATCTATTTATACATACCAATGGCAGAACCATTTAAAAAGAATCAACTAAACAGTTATTGTATCTTTTGAGGTTTTCCCAATAAAATATCATAATTACTCCCACCAGCCATGATATAAGGGTTGTTGCATGCTGGGAGAAAGTATTTGTCAGATTGCTGATACCGTATATTTTAAAGCTATTTTCATGTCAATTAATTGATGTTGTAGTGATAGTGGAGCTGTGGCGGTAGTGAGGGCGGCCCACGCCAGTATCGCTAGTGTCAGTTGTGTTTGTGTAGTGTATTCATTGGTAGTGTGTAGGCGCCGCGCGCAGTTCAGTTTTCTCGTCGACCTCGTGTGCTCAGCGTCGTCGCCTCTGACCATATATGTACACGTGAGTAGAACAGTTTTGCGCTTTTATGTTAGTAATTAAAATCTCCTGAGTTATTCGTTTATTTATACAAATTTCATGTGTATTTTGTAATATTTACTATTATTTTCTGAAAATATAATTTATATAGGCTATCTAATATTTTTTGTTGGCTTATCAGACGTCTCCGCATTTTTATATATATTGGCTGTGAATATTTTAATTAAACACTATATTAATAAATGCAGTTTTTTTCATTCTTGCACACACGCTTTGGTGTTTAAAGAATCTGAAAGTGATATTGAATAAGAAATACATATTTTTAAATCAAATTAACTTCGTTATCATTGGTGCTTGTGCATACAGTTTATGCATAATTTTTTGGGGGTAAATTAAGTCGTGCTGACAAAAAACTGTTTAGATACCCATAAAATCTATTAAAATACAAACATCTGTTTCCATCAGTTTTTCGAAGGTGTGCTGAATTTTTTTACGCGTCTTTAAATGTTTAAATATTTTTCAATGTTTTTCTTACTTGAATCAAGAAAATGAATGCATATGTTTTCACGTATCATTAACTTGTACAACAAATTTATAATATACAATTTCTTTACACGAGTTACAATTGATCATAAACATAGTGATACATCATAACCATAATGATCATGTTTTATTTTTATAATTATTTAAATTTAATTTAAATATTTTAAAATAAATTTTGTGTACTAAATGCATAATTTAAAAGCTTTAGATAGGTAGTCAAATAATAAAACATTATACAATTTTAAAAAGATTTGTGCTTGAAGTAGAATAAGAATAATTATGGAAATATAAATACGTGACTAAACTCAGTGCTTCATTGTATAATAAATTAACTAGCAATAGGAATTTTGGATTGATTTGAAATGATGTTGTCTGTTGATAACTGTGGTATCTATTACTTAAATATTCGCCATATTAATGAATAATTTAACAAAGTAGAAATTCAATACACATCTATTTTATTACACATGTTATATTTTATTCACAATTTTGTATTTTATAATTGAGCTTTCTGTTTTCCAGCCCCATAAACATTTTTTTTATTATTACTAGGCCTAATTGATTGCGTTAAATCACGTTACATTTTGGGAGGAATGTTTTACCTGGCAGACACCTGAGAAGTGTTAGTAGGTTAGTAAACAATTGATCCAGAGGTCAATACCACTGCATTGTGAAGTGATCGTCATGATTTTTGTTGACTGGATCAGTTTCGATCAAATTGCAAGCCACGTCAATCGTGTCACAAATTTTCGAACTAATTATCCAATCCACTTTTCTCAATTTAAAAAAGAAACAAAAAATATTTATCTTCATGTCTTTTTTTAGCTTCTCAAATTATTTATTAGTTTTCGGATTTTGGTTAGGTACATTTGAAAAATTAATAATAATTTAGAGTTTAAATAATTGCATACACCGTACCCAGAAAATATGCACCAAGTAATAATGTAATTCTATAAGTGTGTTTTTTACATTTGAAATCCAAGCAACATAATCAAGTTTTACACTACAGTTAAATTAATTTCAAAATTCGTGTTTTTGGCGTAAATAAATTAATAAATAAAATTGAAATTAAAGACCTGGTCTAAATCCCAGACTAAAACGCGGGCACATTTTTGAAAACTATATTTCTGTTTACTGTAATCCATGTATACTATGATAAATTTATATTCTATAGTCAATTATTTGGAATCAGAAAAAAACTATAAAACCTACTGTGATAATTAAATAACATTTGGTCGTTAAATAATTAGCTACGTTTGGAGTTTTTGCTTTGGTTATGATTTATATTTATGAAAACCCTTGGTAGTAGCCTAATATAAATTAAGTAGGAGTAATAAATATATTGTTTTCAGATTTTCCTTCAATTGTTGTATAAATAATTATTTAGGACCTTAATGAAAATAAAATCATAGCTATAAATTCACAACATATTTTAAAGAATACGTTACAGGTATTGGAGGTATTCATTGGGTTTATTTAAAATGTTACATTTTCATAATTAATTTAAATTACTGTACTAGTGTACTCAAACAAATTGTTTATATATAAATATATATATATATAATTAACTATAAGACTACTGTTAAAATTCCTAATTGTGCTGTATCATCATGTATGACTCACTAAAACCTGTTTAGAGGATTTAATAAACAAAGTTACCCTTAGCTCATATTCCATTCTTTCAAGTTTTAAGACAGCAAAGCTCAATAGCCTATATTGTATTAGATATACAGTATTTAGAAGCCAATAATCAATATAATAGAGCGGAGCATCATGTTATCAATACATGGAATTGTAGGCCTAGGTAGTGTCATAATAATATTATATATTATATAATTATCATATATTATATTATTGTTGTTATTTTCCCAGTATTTGCATTAAAGGTATCATTTCCTCATTTACTATGCGATAAGTATAAGTAGCAAATGTTGATGAAACTCTAATCCAAAATAGCCACACATGCCACACTTCTGGAGTTTTTTCCAATCGAATGTGTTTTGTTCCAGTAGCGACTGGAGTAACGCGATCCGGAGATAAAAATAGCGACTTGGCCGCGTCGCTGCCTCCTAGACGCTACGGGCGGCACTGCCACTGCCATCGCCATCACGTCGATGCGTCAACGTCAACATGTGTAATCAGTGCAAAGTGAGGTTATGTGCGAGTGTATTGTTGTTGTTGTTTACTTGTGATGTTCGCGGGTTCAATGTGGATACAGAGGGGTTTGTCAAACATTCGGGCGAACCTGGATCTATGTTTGGATTCAGTGTGGCTGAACATAAGGAACGAGGATCGAATTGGTGAGTTGAATTTTATTCTATATTTTTTTATTAGTCTGTATGATGGAAGCTGTTTTTAGGTCTTTTTCTTTGATTCAGTTGTAATATTTGAAATTCTATATTTTACATTCAAATAATTTAGCTTATTTTTACTACTGTAGGTAAACTTGTACATTAATTTGATAATTTAATATGCCTGTCTGGTGACGGTGGTAAACTATTGAATATCAAAACCATTATTATTAATTCAATAAGGGTTTTTTCTAAACGATGGGTTGGTTTAAGAATAAGGTTTCTGAATTTTATTCATCTTTTGGACCTTTTCAATACCGAATCGGGTTTTTAATAAAAAGTTAAAATCAATTAAATTTCAATGGAAAAATGTTTATCGTGGCCATTCTGAATATTAATGTAGGCTAAATATAATCGTTAACTAGGCCTATATTAACAAAAATTGATCAACTATGCCTATCAACACAAAACTGTTTTAAAAACTAACCAACAATATTTTTAACGTGTTTTCTTATGTATTATTGCTCTGCTCACAGCTATTTTATAATAGTTTTTATATAATTAACGAAGCATGAGGATTACAATATGCTTTTATAAACAGCCTTCAATAAATGCCTCACGCACAGTTAGATTTTGACTGCTCTAGCGCCGTTCCATGTCGGATGTTAGGCAATTTAGCTACACCTCTGTTCTGTGTTCTGTGCTCTTCCCACCTGGAGGACATGGATTTGGTTTATTATTATTTTCGTCACTGCATGGAAATAGCTATTTGAATACATGCGTCGTGGGTGTAAAAGGTAGATTATTTCTCGTTTATGTATATCGGCTCCACTTCTTCTATAAGTTAGGATCATCATTACTGGAAAGTTGCACGAGATAGCTGTAGCATTGAGTATTGTATATTTGTGGTCAATTGTAGCTACAACATTTCCATGCTTCAGGCAATAAACATTGTTTATTTTTATTATCATTGACTATATACCATATTTTTACTGTAATATTTATGGTAGAGACAACAATGCTGAAACGTATCGTTTTAACAGGAAGTTTAGTTTAAAGACCTTTGTCTGTAAGTTTGTTTGCAATTTTGTAAACTTGTATTGTTCCTTATCCGATTACCGAGAGTAGATGTGGAATGTAGTTAATGCTTTGATTTTTCTCAGCAGGATTGCAATTTGTTTACTTGAGTTTTTTTTAATCCAACAAGACACGGTAGTTCTCCTCCTCATTTACTTCATCCACTTGTTCGAATCGAGAATTCGCACAGTTTAGGGTAGGGGGGAGGGGTGATATTATATTTAGTAAGATTAGTGACTTTGACGCACGTGTTTTATCTAGGCCTACATATTATTTACCAAAAGCGCATTTCGTTATACTGTAATTTTAATACAACACTGTAGGAATCTTATATATTAAAAAAATTTGGTTTTTCTTTTCCGAGTTCGTTTGGCTCTTCTACCCGACCGATTTTCATGATTGAGGTCTCAAATTGAAGGTATGCACGCACAGATTTGCCATCAAGCATCGGCATATATTTATCTATAATCCCACTCAGTTTATACGTAAACGAAATTCGCTCCCCATGTATTTCTTATGGGAGTTAAATTTGGCTTTTCTTTGCCGAGTTCGATGGGCTCTTCTACCCGACTGATTTTCATGATTGAGGTCTCAAATTGAAGGTATGCACGCACGAATTTGCCATCAAGTATCGGCATATAATTATCTATAGTATTACTCGGTTTATACGTAAACGAAATTTGCTCCCCATGTATTTCTTATGGGAGTTAAATTTGGGTTTTCTTTGCCGAGTTCGTTTGGCTCTTCTACCCGACCGATTTTCATGATTGAGGTCTCAAATCGAAGGTATGCACGCACAGATTTGCCATCAAGCATCGGCATATATTTATCTATAATCCCACTAGGCTTATACGTAAACGAAATTTGCTCCACATGTATTTCTTATGGGAGTTAAATTTGGCTTTTCTTTGCCGAGTTCGTTGGGCTCTTCTACCCGACCGATTTTCATGATCTAGGTCTCAAATTGAAGGTATGCACGCACAGATTTACCATCAAGCATCGACATATATTTATCTATAATCCCACTCGGTGTATACGCAAATGAAAATTTGCTCCCCATGTATTTCTTATGGAAGTTAAATTTGGTTTTTCTTTGCCGAGTTCGTTTGGCTCTTCTACCCGACCGATTTTCATGATTGGGCCGTAGAACGATTGGCACACATTTTTAGCCGATTTGGAATAGCACGACTGGCACAATCATTAGAGGGGATTAAGAAGGGCCAAACTGTAAGGTTCGGAAAGGCACGATTGGCTCAACAGACCGGTAAGGAAGTAGTAGGCAGGTAGCCAGAATGCGGGAAAATGAAAATTGTTTTTTCCCCACAAAGTCCCCGCTGTAGTGCTTATTAGAGTTAGCAATTACTTCATCCATGGTGTAAGTTTGAGCGACAAATCTGCTGCTACGGTCACTATGCCCCTGCTGGACCCAAATAAAACTACACTAACCCAACCTAACTTAACTAAACCTAACCTAACTTAACTTTACTAACCTAACCTAACCTAACTTAACCTAACCTAACTTAACCTAACCTAACCTAACTTAACTTAACCTAACCTAACCTAACCTAGCCTAACCTAACCTAAGCTAACATAACCTAACCTAACCATTGAAAATACGCGATATTACCGGCAAATGACTGTCGTAGCAGAGTTGACGGGGAATTTTAAACTTCCCGTTTTGCCTCGTTCGATGGCGTTTACCTGGTCGAGCGGTTGTGCCAATCGTGCCTTTTCCAAGCAGGCGAGTTGACCCTACTTATTCCGCTCAAATGATTGTGCCAATACTGCCATGGGCAGAAAATCCAAAAATGTGTGCCAATCGTCCCGTTCCCTCATGATTGAGGTCTCAAATCGAAGGTATGCACGCACAAATTTGCCATCAATCATCTACAAATATTTACCTACAGTATTACACGACCAGAACACATAATTTGATTTATTTTATATTTCTTACTTCAAATTAAGATGTACCTTTACCAGTTATAGATTTATGATCCCATATATTTTAGTCTAAGAACCTTCAGTTAAATACTGGCTTTCATTTAAGTTATTCAAATCCGACGAGTTTCAAGCAAATGCAAGGTGAATAACCAATATAAAAATTATTTTTCATAATGTTTTAATATGGTTAAAAATCAATAGCTCCAGTATTGTTCCTGTTTTTCTATATGTTTTAGACACAATATAATCAGTAAATTATAGGATTTAAATTGAGCTATTGGTTGTTTGAATCAGTTAAGCTCAAGATACCGTATTACTCAATAAAAAATTATAAATTTAAATATTTCTCGGATATAATAATTATTTTAACGCTGCGGAGCAGCATGGGTCCTCTAGTAAGGTATGATTTACCTACACGGTGTATTTTTTGTATCTTTTGTTTGATATATTCAAAGATAAACAAACATTGTGTCCGAACGGGCTTACCCCAACTCCGCGCGGTGGTCAGAAATCTGTCAAAACCGACTGCCCAACTCCGCGCAGTGGTCACTTCGGGTCCCTCGCGGCACATGCCCAACTCCGCGCAGTGGTCAATTTTGGCTCTCACAGCCCTGACGTATGAGAGTTTGTGCTCTAAGTTTGAAATTATGATATATTTTCATCATTTATAAGAAAGGAAAAGTAAAAAGTATATGCCTACCCAAAACAGGAGACGAAGCTTAAAAACCGCTAATATAAGAAGTTTTAAAAAGCCCGTGAGAAAGAGTGACTGTAAATTTATATGTTCCAAAGTCTACAATACTCAATCATTCTTTTTAGCACTGGGTTTATGAGCTTGCTGATAAACTTGAGTACCAAATTCAAAAATGTTAGTCTTGTAAACAACCACAGATTGCTTCAACAAATTGGCTGTAATCTCTGTTTCATAAAACAGTTAGCTATACACCTCAAATTGGGGGGAAAATTGGCTGAAATTGGTTTACGAGCATATTTCTTTTACATCTTATTAAAATTGGCGAATTTTACGTCTATGAAGAGGGTTTTCATTGAATCTAGACCCAGACCAAGGTTTTAGCTAATTTCCCATGTATAGGGAATAAGCTATTACCGTAGGTCTCATGGTAAGACCTGGACTCACTGATTAAATTTTTCGTTTTTATTTCCCAAAGGCCGAAAACACCATCCGTTCAAATTCATATATATATATACCGGTATATATATTTTATGTGTATATATGTAAGTCTGTTAGCACGATAACTCGAGCAAAATGATCTGATTTTGATTAAATTTGGCGTGAATGTGTAAACCGTTTATTCGAACGAGTTCACAAACCAGCACGATTGAACCATGTGAACTGGGGCTTATGTATATATTATGAAAGTATAACGTTTTTAAATTTCTTTTGAAACCACTTCGTAAAGCTTAAAAACAAATAATTCAGTATATCGAAGCGTAAAAGCGCCAGAATAGTTACAGAAAAAATGCCAAAGAATTCTTATTTTTAAATTCTTATGTTATTCTTATGGAGAATGAGTAAATTAAACTGTTGTAAAATCCTGTAAAAGGAACATATTTTGATTAAATTGTCAAATGAATTCATTTTACACTTAACTATTGACATTTCACACTTTTTACCCTGTCTCAAACACTTTTTGATGGGTCTGTAATTGACGGGTAACCTTAATATTACAAGTGACCACCGCGCGGAGTTGGAATTGGCCCTAAAAGTGACCACCGCGCGGAGTTGGGCTGAACCCTTCGGGGGCCATAAAACTTTTCCTCGGATTAAATTTGACCACTGCGCGGAGTTGGGCAATCCCCGTCCGAACGTCTACCCTACCCAGTGTCGGTAATTGCTTTACCATTGTTGCAAAAGAAACAAAGTATACATAGCCAGTATATACAGCAAAGTATACATCACCAAGAGACTAGTTTAGCTTCGCCATGGTGTATAGTGTATAGTCAATGGCTTCGCATATCACTTCCGTATT